TGCTTTTCCTGTTTATGTATTGGCAGCCCCCTCCCACCCCCCCTTTTTTTTTTTTTTTTTGTTGCATTTAAAGCTATTATTCCTTGTTTTTCTATGAAGCTCCTCAGATCACATGCCAGCAGATAAACTGTTCATATGCATGAGAAAAATCGCCACCTCTTTGAAGTCTCACTGAGCTGTAGGAACAGTTCATTTGTATGCCGTCGTGGGGCGAGAGTCAAAGGGGAGAGGACTCTCATGCACATTGGAAGATATTTCTTTCTCAGCGGGGGGGCGCGCTACGGTTAGAAATTGATCCATCATCCGTATTGGGTTTGAATCAATTTCGTCGCCAATCTCAGAATTCTAAAAGACTTATTTTTAGTCTTATAAAGAGGAAAGACATTTTTCACCCACAGATAGAAACTGCATATGAAGGAGTTCAGATGTTACCAGTTTTGTGGGGGGATCACAAGTGCTTAAAGACTTCTGGTCTAACTACAAGTCTTTTACTTTTCACTTTGTAGTGGTTACAATCTGAGTCGTGTTGGGGAGTAAGACTGCATTTAGGTATATTTATGACCTTATTTGTTCGTACTTCACTAAACAAACTGTAGGTGTGCCATATCAGCACACTTTGTTCTGGATACTATTTTATCCCAGACACACAAAACCCTGTGTGCCAATCCAAATAATCTATAATCTTTAATCTCTCTAATGAATCTTTTTAAAATCATAGATCCAACTTTAATCAGCCTTTGGAGCCTGAGCTCCTGCACTCTTGGTTTAATGCTGCCCTTGCATTCGTCTTCATCTTTAAAAATGCTCAATTATTCCATTTCCAAGATTAAAATTCAGGGAAATTACATTTAGAATACTTCGTCCAAGGTCATTCAGTCTTGCATTAAATATTAAATCTGCCTCTGGTCTGTTTGTGTGTGTGTGTGTGTGTGTGTGTGTATGTGTTTGTGTGCGTGTGTGTGTGTGTAGCTGGCTGAAGAAGTCGAGTGGACCCAGTTGCCTAATGGAGAGTACACCACAGCCGAAATTCGCCCCAACGCCTACATCCCTGAGAATGACACTCTCCGCTGCCGAAACCCTATGGGGCCCAGGCCCCTTCAAACCCTCCCAACCCGTGCCAACATGAGACACATCCGCAAACCAGCGCTTAAATCCTTAGAGACCTAGAATACAACACAAATATATTCATAAAGTTCAAAGTCTTGTTTTGGTTTGTCCTTTAAATACATTTAATTTACACTTGACAAATCAAACTCAATTATTTTCCAGTGTATTGCAGTAATTTAGCTTTTTTTATATCCCTTTTTAAACTCACTTTCCTGCATACTGCTGCTGTTTGTGTCATTAGGGAGCAACTCTCGCAGGCTGCATCTGTTTGTAATTTGGTTTCCCTTTTCAAATTTACTGGCAAGAGCTTGTTTACACTCTTGCTTGCTGTAACACCAAATACTGTAGATGAGTACAAGGCAAAACAGAGTACAGGGGGGAGATAAAATGTTTGAGTATTTTGTTACATCATGTCCAGGTGATGTGTTGTTGTGGATTTATTTCGGCCCTTAGCAACATGCAGGTTTCCTCTTGGTTCATTAGGTACTATAAATTTGTTCTTTAGAGACACTGCAATATTTCAACATCTCTGTCAGTCTTGTTGCCGTTTTCATCCCCCGCACTTTTAATCTTGCAGAAGGTTTAAGCTCTAAGCTAGGCTAAGACTGCCAGAATAACGCCTGAAATGATGAATGTAAATAGAGAAAGAAGATTGGGCAATGAAAGCGCACAGAGGATGACAAGTGAGAGGAGAATGTCAATGAGGAGGAACAGGCAATGGCAATCTAAAAAGGGACTAAAACAGATAAAGAGTGCAGCTGTAAATGGGGTGGAAAGTTCAGAGTCGGTTACTCATGATCATGTTTTGCGAGATTTGTGAGCTCTGTTTTCGCTGGGAACCCAGTTTATTTAAGGGGGAACTCGTCTGTGGTTGCCATAGGCTACAAACTACTTCTGAGTGCAGCTGTGGATGCTAAAGGTTTTGTTTTCTCATAATAAACAATAAGCTCTCAGCTGTAATAGGCTAAATGCTGCAATGCTATTCAGTTAGCTTAAAGTAATCAATGAACACTCAGAAAAGTGAGATAAAAAAAAAGGATACACAGTTGAGTAACCTAGCTGTACGTGGCAAAGAAACCGCTTCAAATTAGCAGTTAGCTGTGCAGAAGAAAAGAAACTTGAGCACCTCTTTAGTTTAATTAACAACACATTCTGAGTCAAATGTTAAAAGCTTTAAGAAGGCAGCAGGTCAGTGACGTGTGCGTGTGTGATTATCAACTGCAGGGCCGATGGTCAGCTCTGTTAGACAAACGTTCCCCTGACTGTTTGTGCGTATTGTCCAGCTACATAACACTGACTGCATAACAGAGGCGTCAAGGAGGAAATCATGTGAGGGATGTCTTCACGTTTTAAGCGAAATTCCACAGAAGATTGAGGACATCTGTAGTAATATAGACAACGCCTCAGTAAAAAAAGAAAATAATGGTGTAATTTGGCAATAATGTGACTCAGCGTGTATGACTGATGCCGAGATCATTTCCTGACTTAAGTGGAACTCCGCTGAGTCTGTGCAAAACACTCAGGTGCTGTCAGAGAGCTCACCTCCTCTGCAGAGATTCTCCTCAACCTAGAAAAACGATTTCACTGCGAGTGGAAATCATTTTTTATTTTTTATTTCAAGGCTCAACAGTAAAACATACTTTAAGCTCCTGCGTGCGAGCTCTCCAATAGTACATCAGTTAAAGAGAAACATGCGGTGCACTTGTTGCAAAAATCTCTTTATTTACAATCCATTTTACAAAACTCTTAAAGTGTAAACATATCTGTTTATAAAATCCCTTTTTTTTGGCAGAGGAATGCTTTGCAATAGTTTGAACATGAGATGTAAATAATCTCTGGTATTTAGTCTCGCAGGGTGCCAACACTCTCGGACATTGCGTAAAGAATTATGAACATGACACACACATCCTCACCAGAACTTCACTTACAGTAAGAGGACAGTCATGTGTGAGGGCACAAGACAACTTTATTCACACCAGATGTTTCATTGTGTGTGAGAGCGTGCAGGCTGAGTAATGGCCGAGTTTATTTCTATTTTCTTACTTATTCAGTTTGTTTAGTCTTTTCTGTATCTGGTGTTTTATAAACTCCTTTGAGGACTGTTTTTTGCTCTCTGCTATATAAAGAAAGTCACTTTAAAGATATTAAAGTCTGCTTGCCCATGTTGTACCAACTTACATGTAATAAAACTGGGTATTATATTTTTCTGTTGTAACAAATTCAGCCCAAGGTATGGGCTAACGTTCGCTAACATTAGCCATCACAGGCTAAAGGTCTTTATCCTCCGGCAGTAGGAGTCAAACCCAGAGTGTATGAAATGTAGCAAAACACTTTCATTTTTTACAGATTAAAGGTGTGATTTGTATAAGTAATGTGTTATTTTGTCTTTTGTGAGTTGAACACTGTCAGTGTAATGAAAATGTAGTAAAGTTAGCCAAACGTTTGTGTTTGCTTGCTGTTGTACATATGACGCTAATGAGAAGAGTTTAGAGAAGGGTTTTGTGATACAGTCAGACAGTGATACATTTGTACTGAAACATAAGTGTCTAACCAGCAGCAGCAGCAGCAATATCTTCAAATGATGCCCGTCTTGTCCTCTCAACAAGAGGCAACAATAAGTGTTTCTCTTACATATCCTAAGCCTGGCTCACACTGCAGGATAATCGGGCCGATTTGACCTCCGATTCTTCCTTCCTGAAAATCTCAGGGTTGCTCCCGACTCAAGGCTGCTCGGAACCGATTATCTGCTCAGATTATCTTCTAGTGCGAGCGGTACAAAGATCCAATCTTAACGTCCCCGATCTGCCCCTGCGATCGTCGGGCGATTTATTTCAAACATGTTTGATATTTAGAATTTAAAATCTTGACAATTACGTCATGAAAAGGGTCCGGCTGAAGTTCTGTGACCACAATATAATCACGAGAGACAAGGGAGGAATGTAGTCATGGCGACCAGCAGCAGCACGCTACCCGGCTTCTTTTTGAGTTTTCGGTACAGATCAATTTCTTTCATCGATTTCTGAAACTTGTATCCATACATCTACGATTGTATCTACTTTCATCTATCCTACAACAACTTCCACTTCCTTTTCTTTCACCAACCGCCGTCTGTTGAAGTTTTCAAATGAAACTTTATGAAGAATTGCCAACGCTCCGTCTCGATTTCACTCGATTGCGTGCCCGACAATCGAGTCGTACAGTGTGAGCACATAAATCGCAAGGTCTGGTCGGACGTCGTAAACGATTCAGTCGTACAGTCTGAGCTGACATGCCACGCCAACTTTTATACAATCGGGGGGAAATGGCACAGTGTGAGCCAGGCTTTAGACATGTCCCTGATATTGAGTTTATAAATCTCAGTCGTCTTAAAAGCTTAACATAAATTTGACAATTAGTTTTGGAAAAAAAAAAAAAGTTAAAGACAGGTTGCATTTCAAATCAAGAGTAATGAGTCTATTCAAGTCTGTGCTTTATCTTTCTTATATCTCCTTGGGGTTTTAATTTTGAGTCCTTCAAGTGCCACTGAGTTATAGAGCTGCAATGATTCTGCGTAACTCAGTGTTGAAATCCGATTTAATGCACAGCAGCCGGCGACCGACCAAATCAAGCTGCCGTGTGTTGGTGAAGCTTTTGTCAGCATGTAATCAAGTTGATGGGGTGCAGCCGCATGAGGAGGATAAACAAGTGCGTATGATTTATAAAGTGTGTTTGCAGTTTTTGACGTTCGTGTTCATAAATTGTATGAGAGAAAGTTGCAGAGGAACGGGACGCAATTGTTATGTCCCCAGATTTATGAGTTCATGTGAAAAGCTGCCTGTGGTTATAGATTTTCAACAGGAATTTGAAAGAGTATGTCCCTCTAAATTAAATTAAATTCCGTTTTAACTGCCCCTATTGTCCTCGAAGTTTTGGTTCCTTTTGTACATTGTTGTTTGTGTGGGAAAAAAACGGTTCTTCTCACGTCCCAGCATCCTCAGTGTTAAAAAAATAAAAGTGGGGGGGAAAAAAAGCTCTTCATCCTCTCCTCCATCTTTCCTTCCAGGGCGTCTCCATCCATCTCCCCCTCTGCCCCACCCTCATTTGTCATCAGCCAGTGAGAGCTTGTTTATAAGCGCTCTGCCTCTCAATCTCTCCACGCATCTCTCATTTCTCGCACTCCATCCCTCCATCATCCACCCATCCGTTACTTGTCCTCAAGGCCCAGTCAGTCGATGATGACTGTTCTCTGAAACACATTTTCCCCCTCATCTGTTTCCCCTTCAATCCATCCATCCACTGCCGTCTCACTCTGCCCTCCTACTCCCCCCCCCACCCACATCCTTTATTTTTCCTCATAGCCCAGCAGTATTAATGTTTGCTTCAGAGCCGTCTCCTCCACGAACCGAGCATCAACGTTCTCCTGCTCCTCAAAAGGGTTGAGAGCTGAAAACAGGAAGAGGAACAAACAGAGAAAGAAACAGTTTCATAAGAATATCATCGCATGCTGCCTAACTTTCTCCTGCCGCATTCTGACCAAACTTGCACAGAAAAAATACACATTCTGTCTTAATCCTCCAAAGACGTCTGTATCTAAACTGGGCAGCAAACACACACACACACACACACAGTCTTACCTTGTTCTTCTATATCAGAGAGTACCTTTGCCAGGTAGGTAAGAGGCAGAAACTCGGGTCTGAAGCCCGGCTTGTCTCTGCCGGTGAATGCAAATCCCTGTGGAGGAAAGAAAAACAAACACATGACTGGATTCTTCGGGTTTTTCGCCAGGACACACACACAGGCAAGTCAAATCTGAAGCAAATCCAGAAACTCACTTGTTTCCTATTTTGGATAAAGTTGAAATGTCCTGGAACTTACTGTATCTGTCATTGCTAGAAATGCGAGTAGCTCTCTGTGCCAGTCTGCCAGCCAATTAGTTGACTGGAACTGGCCAACAGCATGCTTAAGTACATTCAGTGTAGTATCTCTATTTTAGCTGTATAGCTTTGGTCACTGTTTTAAGACATATAATAAAGAAGCAGAAGTGGGAGATTGTTTTGTAACATTGCAGGAAGAGACAAAAAATATATTACAAGTGCTTTGTAAGCTTAGCTGTAATTTGTGTTTATTGTTTTTTATATTTTTTTTTTTCATAAGCAAATTTTAGCATGATGTAGGCTCAAAGCACACAAAGAGCTGCTAGCATTACTTGTTACCTGTTTTTCCAGAGTCTAAATGTATAAAAGACTTATTTTGTCATAGCAACAGTCAGACCACAAATCATACTGATATCAAAGAAGTTTAATGAGGGAATCATCCCAGTGCAGAGTCAGGTGTGTGTGTCTAATTGTCACTGATTAAGGCCCAGGTGTGGGAAGTCTATATAAAGCCTGAGGTTTGAGCTGTGTGTACTGACTCATCCCCTCATCAGAGGCAGCGAGAGGGTCATTCAGTGGTTTCTCTTGTTGTAAAGTGGGGTTTGTATCTCTGCAGAAGCATCACAAGAACCTGCCTGTGTGATTTACTCACCATTTGTAGTTTCTCTCAGAGTGTAGTTTGTTGGTGCTGTCTTGATTTAAATCATGTCTGTCAGCTGTTGTACTTTATTTTGAGGAGGGTTTACGTGGTCTCTCTTAAAGTTTACTTTCTAGTAAGCTAGGCAGCAGTGGTTCATTTCCCCTTTTCAAAGTGTATTTAGTCAAGGGAGCTGGTTTGTTCCACTCTGAGATGGATAGATAGATAGATAGATAGATAGATAGATAGATAGATAGATAGAAAAGCACTTTACCCTTACAAATAACTTAACACTTTAGCTAACAAGTCTCAACTTTATCTGCTGTTAATTAGGCTAATTAGCAGCAAACTAGCTAATTTTAGCAATCTAAACTAGCTAACATGCTAAAAATCAAGCCAGCTAAATGTGAGCTTTGTTTGCAGTCATTAGTTCCTTTAGTGTTGTGTTTTACACTTGACAAGCATTTTGGTCAACTGAGGTTGTTTTAAATGTCTTCCACTGTCATTTATAGACGGCAGCATGATATCTAAGCTAACACTGCTGTGGCTAAGTGAATCCTTCTAGAGATGTTAGCATGGCTTTAGCTAGGTCAAAGCACAGCTCGGGCTTATTATGGCCTAACATATTTGATACTGTAGGCTGTCAGCACTGCTGTTAAATACACGACTGATATAATATTTCAATCATAAACTGATTGAGTTACCTACCAACTGTTTCACCACTAGACATTATATTGTATATCCTCTGTTGTTGTTTTTTTTACATCTTATGATTTCCCCATTGTGTGTAGATGACCACGGTGCTTTAAGAGACACAAGGCATGAACAAGGCTGTTACCTTGTTTTTGCTGTGCTTCTCCAGCAGAGTCCTGACATAATTTCTGGAGATTGAAGCTGAACTGACAGGATGGTCCCACATATGGTAGATCCTCTGCTCCATAGGCTAAAACACACAAACATACATAACATACAGTTTTAATTTTAGGCATGTAGACAATCACACCCTGAAAATACGAACATCTGTCCCTTTCTATTTTGTTAACTGGAGCCCAAAAGAACTGCAGAGGACTTGACTGTTAATGAGTTATTCCAGAGAAATCTCACTTTGCAGTGTTAGGAAATGCACACTACGGTAATAAATAACACTTCAGTAACAAAACCTACAGGTGTGACTGACAACAAGAAAGAAAGCAGCTTTTCCTCAAGGCGGCTTTCTGTCTAGCTTCAAACACGCTGCCAAGTGGAGCTGCTGAATCACTTGAAGGGTTGGTGGTATTATCAGAGGTGAGAGGAAGCAAGTACAGACAAACACAACTGCCAAGTTCCTCCGCTGATTAATGCTTTCACATTGTATCACCAGTGTTCAAACTTTTTTTTTATTTTTTTGCCGTATTCATGCTGTTGTTGAACTCATTATGAGCTGACATATGGGACAGGTAAAGAATAACCGTTTTAATGAGCTGAAAGTTTAAGAAAAAAAAGAATTATGTTCAAAATTTTTAAACTTTGCGAGGTGTTTATTTGTACTGTTCATCACCATTGATGCAAAAGTAACCATGTGGAAGAAGAAACTTCCAATCCTTACAAACTGTAGGTTGTTATCCTTAATACAGGCTTTGAACATAGGGTGCCTGCTCTACCAACCGATCTAAACCAGGGCCCAATCCTTAGTACATTTAAACAAACGTAAAAGATAAGCCAATAGCCTAGTGGTTATGTCGCAGGTGCCTCATGCACAGAGGCTGTAGTCGTCGTCGCAGCGACCGGGGATTAGAATCCGGCCCTTTGCTGCATGCCATCTCCTCACTCTCTCCTCTTTAGCTGTCCTATCTGATAAAGGCGATAAAGCCCAAAACATAACTGATGCTGTTTGGTCGAAATCAAGTGGCAAACTTCAGGTTTTGAAGTCAAATCAGTAGTGCAAAAATCTGCAGTTTCTCAAGTGTCTCTACTTGATAATGTGACAAGTGTCCTTTAATGAAGCCAGGGAATCCCCAAGGTTATTTGTCCATGTATGGTCACTCACTTAATCATGTAAATATTGTAATCCTCCTCATCTGACATCAATCTATGCACACTGCCTTAATGTAAATACTAGGAAGATCAGATCACAACAAACGGGTTCCCACTTTCCTGAGCTCTAGTTTAAAGACACACAGGGACATCGGAATTTTTTTTTTTTTACAACTGTTTTGGTGTACCAGGTGTGTTTTTAAAAAAGCAGCAGAAATGTGTGTCGTGCATTATAGAGCTGCACTTCCTAGACGAGCCTTAACTCCGCCAAATCCTCCAGTGCCCTGAGGATTTTAGGAACCCACACCCTCTTCTTCTTCTTCGCTGCTCGTCTAGTCCTCTTCCTCCGCAGAATAAAAAGGCCAGGGCTTTCTCCTTTTTAGTGGGACATAAACATTGTGCCTCCAAAAAGAAGCCGAGCTATTTTCCCAACTATCGTTTCAGTCACCTCGCAACTTGCTCCCCTGCTCTGTCTGCACCCTAGCCCACGGCGAGCGTATCAATGCAACCATTCTTAAATCTTAAATCACCAAAAATAATTTCCAAGAACAACTTTTTTGTCAAATTGTGTTTATTTCTTGTAAACTGCTGTATTATTAGCAGAATGATGCACCGCAGAAAGTCCTTATAACCAAAACAAACCCTGACAGTGTGATGCAGGACACTGACGCAAAGCATCCTGTATCTTACATAATGGGAATTATCAGGATGCTGGGTTGAGCCAGGGTATGATTTTCCTACAGGGGGCCAACATCTCCTGTTCTGGCTCTGTGGGAGTGTGTTTGTGTGTGTGTGTGTGTGTGTACGTGTGTGTGTGTGTGTGTGTGTGTGTGTACGTGTGTGTGTGTGTGTTTTGTACCTGCTAAATCTATCTTGCCTGCCAAACTCACCGAACAAAAGTCTGATGTGCAGGAAACAGAGCGCAGAAGCTAAACACTCAACATTCCTCTGATCACAATGTGAACTACACACACACGCGCACACGCACACACACACACACACAGACACACACACACACACACACACAATATATTGTACCCACACGGGAACACGTGAAAGTTACAAAAGAGATAGGGACACACATAAAACAGCCTCAGCCTCAGACTCAGCAGAAAAACTACCTTCAGAACACACACTAAACCCTCCCCAATGCACACACATACATACTAGCCAGTTACACAAGTGCTCTGTGGCTGGCTTGAGGGGGACTTGAAGGAGATAAGACCCAAAATAACTTCAAACTCTTAATTGGACCAGAATGGGACGTTTTGGAAGAGAGAGCCATTCGGAAAAAAAAAAAAAAAAAAAAAGATCAAAACTCTCCCCTCGCTAATAGATAGGACTATAATAGCCTCTTGAATTGTTTCACATGAAGGCTAAGAAATTGACTCCAACATGGACTCCAGCCCTGTCACACACAGCATGTCAGAATGTGGATGGCTGTTCACCTGCCAAGTGTTTCTTTTCTGTGTCATTAAACCAGACAGAGAGGGTTTGAACGAGCTCCTTTAATCTACCATTGTGAGACAAACTACTCCTAACACCCTGCATTAAATAAATATTTTTGGCTGCACACGCTCGAGAGACATAAACACAGAAGTACCTCAGGGAGCCTTTTAAGTACGCTGAACTTCAGTCTCTCGTTGGCATCGCTGTTGTCCAAATCTAAACAAAAAAGAGAGAAGACATGATGCTAATTACTTGTGTGCAGAAAATTCTCATATGGCATCTCAAAATCCTTAAAAGGAAACATGGGATTAAAGAAATATTGCTGCTTTTTTTCCCCCCTTCTTTATGAAGACACTGCTGGTAAAAAAAATCAACAAATCCCAGCTGTAGTGACTTCAGCTGTTCTTCCCATATGCTAATTTCAATGTGTTAAACACATATTAGAGGGATAAGTTAAAGTTTCTAGATAACAAGTGATCTCCTAAATTGGCTTGACGACTTTTTTTTTTAAATGTTTCACAGATGGCTTTAGATGCAGTTAGATCAATCCATTCAAACCATTCTGGGAGATGTAGTACATTTCTGTGCATCCCACCTGTTGTAGTGTTGACTGACAACACATGGGCACATAAATCCTATAATTTGAGTCCTTCTCAGACAATTAAACTCCTTTTCTCATAAGTACAGCTGCTGCACCTGATTAATGTTACACCCTAAAAGTACCTTCATTTCTCCACTAGCAGAGGTCATTAGCAATGCTAACAGCTATCTATGAAGTATTTTTACGATATTTGGTATGATTTGAAAAAATATTTAAACACCAGTCAGGTAGATTAAGGTGCATTGTGCAGATTCTTTCTCGAGCCTCTTAGCAAGTTTACGGTTGCGTCTCTTGGCAACGTCTCAACAACTAACGGATGGTTTTAAAAAGAAATTGTCAAAGTCAAGCTATTTATTTTTCCACTCCTCATTACATGACACTTGAATGTAGGCTAACACAAGTAACTAAGGTACCAAACATTGTCAATATTTTACCTGCAGAACATTAGCAGGTTAGCATTAAAGTGGTGAGCATTTCAACATTCAGTTATTTTGACTTCTAGATTTGCCAGCAGATCCAAGAGATGTGGTGATTTTGGGGAAAGTAAATCTGATTAATAGGTTGAAATGTCAAATGTTTGTTTCACTTGATGATTTATGCGAGTATAGCATTTTACAAATCTGGAACCTGGCTCGGCAAAACTAGTTACTTTGACATATTCCTAAAGAGAGCGTACGTTTGTGTGTGTTTGTGATGAGGCAGAATATGAACATTATTACCGAGGATATTTATTGTATTAATCCCAAAGGACGCATCAAAGTCCTGAACTATCATCTTCTCCCACTTTGAAGTTTGAAACCATGTGGACACTGTCCTTTAAATAATCTTTTTTATCGTTGTGGATCTTTGTTCTCTTCATGGGAGATAAACTTGTGAAGTACAACAAGATCAAGAGTAACACAGGAGGCAAGATATTTTGGTTCTTGATGTCAGTGCCAAGTCTCAGTGTTTGTCCTTTGAACAGTGTTTCCTGTCATCATATGACATCCACCCGAAAACATACTAAATATGCTTTTGAAACCGCTCACTACATATTACTATTGAACCCAGTGTGTAGTATGTACTGCATACTGGGTTCAACAGTCGTCTGTAGTATGGCTGGTCTTAGAATGTGGAAGTTAACATCCCCAGCTAATGGGAAATGCAGCTACATTGTAGCATCCACTTACGATCTAAAAAAAAAGCTGACACATTATTCCTTTTTTTATTTACATTTTTTTGAGCATCTAAAAAGATGATTGGTGGTATCTGTGTGTGGTTTGGTCTGATTGTGATTATTTCCTCTGTTACAATATCTGTTGCTGTCCATCATGTCTTCTCCTTCTTCTCCTTCTGTTGGTTTTTATTTCAGTTGGCCTCACAAATGTTGCATTAATGCCATCTGCTGGATGTCCCTCATTTGATCTCTAACCTGGTGCTTTGAATTCTGATGCATATTGTACATTTTTCCCAAATCAATACAACATCCGGGTATTTTTGGCATACTGCGGATCACATATATGTTTGTAAATTTTTAAAAAGGCAAAGTGCAGTGGTGCTTATTTTATGTGTTTAACTGGTAAAACTCGTCATGTTTTAAAAACTACTGTTGTCAGATATTGTAGAATCTATTTGTTATGTGCTGTATCTCTGTGTGTAGTTTTGGGGGTGTTTTCTCTCTCTCCTCTGTTCTCCAGCTGCTTCTCTCGCCCTCGTTGCAGCAGGTGATTGATCTCACCTGTGTCCACTTCCTAATTAAGGACAGAGCACAAGAGCAGGAGAAAAGAGGCTATAGGTGCGTTGTTTAGCTTCACTAGTGCTGCGCCTTTGTAATGGAGGGAGTCTTTGTCCTCTACTTAAGTGGGGGGTTTTTTCATGGGAAATTTGGATCAGCATTTATTTATTTATTTATTTTGCACAAAGAAGCTTATTTTGTATCTGTAAAGTTCTGTTTACCTGCCATAGTTTGCCTCATTGAGTGAAACTTAGATCACTTCCTTTTCCCCCCGGTTGAATTACATTTTAAACTCCCCTTTCCCCCGAGCCAATCTTGGGAAATGTGACATCTTATTTTTTTTCTTATGACATTATCGTTCTGAAAATTAAAGAAATCCCAGTTCAAGAAAACTTTACAGCAGACGTGACAGGCTGATAAAACTCTATATTTCCGCTGCAATTAAATGCTAACCAGACATGATCACAATGATGATGCATACAATGTTAAGAAGGTTCCTATCTTAGATGAGCACGATAACTTATATTTGTATTAACCCCTAATATGTACAGCAAAGGCTTGTGGGAATGCTGATAGCTTTGTCGTCGTTTTGTCAGAAACATGAGCAGTTGGAAATGAAATCTTGGGCAGGTGGTGGCACGTAATGAAAAGTGATGGGTCACTGAAGGTGTTAAGATTAATCCTCAAGGGAAACATGAGTGAGCTTCAAAATTTCACAGCAATCTATTAAATTGTTGGTTAAAGAACGTCAGATTTGGCCAAAAAGTGTCAGACATGCTCACAGACACTGACATTAAAAGTAAAATGAACAGTTTTAGCCCTACAAATAATTCTATTTGGAAATGTTAAGCCAAACACAAAGGCAAGGAAAGATTCAGCACTGTGTGTGTGTGTGTGTGTGTGTGTGTGTGTGTGTGTGTGTGTGTGTGTGTGTGTGTGTGTGTGTGTGTGTGTGTGTGTGTGTGTGTGTGTGTGTGTGTGTGTGTGTGTGTGTGTGTGTGTGTGTGTGTACCTGTCATGAGCCGAGACAGGAAGGTTTCAGTGAGCTGCAGCACACCGTGGTCAATGTACTGTAGGAAGGTGTGATGCGGAAGCACACGCACCGCAAACACTGATAACAGGGTGTGATAGCCTGGAGGGGAGGACAGAAAGTTAGAACAGGTCCAGAAAAGGAAGAGACTCTAGCTTTTGATGTTCAGTAAAAGTACAAAGAAGCAGAAAAAAGACGGCCATCGACACTAACAGTGCTGATGTTCATCATGTTCATCTTCAGAGCTCATGCTAAAATGTTTAGCTAAACTCACTAGCTTAGCTCAGTGAGTTAGCGTAGTGACATCTTTAGATTGACATTATGAATGTTCATCACATTTACAGTCTCAGCGAAGTGAGCTAACATGCTCATGTCGACAAGTTCGGCGTGTATTACAGTATGTTCTCCCATCTCTGTCTTTGCTCAGCAAGTCGGTATGCTAATATGCTGACGCTAAAAATCCTAACGTAGGCTACATCACTGTGCTAGCTTAGCAGGTTAATGTTGATCTTCAGCATGTATTATGTTCACCTCCACAGTCTGTGTATCTACCACATTCACTGTCTTAGAGCGTGTGAAAGTGTGAGCATGCTAATATGCTAATTTGCATGAAACAAATTGAGGCTGATGGTAAAACTAAATAGAAATGGTGAATGGACTTGAGTTTGTGTAGAGCTTTCCTTTTCTTCTGACTACTTCGTTCTTTTCACAGCACATGCCACACCTATCCATTCACAGCACATCCACACACTGATGGATAGGCTGCTATGTAAAGTTACTAATCCTGTTCATACACGTTCATACACCAGTTCAGACGAAGCAGCGGGAGCAATTTAGGGTTAAGTGTCTTGCCTGAGGACACATTCACATGTGGCTGCAGGAGCTGGGGATCAAGCGCCTGAAACTTCCGGTTTAGAGACGACAAACTCTACCACTGAGCCACAGCGGCTCCTAAACTATATGAGATAGACATGGACAAAAGTATTGGAAAAGGTAGCAACCTGCAGGCTTAACAAAAAAGCAGGATAGTTTCTATTTTACTTTTTTCATCTAATTGTTTTTGGTTTTACATTTTTTGACCAAGGGGAAGTTAACTCAGAATACCTTTACAAACATTTACACACACTTAGACTTGCAGCACTTGTTTATGTGAGAGTGTACGGTCCTGGTTCGTGTCCTTTCCCGATTCCAACCAACTTTTACTCATTCTAAAACCATGAGATTTGCCAACGGGGAGGGGATCATGCGACAAAATTTTTAAAATAAATTCAAATGATTGAAAATGTATTCACACTCTTCTTTACCCATGTCTGCACTATGCTAATGTTAAACATATTTTTGGTTACATTAGTACTGAAGGGGGTGGGTTTGTTGTCCCTGACTGCAAACACACATTGTTATTCTGGGTGAGACAGAGACAGGCTGGTTTATAACAACTGAAAGTGGACGAGTAAGTGTGTGTGTGTGTGTGTGTGTGTGTGTGTGTGTGTGTGGATGGTACCAGGTGGGAGGGGCAGGCAGAGACCCCTCGTGGCTTCCAAGATCCGAAACATGAAGTGAAACACAGACCACTCAGCCGGACTACCCTGCTGCGTGCTGGAACTCAAACAGAAGAATTTTGGACAGGAATGTTATATAAGCGCACATGAAGAGGGGTCACCGACAATTTGCACATGTGGACACACACACAACGGGGAGTTTTTTTTGGGGGGGTGGGTGCACAGATGCGTGAAGGTGCACACATTCTGTCATCGCTTCATACAATACATTAGTTAGAAATAAAGACTTAACAGGACGAGAAAGGGGTACTCACAGGCACAAAACACACGGGCCGAGTTTACTCTTGAGCCAGACTGACTCCAGCATGTGTCTGATGAGCTCCAGCTAAACACACACACACAGACATGCACATGTTAGTGCGCAGGGAAGGAGATGAGAAACATTTGTCCTCCACGTGCAGTCGCATTTACAGGAAACTTTGCACAACGATGATATATTCTGTGAAACATGCAATTTAGACATTTTTGTTGCTGTGATGATGTTTCCTGAAACGTACATTCAGTTCAGTCACTTCTCTTTTGCCTCCCAACAACTTCCCAATTTAATTTCCACTGAACAAGATGACAAAGATGAACAGGATGTGAACTCGGGTTTCGGCATGCAAACGCTCACGCTCAGCCGCGTCATTTCTCAATCCTCCTGTCAGCATCCAGGATCATTTCAGATGCACTTGACTGTCCGAAACATGCCTGCTGCCTGCTCAGACACACACACACACACACACACACACACACACACACACACACACACACACACACACACACACACACACACACACACACACACACACACACACACACACACACACACACACACACACACACACACTCATCGCTCAATCATCTCCTGTGCGATAACAGGAAGAATCTGCCTCGTTCACATCCTGCACACCAGTGGGAAACACTCCACAAGCCCCTCCAAATGTCCTCCTGTGACCTCAGGGTGGGAAATTTAATTAGCTTCACTTATGAAATTGACTTCACCAAAATTAAAGAGGTGTGGGGACAAATGTAATAATAAGCTCCTCGGGGGGGGGTTGTACCATTTTCTCTTATTGCACATCCCTAATAAAAATGTATCACAATGGAAAATCCCACAAAATGAATTTGCTTTGCAAAATGTTGCATGTCCACAATAACAGTTAGTCCTAACGTTATATGAAGGAGACCTCTGAATTCATCTCACTCACAACATTTCATCCAAAGCGTTTCTGGCATTTGAGCATCAAGTGTGCAGGCCTTATTTCTTCCTCCTCTGCTGTACACCTACATGATGTGCGTATAACTACCTCCTTTCTTTTTTCCTAACTTCATATGAAATAAACAGAGATTATATTTAATTGTTTCTGTTTGCTGTCCTTTTTTTAAAATGTCATATTCTCCTCTAATTCTTTGTTGGAATGATTTCCAATTTAAATGTCCTCCCTTCCTTTGTAGTCCTGTTAATCTTTCTTTATGATTTTATTCCCATAATATTCACAAGTATTAGTATTACTGTTATTATAGGAATGATTCCTTATTCACTAGTTTATTTGAATTAGCAGCTAATCTGAATTTCGCTGAGGGAACCTTCCCCAGGGATTAATAAAGGTCCCATCTATCTATCTATCTATCTATCTATCTATCTTATTTATATTGTTTTTGTATGATTATTTTTCTCTTTTCACTTTCAATGACTTCTTCTATGTCGTCTATGTGTATCCATTTATTCCCATTTATTTCCTTCTCTTTTTCATTTTTTTATTCCCTATGTTTCTGTGTTGTCGTGTTGTTGTTGTTTACCTCTTTTGATAAATCTAGGATTCACAGTTTTTTTTATTAATTATTAATTGTTTCACAAAAAGCCACATGTAAACATATCTTAAATTAAGTTACTGTATTTTTCATTAGTTTTTTCATTCTGTGTCTTTTTTTAATTGAGATGATTTATTTTATATATTTTTCAATTTATTTCACTTTTAATGTCTATGTCCCTGTTATTTTCTCCTTACTTGTGAGTTATCTTGTTTATGTTCTGCTTCACAACAATCCAGATGTAAACATTTCTTTGAGACGGTTAAACATTGATCATTATACCTCCTAGAATAAAGAAGGACAGACAGTATATTAGAAGCTGAAGGTTGTGCTTACAATAACCACTTGTGTGAACCTGTATGTATCTTCTTGGATCCTTGGGGGTTTTTTGTATTATTTTTTTCCATTGGATAAGTCACAGAGATTTATTCTTTTAGGGATTCATTTAACGTTTAAGTCAACACAGATGGAAAAGAAAATCCCCTTAAAGTAACACAGCAAACTATTCATCCAGCAGTCTGAAAAAACAATAAATAATCTGAATGTTTGATGCATTGGACCACTTCTTCTCCAACTTCAAATATTCATATTTGGGAACACAATGAGGCAACTTTTCAAGCAAAATGCATCATTTAGGTTTATGATTACTCCAGCTAATATATCATGTGCTTGCTGCTGCTGTAATCCAAGCCCCTAAAGTTCCTTTAAAAAAAAAAAAAAAGAAGAAGGACGGAGTGATGTAGGCAAGATGTTTTCAAGCTGAAATGAAAGTCGAACAAAAGGGGTACAAGTGATTTAAAGCCACTGACTCAGGCTTTCTATTCCCTGTGTGACTTTCTATTTGAATAAAATCAGGAATCAGCAATTCGTCTTAATGAGCGTCGGCTCGACAAAGACACTGGATTTACTCGCTCGGCGCACCTCCCCTGCTGAGGAAGAGTTTAATGACCTATAGGATCACCCTCATGCATAATTAAAAACATGCTGGTTGTTCTTTACATGCGTTGAGGTGGAGAAAGAGCTAGATGTGGGTTGTGTGTAGCAACAGGGAAAGAAGATGAATAAGTCTGACAATAATGTGCAGTGGAGCTGTAATTTATCATAAGAGAAGTTCCCTCGCTCTTAAAAGCTCTAATCTGTTTCACCGCCAACTTCTCCCGTGTGTCAACGCAGCCATTAGTCTCAATAAGCAGCGACAAGTAGGGGGAGATGTTCCTTTATTTGTGGAGGAGAGGTCGGCACTCTTTAAAACACTACCAGCCGGAGTTTTTAAAGCATGACTCAGCGTAATGTCCTAGCACATCATCCTGGCTGGTGAGGTAGTCGACTTTCTTGAAGAGAGACGTCGCAGAAAGCTTTTTTTTTTTTTTTTTTTTTTTTTTAAATGGCTCCTCAACTGAGACACTTTTTCACTTTTACTCAGCTGAATAAATTCAATGATCACCTCATTTTTCAATCGCAGGGCAACGAAAAAATGATTACAGACACGCCTATTTCCATTACTTTCATTTTGATTCTGAAGACACAGGTTAAGACTCATGAGCCTGTCGTCCCCCGAGCCAAGACATCGACCGATCCAGGGAGGATTTCTCTGCTCTTTTTTTTCCTCTTCTTCTTCTTCTTCTGTCATTTGCAATTCCATAAAGTCCCAAAAACGTGGTGCATCCTGATTTCTATTCAATTCCAGCCTTACCCTTGGCCTGATTTAATACCGTTCTGTTGATATATGCTGTATGTCTGCTTTCAGCGGCTCCAAGCTGTGAAGGGATTTACCTCTCAGGAATACTAAAGACCGACTTTACAGAACCTCTTTCTCTATAGGGTACCGAGACGCGGAGTGGTTACGTCTGCTCCACTTGGTAATGCAGGTCCCACCTGATGCTCTTTGGTCGGTTACAAAACATGGAGGTGTGGCTTTCAAAGCCTCGAAGAGGTAAAGAGAAGTTGTACTTTTATATACATTTAAATCTAGAAATGATGTTTAAATTGTCTTTGTGCTTTAAAAAAAATATTTACCAGGTTCTGCAACCCATGGAAAACAACTTATATTGTTAAAGTATAATTTGGTGTTTTGGAAAATGGAAGATCAATGATGAGCTTCTTTCCGCTTAATTAAAGGCTACAACAGTCAGTTAGCTTAGCTTAGCTTGGGATATGAGAACTAGTGGTATCATCTAGCACAGCTCCATCTGAAGTTAAGAAGATCCTGCGAAAGAGCAACTTGAAGGCTGATTAATCATCCAACTTTATTTTAGAAAATGTCGAACTATTCCTTTAACGCATCAATTCTAGGGATTCATGTCACCTTAAAAGAACCCTAAAGTACTAAACCTCTCAGCATCCATACAGTCTATTACTCCATTAGTGTGATAAAGAGTTAATTTGAGTTCTTATCTCCTGTAACTAACTCCTCTTGAGAGTTTTGACTGATTTGGAAAGTTTAATGTCTGTGATAAGAGAGGTTAAATACACTCTGTTTTTGAATCTTGAAGACATGCTGACTTGTGTGTTCCTCCACTGTGAGCAACATAAAATCGTTCTTATTTTTTAAACCTTGGGAAGGGAAAAACCCAGGGAGAAATGAGCCTTCCAGTCTGTTACATGAAGCATTACTGACAACTCTTTATGGCTCAATCGTTTTTTTTTTTTCTTTTTTAAAGGCTCACCAACAAACATCCAATCTCCCAGACACAAACACATCCCGGGATGAAATCACATGAATTGGAGCTGGTTAAGGACACATCTTTCACCGGAGAACGGCGGTGTGTTTAAAAAGGAGTGACACCTGATGGCTTCCAGCAGCCTCTCTAAACTGAAGAGCACACATCCATCTGAGAGCTCTGTCAAAGTGTTCGGTTAAAGTGGAAAACTCACTGCCTTTTCCACTGAGCCATCCGCGCTGAGTGTCACTTAACCTTCACCAAAAAAAGGCTAAGGGCGGACATTAAGTAAACATAACTTGTAGAAGGATGTGCCTTTGGAAGAAAAGAAGAAAACAAAAAGGAGGCAACCCTCCTTCTCAATTTTTTTTCTCCCTCCGACACACACAAACACCACACTGCCCACACGTTGTGTACCAACCAGTTTGGCGACGTAGTTGACAACGAGCGAGTCGATCTTCTTTTTCCCCAGTCGAGGCAGGTGTCTGTTCAGATGCTCGCGGAGCTTGTCGACCGTCTGAAAATTCAAGATACAAAACGCAGATTATTTTCTGTGTTTGTGAAGATGTGTTTAGGTAAGAGTTTGTGTGTGTGTGTGTGTGTGTGTGTGTGTGTTAAGCATACTTTGCCGTGCACTCAGCAGGGTCAAATTGAGTTCACCTCGACTTTTCCCTCGACTACAGTGTCCTTAAATTGATTTAACCATAGAGAGGGAAAAAGAAGAGAGGAAGAAGAGGTAGAGAATAAAGAAAAAGTGGACGTGAGGAGTAAAAAAAACGTGAAAGTGAAGGTCTAGAACTAGTTTAAGGAAAAAGGGCAAGAGGAAAAAGAGGGATTGATGTGAAAGGGAAAGAAGATGTATAGAGAAAAAACAGAGACAGGAGGGCTGGGTCGCTCTAAGAATAGCTGAGCGACTGCTAGCATCTAGCCTGAACTCCATTAAATTGAAGCTATCTGCTCTTTAGAAACTATGCTGAGTACAGGGGAAAACCGGAGGATATGAAATTGTCCATCAAACAGCGTTCAGGAGGAGAAAAAAAAATTGCAGACGGGGACCTTAAAACGCCCTCTTTTTTTTTAAAGTGTCGACTCATCTGAAGCGTAACAGCAGTTTCACCTTAAAAGATGACTATGGAGGGAAAGCACCAGCTGTCAGCACTTCACTATGGATCTTTAGAGGTCTATATATCATCAGCCCATGTGAGAGGAACAATCCACCTACAGCAGCTGTTGAACTGCTGGATATCAACAATCTGAATGCTTCTTCAGAGGAATGTTTCAACATGCACCTATTCTTTCATTGTTCATCTTCTACTACAGTAAAGAGAAGAAGAAAAAAAAAACAGTTCAACAAAGGGACTTCACAGAAGGCGCTGTATCTCAAAAGCAGCATCCCAGGCTGTTTCATTATTTCCTATTCTCATCCTGCTCTTTGAGTTTGACTGGCAGGGTTGGAACTACTGGCGTTTGAGATAGTTGAAGGACTTCCTGCTTTTCAAATACCCCCATGTTTTGTCATGAATGAATGATTGGCTGATACTTTGCCTGAATGAGTCATTTTAAAATCCTTGAAGTCTTTCAAGATGCATTTGACTATCTGCCCAAAAAATAAAGTATAAGACACCCAAAGAGTCCAACACAAAACGCACCTCAAGCTCCAGTGAGCAGTTTTTTTTTAGCTGGTTATGAAACTGACAGAAATTAGTACTGATGCTCCTTAATGGGCTACGTGAGCAAAAATATCATCAGCATAAAGATTGATGATTGCAAATGAGGTTTTTATTTATGAGTTGACACTGCAACTCAAGTGGCTGCAGCTATTGGTTAGCATTTAGCCATGATAGCATGAGCGAGCATTGTGCATTCCAAGTTTCTTTGATATTTAAAGGTTTATTTTGGGGGACTGTGGATAGAGTCAAAAAAAATGGGGGAAAGAGAGAGAGAGAGAGAGTGTGGAGAATGACATTGCAGAGTTCCAAACATAAAAAAAACAACATCATTTTAGCAGTGTTAGTGTGTGCATATGTTGCAGCCATTGACTGTTTTCAGCATCGGTCTCTCTCACCAGGCCTATGAGCGCCCTCTGTTGTTGGTCCTCCTCCTGGAAGAGTGGCACCAGCTTCTTATCTAAAAAAGAGACCAGGCAGTAGTGAGAGTGTGCACATAACAGAACTGTTTGAAGACACGTTTGATGCTGCATCTACACTCCAATGAACACCACAGGTAGCCTCAGGTGTGTCGGTGCAGTAACATCTTTAAACAGGCCATCAGTAGGAATCGAAGAAACCTGAGCTCTGACTTGTTTATGGCTTTAATAAAAAAAATAAAAAAAAAGGACTGAATCGAGGATATTAATGGTTTCTTGAGGAGTGTGTATTGGCTTTAAAAAAAAAAAAATACACCACAAAGCTCTGGGGTTATGAGGCTGCAATCCCTCTGGGGGTGTGTGTGTGTGTGAGTGTGTGTGTGTATTTGTGTGTTAAGCGTGTGTGTGCATACTGCAGCTTTTCTTATGTCAGCCACAAGGAAAAAAGTGGACCAAGCTCCAGCTCGGTTACTGGAGATAAATTATTGCACACACCATCTTTTTGATCCCTTTTGCACAGCCGCAGAAGCAGGCTTCTTGATGTTAGTGTTCTATGTTACAGATAAATATAGCAGAGCCCAGCTTACTGACAGGCTGCACCGCCACATTCACTGGATGCCTGTCAGCAGTTTCAATTGATCACCCACTTCACATTTACATATGTAAGAGAATTGTGTCGTCCTGTACTCAGAATATATTTGGACTCATTTGATTTGAAATTGGTAACGCTTATTGTTCCATCAATTTCATCTAGTTATAAACAGTTCAGCGCTAGATGGTATTTTTTTAGCATTAAAGTCTGATAAATAACTGATCAATTGCTTTACAAAAACACTCTCACAGTTATTCAAGAAACACACAGGATACCAAAATAAATGAGGAGGTGTAACCAGCCAGGGTTAGTTCAATAAAATATAAAGAAGTAAGGCAGAATAAATGGTCATTTTGCAACACTATGTACATTATTGTATGAATAAATTAACTTACTAGATGGATAACAAGTAATAAAGTGATGTAATGCATGTGAAATGGTAAATGGACGAGCTGGTATAGCTTTTCAAGTCTTCTGACTACTCGAAGGGAAGGAACTACTGTAAGAAGCAAATGTCACCATGCAAAATTCTACATGAGAATTTTAAGCATTTTACTTCCTATTACTTCCTATATCTGATAGACTAAACAATGGGAATTTAAAAAATATATATATTGACACATCACTTAATCACAAAAGTTATTTTTTGTTGGCACTAAATCACTTAAGAAAACACTCACGGTGTATCCTCACTCCGTGCACACTGGATTCTTTCTACTGTTAAATTAAAAGAGCATCATTGTTAGGCTGCTATTTCTTAATGATAGATTTGGTAATGGATGTTTTTTGTGCACCAGTCCTGGACCCGCCTGCCTGATCACACCTGCCTGTAAGTCAACTATGCAGATCAATCAGCACACCTTCCTGCAGTATCTGCACTGCACATTATGACAGTTTCTTAGACTTTATAGTATTAACAAAGATGTCTGTTGCAACCTAAATGTATGCATCTAGTGAATTTATTAGAACATCACTGGGGCAGCAACATGCATGTTATCATGTGATCAAATTACAGCCTGCAAGTAACACGATATACCGCTTGAGCCTTGGGTTGTAAATAACTATTTCAGCAAGGGATGCAACATGCATTGGAAAACCAGGGGTGAACGTCTTGTCAGCGATAAGATATGTGATTGAATTGGCAGAGACTGTTTGTTTCATAAGTAATTGGAGGCAGTCTGTGGATATATGAGCTCATCCATGTGTATTTTAACTGAGGTTAGGGAAGGTCCCGTGTTGTCTTTGATTCATAACGGCTTCACTGTAGTCATGAGAGCGAGCGTGATGAACAAGGAGAGAATGAAAACGAAGGAGACAAGGGGAGGAAGTACCCATCTCAACACTGTTATATAATTGTAGCAACCCTCCCTCTTTTTCGTCTTCCTTTCTTCTCTTCCTCCCTTTCTCTCCCTCCAAGATAAATTAACGTGGTGGTTCTGTTTAGTTGAATTCTCCAGTGGCCGTGAAGTATGTGACCTCCGTGGAGCACACGAACCAGAACCTCTTTTTTTTTTGTTATTTATGACATTCACTCTCTTTGTGTTGTGTGTCTGTGTGAGTGGGGCATCTATGGATTTACGTCTGAGTGTTTGTGTGTGTTTGGTGCCGTCTCTTACCCAGACACCAGGTGTCCACCGTTGATAGAACTCTACAGAAAAAAAAGAAAGAAGAAAGCTGTGAGTGAAAAAAAACAAATCCCTCCAGCCAGCATTATAATAAGAGTCTTACTTTTTATGCTGGAAGCAGATGCAGTATAATTCTCGTCTGCTGCGGTCGGCTACAAAAATATATCTAAACTTTGAGAGAACCTTTTTTTTTTTTTTTTTTTTGGGTTCTTTTTTTGCAGGTGCTGAAGTTTGGCCTAGGGGAGGCTAATTATGAACAAAAAAGCTGTTGGTTTGATCATGAGTACAAACAGGGGAGAGGTATGAGTAATTCAGAGCAGGTTTACATCTGCGGTGCGTTCAGGTACAGGCCCATCATCGAGAAATTTCATCATAAACTACTCAGTGGCGCCTTATCATGTATTTTTCAATGTAAGTATTGAGTGTTTAATAGCGTAACCTGTTACTGTATACTAGTGAGGACTTTTTTTCTGTGTTGTTTGACTTTGGTAATGGAAACTTAACTTATGCCATCCACAATGCTGATGCACATTATCATTCACAACACGTCGGTGGAGAGTGAGTGGAGGCATACTTATCAGGGCTCCCAACAGGTCATGAAAATTAAGGTATGAGCTCAATTAAGGCTCCAGACAGGACATATCAAATTATCTGGGGGGGGAGAGAGCAGATCTGAGAGTTTTACTAATGTGTCGTTTTACACTGAAAAGTACTTGGGTCGCATTTCTTAGACTCTTGTTTAATTCTTCAATCATACTTTCAACATATCTGAGCTATCACTCAAACATCTAGATAGGGTGTTAATGCACTCCAGCATAGTTAGAGAATAAGGATTTTGTTTTGTTTTTTGAAGATGAATAATGACTCAATCCGACTAATAAAGAGATTCCTATGTTTCCAAGTCAATACAGTTTATTCTAAGGTCATGCTGCTAACACCATCTTGACGCTATTAATACTCGACGTGGGCTCCAAAATGGGTAATAATCCACAGCTGACAATAGTTCTCAAGAAGTAGACTTTGTGGAAAAATCAAAAAGCAATTTCATATTTTTATCCTCTGAAAGTTACACCATCGGTAGCAGCCAGTGGATTTAGAGCTGAGTAAAATCCGTCTCTTGTAACACCTCCTCTTTCTCATTTCTGAAAAGTACAGATTCAGAAATGTTTCTAAACCCTAATCATTTTTCAATATTCATTTTAGGTCTTGGGAAAATGAAACTATTTGCACCAAAGAGACACTGAAAACACTGAGACACAGACGCAGTCATCTTTCCACTTTCAGGTCTGTGCGTCTACTTTTCTTAAAAGCTCCACTGGGGAGGCAGACCTACTTTTTTGTGTTCTCCTGCATGTGAGTCATGTGGCTGGATGGTTTCCTCTCCGACCTCTGACACACAAAAAAACAAAAAAACAAGCAACTTTGTTAGCTTAATACAAAACAATTACACAATGTGTTCTTCATTTGCTTGTGATTCTTATTGGGAGCACACACACACACGCGCACACACACACACACACACACACACACACACACACACACACACACACACACACACACACACACACACACACACACACACACACACACACACACACACACACACACACACACACACACACACACACACACACACACACACACACACACACACACACACACACACACACACACACACACACACACACTCACTCACTCACTCACTCACTCACCAGTTCGTCCCAGTCGCCTCGTATGTGAGACGTTCTGTATCTGGGGTTAGGACCAGCATCCAGACATTTTGTCCTCTCTGTGTTCCACTGCAGCTCTAACCAGAAACCCTGGAGACTTCTGGCCTGCACGCACACACACACACACACACACACACACACACACACACACACACACACACACACACACACACACACACACACACACACACACACACACACACACACACACACACACACACACACACATCCCACAGTGACACAGCAAGGACATTGCAACAAATAACTGAGGATGTTGCATCTTAATGAAGTTCAATCACACACAGTGAGTTTAAAAATCACACGTTTCATTATTACTGTTTTTTTTTCATTTCACCTTGACCCCGCCACACTAGTCTTAGTTTAGTTTGATGCACTGGTTCAGGAAACCGTAAAAGTAGCTCAATAATTCTGTATCCTTACAACAAATACAACAGACATATTATATGAAGCAGTTTGATTGAGATAAAATGTGTTTCAAGTATTTAAAGAATACAGTTACCTTCCCTTTGAACACACATTCAGTATGTAAATCGGTGGTACATGACACACCAGGGACCTTTGATAGACACACTGGTATCTCCTAGAATACAAAGAGACACGTATTAAGTGTGTGTGTGTGTGTGTGTGTGTGTGTGTGTGTTTAACAAAAAAAAGAAACAGAGTTTAAAACACATGCTCTATGCATGTGTGTATGTTGTACCTTCTTGTCGCACACAGAGGAGTAAGGCAGGACTTTATCCAGGCTGAGAGACTTCTCATAGCTTATCCTGTACAAAGAGGCTGTGTGTGTGTGTGTGTGTGTGTGTGTGTGTGTGTGTGTGTGAGAGAGAGAGAGAGAGATAGAGACATAACAGTTAGGCTTTTGTTCCATACATCAGTTGCAACATTTCAATCATCGAAACAAGGCACTCAACATTAAGAAGACAAACATTGACAACAGTTGTTTTGCCAAACAGCAGGTTTAGATGTAAAGAATGTTTTTATGTGTGTGCCCGTGTTGTTGCACTGTGGGGTTCCTAATGTGCCTCTTTAAGGCAAAACAAACACAACAAGCATCAATCTAAAAACAAAAGCTCAATTGTGATTTGAGAATTTGAATTTGAGGAAGCTGTTTTAGTTGCAGAATTTGGGATAGTTAAGGTGAATGTGTGTCCTTTTCTGAATAAGAGCAAGTGAGATACCGTGCTGCTGTCTTTAAAGGCTAAGCTGCTGAGAAATAAAAAGAAATCCTCAAATCTACTTCACAGATGAATCCAAACAGGGATCTTTGTTGTTATTTGTCCGTCTACTGTTTCTCAGTCACCATCAGGTTGTTTATACAGTATGAAACAGAGGGATAAACATTTAAAGTGCACGTTTACATGTGTTGGGTTTGTTTGTTTTTTAGTGACAGTAATTCGGTATCATGGTTTTTACCTGGCATCTCAATATTTTGTGTGTCTGTGTTTGTGATTCTCTGTTTGTTGGAGGAAGGGGAACAGAGAAGCTATAGTTTGGCATGCTGGATTAGTGGCTGAAAAACAGTCCTGCCAATTTTCGGATAAGGGATAAGCCGGGAATACAGCTGTGCAGCTTTATTCCTGCTGTTGTGAAGTTGTTAACAGCACAGTGGGAGGATTTTTATCATGTTTATTGATGCATTACGATGCGAAGGGCATGCTCTCGGTTTGTACTCTAGTGTCTTAATTGTTATTTTACTTCTTGTTTTGTACTTTTTGTTTTTCTTTGATAAACTAACAGAAACTTAACTTCTATTTTTATTTTTTATAAGTATATTTAACTTCTATTTTTATTTTTTTATTTTTTATAAGTATATTCCCGTCCCCTGTTTTCTGGAGCTGCTGTAATACACAAATTTCCCAATAAAGTTTATCTTTATCTTTTATCTTTATCTTTAAAAGGCAAAAGCAACTGTGACTGCCAAAACAACCTGTTTTTTTTTTGTCAAATTTTGTCAAATTGCTTTTCCAGTCCAGAGTCTCTGGAGAGGCTGTGGACAGGACAAATCGACTACCAGTCAGTCATTAATAAAATATAATGTGAATATCTTACAAATATCAAAGCCACTGAGGAATGTGTTTGCTTCTAGCTTATGTTCATCTCTTTGAAACTCACTTAATTTAAGCTTCTAAATCCTATTAAGAGACATTATGGAGGTCTATATTCACAACATCCAAGGCTAAAACAATACCTTGTGGTCTTCAGGGGGCATACCTGCAATTTGTAAATCATGTTTATGAACAATATTTGCGCTAACATTTCTCTTATTATCGGTGTGAAGAGGGGCCTCAGAAGAAGTCCTGTCACATAGTCATCAGTGATATAGAACAAGTCGGTTACTTGTGTTGCAATTTCGGACGCCAACATAAAAGTCCCCGGGGGTTGACAAAATGATGGAAGTTGCTGAAGAGGTGCCAGGACGCTTCTTGAGCAAGGCACCGAAACCCCCCAACGGCTCTGGCGCGCTTCCCGCGTTGCAGTGTGCAGCAAGCCCCACACTCTTTCCACTAATGCATGTTCACACGTTTTTGTGCACATGTGTATTTCGTGGGCCGTACTGTATGTGTGTGAGAAGCATAGCTCTCAATTACAACGTGTAAACTATTCAAATCAAAAAAAATGAATTCTCTGTTACAGAAGGAGCTCCATTAACTAATCACCTCGCTGACAAACTGTTTTCTTGTAAATATGGAATCAAAATGTTGTCGCATTTTTCAGTGATTTCCTTCTCTCTCGTGGACATACAGCTGTGTTGTGCTGGCTAAAAATAACTAAATTCATCCTCTAATCTATCTCTCCAGACCCTGCATCTCTCCGCCTGGCATAAGTCAGCGAGAACCGATGCGAAAGCCAAACAGACTTGATGAAAGAATTCTGTTTTGTGTAGACAAGATGTAAGCACTCTGGTAACCACACACACACACACACACAGAGGGAGACATAAAAAGGCAAGAGCTGCAGCTAGACTCTAAAAGGAGAAAAAGAAGAAGAAGATGTGATACTTTTTTGTCGCCCATGCTGCAGCTGATACTGACCCAGAATGAACTCCTGGATCTGATCAAAGGACTCGAACGGGTTCACATTGTCACAGAGCCATTCGATGATCTGGAGGCAGAGCAGAAACACGGGGAGAGGGGAGAGGGGAGGGGGGGGTCAGAGGTGGTGGGACAGCAGCTGTACAACATGTTCCTCTTTCAGTTTCCTTACGAACTAGATTGACAAGTGGACACATCTTCTTGTTGCATTTCAGAGCAAAGTGACATTATGTGACATATTCACTTTTCTAATGGGAAAGACTTCAAGCAGGGGACGGCAGTTAGCTTGGCTGTGCACTTATAACCTTACTGTAACTTATCGAAACAACTTCTCCCCCCCCACCCCCTTTTTTTTTTTAAAAGACTGAATCAAGTCAACAAAACCCGGGTTTTACACATGGACTGTAAATATCAATAGAAAGCCTGAGTGACGTCACTCAACTGTTACCACAGTGGGGTCGGAGGCTTGATTTAAAATCAAAACCACCGCGGAGAGGCTAATTTTTTCCCACGTCATTATTGTGATTAGAAGGAAAATGCCTCTTTCTAAAAGAACAAATAACTTCAATTGATTCATAATTAGAATTTTATCGCCTAGCTACGGCCACAACCTTCCCCTAGTTGGGGTCTAAGTGAGTGATACGCCTGCAGCAAACAAGATGATGATCAATGATATGTATGGTCTCGGTCTTGTCTCGCCCTGCCTTGATCTCGGCTTAGACCCGGTCTCGATCCCTAAATGTGTCGGTCTCGATCCCTAAATGTGTCGGTCTCGATCCCTAAATGTGTCGGGGCGCTCTGGTCTCGGTTATGTCTTGGTTAGTGCCACCTGACTTTTTACCCAACACTACACGGAGGTCTATGTACGTGATTAATTTAGCATAGCAGCGTACCTAGCATACCTGCACACTAAGTGAAGATGGACAATAGCGTATTAAAGATTGAAAAAAAAAAGAGTCTTAAGCCATGCTGCGAGCTAACATTAGCATGCTAACAAACTGTGGATGTTCACTTTGATATTGAAAAGAATTCTTGGATCGTTGTAGCTTCAATGATGCCCTCTAAGATATTCTCAAAAACCTCTTTTTTTTTTTTCTCTTGACATTATCTCATCTGTTTGAACATACGATTCAAACTAACATTGACATAAAGATATTTCTTCAAACACTGTGTAACCATTGTAAGAGGAGGAAGAAAAGGGAGGCAGATAAGGAACAATTTGCACAGTATTCTCTTCAAGTTACAAACTGCCTCCAACAAAGCAAAGTATATTCACGAGCAATCACCTTTGACAAAGCGTCCGCTTTTTGTGTCGCTGGCCCCATTTAATGGAGGCGACAAAGAATACAAAAAGTTCTGTGTGGTGTCCAATTTCCCAGTGCAAGCTGCACTAATGAAGCTGGTGACTCATTTAACCTCTAAAGAGAGAATTTATTACAATCTATCAGAGCAGCTGGAACATCTTAATCTAAGAACACCACTAATAAAGGCTGAGTCATCGTGAGCACTGTGCCCAAACAACATATCCGTCCCTTTTTCTTTTTGTTAGTGTTTAAGTCACTTTGATCTCTGTCCCCTTGTCTTCTCTCGTCTTCAGAGTCAGTGCATCTTCCTGCCTCCTCTCTCTCTCTCTTTCTCTCTCTCTCTCTCTTCTCCCTCCGTCGGCTCACTTCCAACTCAAGGTTGACACCTACTGAATTCCCATGGAAGTGCAGAAAATTACATTTGTTTCAAATATATCGCCTTCACCTAGGAGATACATTTGGAATAAATGTTTGAAGAAAAAAAAAAAGATATAAAATCTAATATTTAGTACAACTACTTCAAGTTCTACAAATAAGTAACGGCACTGTGTTGTGTGAAAAAGACTATTCTAGGTGTGTGTTCTGTGGGCTCTGTTGTTGTGTTGTGTCTTTGTTTGGGGTAAAAATGCAACCTGATGTTAATTTAAACATTACATAATTGTAAGTGTGCTTTGTGTGACAATAATTTTGTCCTCCTGAAACTTTTTTTTTTTGGCTTCATTTGTACCTTCAGCTCCAGGTTTGGGTTGTTTCCCATGTAAACCAGCAGGCAGTGGAGGGCGGCCAGGCGCTGTGGCTCGCTCTCGCCGCTGGGACACCTTGGATGGAGGTGACGTTACAACAAATTTACTTTCACACAACACAAGCATACGCAAACAGGGAGACACGAACGCAGACGCACAGGCAGCCAATCGACAGACAGATGCTGTACTGTGATGTATGTGCTGCTTACAAAGTGGATCTTTAAAAATGCATACATGAAAAGTACAAAAACAGCGCAAAGGGGAACTAATGCATCATTTTCTGCAGGCAAGGATTCAAATTCAAGCACATTTTTATTCGAGAAAGATTCTTCAGGTGCACGGAAGGAGAAATCTATTTCCTTTCTGCTCCCTTTTATGCATATAAACCCCCAAATATACATAAATCATTTATTTCTGAATGCAGTTATAATAATGAATAACAATAAATCCGATTTATATTGCGCTTTTCTAAATACTCAAAGACGCTTTGCATCATACTCACCTAGAAGGAGGGTCTGCTCGCAGTATCTGCAGCAGGTATGCAGGGCTAAGCTCAGCAGAGTGAATCCTCCCAGTAGCCAGGTCCAAAAGACTACCGTTAGACTCTTCCTCTGCATGCAACACTGTGATGTTAGCTGACTGACACTGCAGGCCCAAATCGACATCAGGACCTTGAGACGAGTGAAGCAGACAGAGATGACGTTAAACACATGAAAAATTGGCTTCATATGAGGGTAAAAAGCTCTAATTTTGTTAAACATACATGGGGGGGGGGGGAGTTCTACAGCTGGTAAACAAGCTGCTCCACAGGCATCGCTCAGCGTACCCATGATGTGGGCGAAAAAAAATAAAAAGCCTCCGTCTTACCTGAGAGAAAGAGGGAGTGACAGAGCATCTCCTGCTGCCTGGTGTTGATACAATGGAGGAAATAACCCTGCAGGTACACCAGGATGAAGTAACCTACATACAGGAATAACACAGCCGTCACTGTCGGCGTGCATGTTGGTATTCAGCCTGCACACCAGACATTTATCAAGGCTGCACGAGGACACACACTCTTGTTTGTATTTGTGCATCTGTCTTGAATGCACAAGTAGGGAATGCATTTGGGCAGACAAACTCTAAGACTTGGTTGAATTTATGAAGATTCTTATGCATGTGTGTGTGTGTGTGTGTGTGTGTTATACAGTATCTGTGCAATGACCTATAGGAATGAAGAGTGGATGGAACTGTGTGGCTTTCTGCTGTGACTGGTCACTGCCCAGAGATACTCTGAAGGCTCTGCTGCAGTCTGCAAAAAAAAAGGAGGGAAATGTCAGGACAAAAAACAGGATGTAAAGCGATTCAGATATGGGAGAAATGGATTCTTTGTACTGTATTTGAATATAAAATGTGTGTATAAAATACACACCTTTGTGCACCAAAAGCACAGTGTAGATCACCTCCTGTTCTTTGATTGGTTGGCTGTAGCATACACACATGCTTCCTAAAAGCAGACCACAGGACAAAGCTGGATTAGATCACACACGTCAAGTCACATCTATTTATGATGAATGAGAAATGAAATCACTCCTGATATGTATCTACATATCAATATCTAAAATCTATCAGTTCGTTAGGGTGTTAAAATCAGTAACGAATTGAAATAGGAGTAAATTGAGATTTTCTGGTAGTTAGAAATCAAAGATGTAATCCACAATTTCATGAAGGAATCAAATATAGATTGTAAAGATGACTCCTCCCTTTTTTGAGAGTGGACCTTCAATCGTATGAGAATACTATCAAGGGATACGTGATCAATTCTAAACCTTTTAAAAACACTTCCTGATATTGATTGGCACATTTTCTGAATTAAACTCTTCCAGCAATCTTTAGATAATTTCATTGTCCCACAGATTGATTTTCTGATTCATGGTGCTCGAGAACAAAATTCACTTATTTAACAGTTTGTGTTCGACTTGGACTTACTTTCTTGTTTTTTGCAGAGAGAAATGAAAGGAAAACAACAACAAATGGAATTAGTCCTGAAGAACAAGTGCACGTAATATAAGAGAAATACCGCGGTTAAACGAGTGTGTGAATGTGTTACCTATTCTATTTGTGAACACTTCCATCCTAACAGGCTCCTGCTCTGCTTTCTCCACGTGATAATGGTCAAAACCCAGATTCACAAACCTGTCGGGGATGCACAGCAAACATAGTTATGAAGGAGCCCAGCAAACTGTTTCACAGCACATGAGGTGCACAGTGACTCGTTTCAGTTGCAGGTGCATGTCAGAGGCATTGCAGAAAAGCAGAATACCAAAAACGTGCCGAGAAAACATGTTTTTTTTTCTGTACTCGTAGTTGTTTCCTTACTTGACTGTGCGGAAAGGATTAGCGGGCAGGTCTAATGGGAGCTCCAACTGTGGGGCAGCAATAAAAGGCAAGATGATTTAAAGTTATTGTTCGGTCATTATGCTTCAGAGAGAGACTGGCCATTTCTTAAATTACTAGACGTGGAAATGACTCACCACAGTCTCACAGTTATGGCTGGGGTAAAACTGAACACATCGCATGAGGAACTTGACCTGTAAAATGTATACTTTTTTTAAAATATCTAAAGCCTTTTTTTCTATATTTATGGATTAATGTAAGGTGTGTGTGTGTGTGTGTGTGTGTGTCTTACATTATGAGTGAGATAGTAGAGTCTCTGTGTGTGTCCGTCCCACTGGACCCAGTTAAAATCCTCCACAATCCGCTCTGCTGTTTTGGTCAAATGATCTGGATTGGCCATCACCTGGTTCACACGGACGCATTCATTTAATGCACAGTTCAACAAGAGGACGCGAGACAGTTTGTTTTTACGACCTGAGACTGAGGCCAAAACTGAATACTACAGCACTGCGTTAGTATTTAAATATGTGCTTGTACCTTTACCTAAAGATTTTTGCTTACTAATAATAAAATATGTGCACCATTTATACCGCTAGAAATCAGCAGAGAACCCACCACCACAAATCCTGAATGCACTACACAATTTATGTGCTTAGCAGGAATCCATTGACACCTTCCTCAAAAGAGCAGGTGTTCAAAATGAAACCTGTTGTGAATGCACAGTCCAACATACCACCCTGTATCCCTCCTGTTTTGTCAGCAGAACATGGTAGAGGTCCACATCTGGAACGCACAGATGAGCGTGGATGAATTTCTAACACTTTCTCGAATGTTTTCACCGGAGAATGCAAATGTTTTTCTGTAAGAAGGAGCATTAAGGGGCAGACGCAGACCGACTCACATCCGTCCTCGGTCAGCAGCAGCAGGTGGCTCTCCAGCACTGATCTCCGGTCAGTTTCTGAATTGAGGAACTATGGAGGCGAGAAAACACGAGTCAGCGTGTGAATGTGGGGTTTATAACGAGTTGCCAGTTGACAGCTTGCTGATCTCCATGTTTAAATGTGAGCGTCAAACATTTCTTGTGCATTTGTGATTCAAGCAAAGGCCTCTGTAATATCCACAGTGGCTGGGAGACATAATTAATGTGTTTCTCTCATAAAAATAGATATAACTGAGAAAGAGAGACTGGTTTAAAAAAAAAATGCACTTTCAGCTAGCTTGTAAAATAAATGAGCTGTGACACTTGTACACAGTAAGCTCCAATGGTCCCGAGCTGCAGCATCAGCTTGTTGCTGCAGTATAAAAAAACACCCAGCATGAAAGTGGCTCGAGACAGCACACATAAATTCTACCTGCACTTTGACCCTGCAGTCTACAGCCTTGAGGACTTTAGTGTTGTTGATGGGATGGATCTCAATCAGAAGAGTCAGACACTTGGATACTACAAAGACAGAAAGAGTAAGAAGAGATTAGATTTAAGCTTTCATCACATTGAATATTTCAGTAGGCTGTATTCGAATGTGAATGAAAAGGAGGGAAGGAGATCTGAGGTGTTACTTGGTCTGAGGCGCTCCTCTCCTCTGGTGTTTTGTGCCAAACTGACAGCTGAGAGGAAAAAGAAGCACAGGGAAAATGTCACAGCACTTGATTTAAATATATTTTCCAAGCACCGTGGCTAAATCACTGTTTTAGTTAGCTATGATTTTGCCCAGCTGCAGTGAAAGCTGTGTTTGTAGCCTTATTCCTGTCGGTACCACCTTCGTTATAGGCGGTGTTATAAGTCCTGCAGGTGGTTCCTGAATTTGGCTGGTCAGACGCCAGGTTTAGTGGAAACACTGAGTCTGTCAACACTGAAATGAGGGAAACTCTGGGTTTTTTGTTTCAGAAAGGGAGATCACTCAAACCCGAGAAAGCGGGGTAACTCAAGCTTGTTCCAGAAAGAGAGGTAGCTGAATCACTTACCATGTGTAACTGAGTCTGTGAACCTAAAATCTGAGCTGTTGGGCTTCGGTGCCTTACTCAAGGCAAACTCAGCATTGATCAGGAAGTGAACCTCCCCAGCTACCAGGCCAATTTCCAGACCTAGCCTGCACGAGGACTTAAACCGGTGGCCCTTTGGTTCAAAACCCAAGACCCTACAAACTGAGCTACAGCCGCCCCAGAATAGACCACATTCACACGCATTGACTTTGAGCAGAAATGTTCTCCCAAACCACTTCTCTGCCCTTTGCCACTGCAAGCTGTGTTACCTCTTTTTGTCACCTGTTGCCATGGTGAATTGTCGTATCAGGGCTCAATTAATGTTGCCTTTTTATAGTCGTGGTGCACGTGCTGAACTCAAGAGTGAAACTACTCAGATCAGCTGTTCTGGGAACCAGAAACTCCCTAATTTCCCATCGGAGAGTGAATCCACTCAGAGTTCAGGGTCAGACTCAATGTGAACCTCTCACTCTATGGACTGATTTGGTGTCGGGATGAAATACAGTACTGCATACAATGTCTGCTGATTTGGATTTGTTATCTGTAACATTGCAGAGACTCACCTAAGAGCGTCTCCTCCTTGTTCAGGGAACAGCTGCTGACACTCACTTGCTTGTCAAATGTGTACAGGAGCTAATGGAGAGAAAAGAAATCCACATTGGAACTAATTGTGCACGTACATAAAAGAAAAGAAAACAGGTGAGACACACACAAACAATACCTTGTTCTGTTTAGTGTTGGAGTCATATTTCCCGATCCTTGTTGTCCCCGTTGCCCCCTGAAGAATAGAATCCGAGAGTTAGGTCACGTGTCTTTAAATCAATCAAACCGCAGAGTTCAATAATCCTATTCTGTCCTGACGAAGCGGACATACTTTCCCACAAGTGACTTTTCCACATTGATACCTGTGGAACGTCACGCTTGACCTCTTCCTACCCTGCTGATTATCCCAACTAAACCTGCTGCACTTCAAACCAGAATCCATCTCTCTTTTTTTTTTTTGCCTCTAAATTAAAACGACATCTATGCTGACACTGAAGGCACAGCAAGGCGTGCATAATACTGTGAACCTTGCACTTTCAGAGAGCTTATTTCCTCTTTGCAGGCTGCATGCTGTCTTTAACCTGCTAAACCCGCAGACTCTTGTTGTGCCTGTCAGTGAAAATGTACGTTAAATTCAAGCAAGGATCAGTTTTCCAAATTATAATACGTCAATCACGAACGTAGAGAAATCTGCCCAACAAAATAAGGTGTTTTTTTTTTTCCATTTGATGACAAATGACTGCTGTTTAAAAAAAAATGGTGTCTTGGATCACTCACTTAAACTTCAATGGGGAATGCGGGCAAGCAGATAACTAAAGATAATGATAAAACATCACACAAGCGATGTTTGCCAAATAGTATGAGCATTGAGTTTATTAGAGATGTCAAGTTGAGCCAGATGTCACACTGAAGGAAACACCATTTTAAGATGTTTTTCTGTTAATATTACAGACAAGGTTATTACAATGTGTGCTTTTAATTAGCTCTCTTTCCTAATTTCCACATATAAGAGTTAAATTTGGGATTACAAAAAATATCACTGTGTATAAAAAAAAACTCCTGACTCCGTAAATAAGACGGATTTTAAACATTTGAAATGCAAGTCCTTCACTATAAACTCACCTTCCAGGAGTAAAGGATGCCCCCATCTCTCTCAATGTTCAGGATACGAATGTCCAATGCTCCAGAGTATTCTGCAAGCACAGCAGAGCAACAATAATCAATATTATGCCAACAATAATTTAAGAAATGACAACATGCCCTGACAATTAAAAAAAAACATTTCTTTCTCAATGTTGTTATTACATGTGTAAGTGTCCAAATGTGTAGGCAGGATTTGTATAGTGTCCCATTCACCAGCTTTATATTTTCAATTAAAGCACTGGGTGTTCTGTACTAAAGTCAACAACAGATATTTAATGTAGGTCTACTTTAAGAGCTGTAGTCTATCTTCATTTAGAATTAAACTCCGTTTTAGTAGGTTAAGTCTACTAATTTTAAGGATTGACTTAATCATATTATTTACATGATAATTAGAGATGAAATATGAAGAGTAACTACCGCCATCTACTGGCCAATACGTACCATTTTCAAAATAGGGGATTTGATTTTTTTTATTTTGTTTCGTTTTTAGAAGCTAAAGCTGACTGTCAAAGAAAGTCCTCTACATTTTCTCCGGAAAGCTGACTTAACTTTACAAGAGACTCATTTCAAACCAATTACACACATTACCATTGTTAAAGAGACCAAACACTTTAAGCTACCTATTTTTTTTTCCCAAGCAATTTAGATAAGCATTAGTATGTCAACAATAGAGCAGGACAATAAAGAAGCAAAGTTAGTCGTGGGTACCTGAACGCCTCACCTTTCACCCTGCAGACCGACACCTCCTTCCTGAGGATATCACTCTCCACTTCTCTGTGCAGGTCGAACTTTTGCTTGAACTTCAGCATGTTTCAAGTTTTCAGGATCCTTTGCTTTCAGATAAGAACCCCTTCTATAAAATGCGTTTTGTTTGCTTGAGAGGAGGCAGCACCTGGCAGCTGGTGGTGACTGTTCAGGCTGGGCATCATGTGACCGAAAGTCTACAAAGTCACTTTGAGTAGGCTAAATGTGGTAAAAGCGGTACAGCACCTATTCACATGATCGACAAACATCTTCTTGACTCGAGAAATTGACTTTTATTGACATGCGGAAATGTCCCGCTGTGCCACAGTTGGCTCCTCCCTCCTCCCACGGGAGCCAAGGAGCGAGGAGATTCGTTACCATAGGCCGAGGACAGTATCAGTCCAGCGGGTTGGAATGTCACACCACCCCGCTGAATGAGCGACACATACAGGCTTTACCGGGCTCTGCGCTCTGACATATCTATGACAGCCAAACCTATAATACACTCATGCAGACAACCTTTCCTTTGGTGAGCATTCAGTGTTTGACTATTGTTGATAAAGTAACTCTAAAGTTGAGCTTATGCAAAGTATGTGTATTACCTATGCGGGTTAACTTGTCATCATATCGTCAACAATAGCTGCGTCTATATGCGTTGATATGTAGGCGAGACTAGTCATTATGCACCTTAACATGAGAAGAGAAGGTAAACCAAAAACCTCAGCAACACATAAAAGAAAGGGGAAAAACGTCTGAAGAAAATGTGTTAAAATGTAAACTAAAACAGGAAAAAAATGTCATAGAAGGAATATCTGTGCATATGGCACTTTTTTATCCTAAGACATTTTATGAAAATAAAGGAACTTGTGACTTATTCATAAAATGTCCTGAGTCTAGGTAAATACTTGTGAAAATAAACAAACTGCAGCCCTATTGAATATTTGAATTGATGCATTTTCAGTCATGTCAATACTTTTGATAATATTTTGAGTCCCTTTAGGAATGGCACAGGTATATCTAACTGCAACATGGTCTCATGTAGGCTAAGGCTATGTTGAGTGCATGAACTCTGGTTTGTTGATGTTGGGCAAATAAAAGTATAGGGACACATTTTTTATATATTATTGCGTTCAGCTATAACAGAAAGCACTGCACACTAAATCACCTGTTATTGTGATTTGTCTATTTATGTTTCGTATTTATAGTTAATTTTTATTTTTATTAATATTATAGTTTTGGGTTTTTTGATCCTTTAACCACTTGTTTTTATGTCCTTTACTGCGCTTACCTTCTCATTGCTTTTTATTTGCTTTTATCTCTTAGTTTCTTACATCTTTTTAAATCTTTGGTCCTCTTGGTCTCAGCTCATGTTGTTGGGTTCTTGTGTTCCTGGGTTCTTATGATGGTTCTTATGATGGTTGGGTTATATATGTCTGGTTGTGTATCGTGCACTTTGGGTTCTTTTCTGTTGAATTGTTTTTAATTATTTTTGGTATTTTGCATCTGTTATATTCTTACTGTTGTTAATGTTTTTCTGTGTTTAGTTTGCTTTGTTCTTGCTGTTTGTCAAAGCACTTTGTAAACCTGTGTTTTTAAAAGGTGCTATATAAATAAAGTTATTATTATTATTATTATTATTGTGTATGGCCTTTAATGAGGTTGAACATGAGTTTGAACAAATGTACTTTTCTGGAAACCTGAAATCTGATTAACAACGCCAAAAATATGTATGTATGTAGACAAATGAACACCCAGTGAGCTAAGTTTCAGTTCTCAAATTGTAAAAGCTCTATACTTCACATAACGGAAGCAGATGTATGTTATACTATGTTCCCGCAGCAGAGGGAGCTGCAGTTTCAGTCTGTGCAACACAACTGAGAGAACATTTAAGGTTAAGAGGTCCCAACATTAGTACCATGGTCATAACCAGTAGGCCTACTAAAGTTTGGACCTTGGTCATTTCTTTTCTAAAACAATAAGACAGCAAAAATTGTTACCAATCAATGTTTGAAGTGCCAGATTGCTTTTACTTTGAAATACTCATATAGAAGAGCAGGAGGGGAATAGAAGATAATGAAACGGCCTGGGGTGCAGCTTTTGAGATACAGAGCCTTGTAGGTTTTTGGTTGACCTGTGTTTTCTTTTCTTAACTGTGTGAGTGTTTTTTTTTTTTTTAAATCCTGGTTGGGATTGTTTGTACATGTAGGCCTATGTGTTTTTTTTTTCTACACTGGTGTGGACCGTGTGTGTGCATGTGTGAGATTGTTTTTCTGTCCTGGTTGGGACTGTGTGTGTGTTCATTGAAAAACAAACACGCGTCTGATGAACCCTAAAGGAGATTTGAAAAATACACAAAAAGGATAGCAAGAATAGATCTTAATCATAAAGTTGTCTGGAAATGCACACATGTGTGCATACAAAATACATCATAACGCAGAAAAAATAATGTATGGTGCTTAAAATGTTCTGGTGGAGACCCTCAGACCCTGCCAACTATAAAACATCATAAAAATGATAATTCCTAATGCAACTGGGAATGTAATTTAGCAATGCTATAAAACATTTTTAAGGACTTCAAAGCTTTAACTCTGTCTATTAGTCACCTGTCCTTTCTTTCTTCCACAAAACTTCATACTGTGGCAATTAAGTTATAAATTGTCCTCAATAAATCATGTTCCAAAATGAATGTAATAATGACTTTGGATCATTTATACAAGTTAATTTGCTATGGTGAATAACATCTTAATTAACAAGTTTACAAAGTATATAGTTGAAAATAGTTCAACTGGGACACAACATCTCCTTTGACTAACACACAATAGTGTAATAAGAAAAATCTTTAACATCCTTTAAAAATTAATATATTTTGGGGAAAAATCACAAGTCAAGCCAAAGCCGGGTTCTGGTCCAGCCTTGCTAATTAAGAAATAAATAATAATAATGTTAAGAGTGAATTTTCTTTATGAAAAGCAGAAATGCATTTACCCCGTAGACTGTTAATAGATTCAATAGATTTGGTGTAAGTGTCTCGCATTAATGTTTGTGTGGTACATCTTCGTCAGCATAGACAAGCTTTGGTTGAATCGGATTTGCTTCCCGAATAGAGTCGAATACAGCCGAAGGAGGGAGTCCGTACAGTTTTTGTGTGTGACGTCAGTCCCCCCGCCCCTTATCCCGCCCGGTTCTCCCCGCACGTCCTTCCCCCCTCCTGCCCAGCTACACTACAGGCTGGAGCCCCGGCAGCACGGCGCGCAACACAACACTCTGACAGCTGCCTGCGACTGACTGGAAAAAAAAAACCAAGAGGGAAAGATGGAGCACAGAGAAGCCGACTGCAACATAATGTTAATGACCGACTCGTACAAGGTACCGTACCCCTCGGTGGTTTCATGTAGTGGGAGGCCCGGGTGGAGGGAGCGGCTGATGGGTGAAAAAATTGATAAAGTCAAGGTGGTTTCATCATCAGTCCCAAGGCCATCACTGTGCTTTCTGTGGCCGGTTTCCGTCGCTTCAAGGCGGGCAGAATGGGCAGGAGGAAGGGGAGGAGAGGCGGGTGACAAAATGAGACGCATCCTTCTTTCTTAGCTTTGTCTATTTTGGTTATTAGGGAGCCACCGGCTTTGCGAGTCACAGTGGTATCAGGCTAGCTGTGTAAGCTAGCATGCTAGCCCACTTGGAGACAGTAGGGATTGATCACTGATACATAATAAAAGCTAATGTTAGCCGCTAGCTAGCAGGTGCTGTGCGGATTGGACCGGTACACTGCACATGGGCAAGTCTCATTCAAAAGCCCAGCAGGTCAAAATGTTAGCCAGCATGGAGTTAGCCACAGTCTGTGCAATGCGTCACTTTCGGGAAATCAAAAGTGAAAGTTAAAAAGAGACACTTAATGGGACAAGTGACACGCCCGGGACATTTTTAATTTTTCCGTTGTTGATGTTATTGCGAATATGCCATTGACAGACTGCTCGATAACAATGTAAACAGAGATCAAATGTGCATGTATGTATGAATGAATGAATGTGTGAGTGAATGCACGTTTGAAAATGGTTGCCATGCTTGTTGCCATGTACAGCAGTCATGTGAAAACATTGAACATACGGTCTGCAGGACAGGAGAGAGAGAGAGATGGACCCAGGGGAGGGAGAGAGAGAGGCATCAGCAGGGTTAAAGTTTGAAGGCAAAATGCAGGAATAAACTTTAAAAAAAAAATAAAAATTTACACTGAGGTCAGATTGTTTTTTAAATGCAAAAAGTGAACATTAGTCTTTTAAAATTTAAAATTGGACTTGTGCAAAAAAAAAAAAAAAAATGTATGCCTATCTGTGCAAAGTAATAGTCTAAATGAATATGTATCTCTGAAATATAATATCAGGAACCAATCAAAACATGCAATGTTTTTGCAGTGTGTTGATACCATTATAATACCTGTATGAACTACTGGTATGTCTCTGATATTTGTTCTAGGTTTTGTTTCTTCATCATGTTTATTGGAGTAGATGTAATATTTCAATCAGTCTAAATGTTTTCCAGAAGGTGTAGAGTACCGCTTTATTCCTCTGATGTGCCTCATAACGCACAAGCAGCCTATCTTTTTTTTTTTTTGTGTCTATTCCTTATCTCTCTTCAGTTCTCAGCCAGGCTGTGAGAATGGGTGAGATTATGATGAAAGGTCGTTTTGATGTCAGGTGTATCAGACTGTAAGACAGATGTTTTGTGATGTACAGCAGCAACTAAGGCCCAGAAAAATTTGTTGTAGCTTTTGCCTCGAATCTCTCTTACAGTTATATGGCATAAACGTCTTAATTCAATTTTGATTTACTCCCCTGATTGGTCATTTCTGTCGATTTCTGGGAAATTATTAGTTTTGGTTTCACTTTGATGCCACGTATTTCTAGTTTATTTGAAAAGTTTAAGGTCAGATTAGAAGAGTTCAGACGCAGAGTGTTTGTGTTTAAGGTTCTGCACACTGTGTTGATCTGAAACAGTCAATATTGTGTGTGTCATTGTTTTAATGCACCACTGCTTAGTCCTGAACCAATGTGTAGAGAAGTGATTAAGGAAAACAGACGTAACTGTGAGCTAAGGTGTCATGGACTGAAATAAAACCTCTCAGGAAGAGGTGCCTGATTTGTTACATAAGTGTCATTGTTATTGTAGCAGAAGTCACCGCCTTGGTTTTGTTCTCTCTGAGTCTTTAAATAAACCATTGTAAAGTAGCTTATGGACATAATTAGGTAAATTAAAAAGCTATATATATCATATCAAATATATATATATATATCAAATATTCAGTATCCAGGGTTTTTTCCTGGCTCAAAATGAGGAGATGATGCTACTTTTACAACCTTGTACATTTAAAGGTGTGCTGTGCAGACTAGCTCAACACTTTATACGTAACATGAGGACTTCTAATATTTGTAAAGGCTAATTGAAAAAAAACAATTCAGAACTAACGTATTATACAAATAAATGTGCCCAGATCAAAATTAAAATCAATACAACATAAAAGCTCATTAGTTGATATCTACAGTTAAAGGTGAAAGACGTTGAATATTAAGCCTGGGGGGGGTCTTTCCTGGGTTCCTCAACAAGGACATTTTCAGCATCACTGTACAACACTGCCATTCTTGTATTCTGGTTTATTTTTATGCACCAAATTTAATTTGTCAAAAAAATTTGATTTATTCTCCCTTTATTTTTGTAAAGGGAAATTCTTTCATGTAAATAAGAAATATCTGGTTCGTCCTGCGTGGACGTCACTCTTCACACTCAAGCAGATTTAACATGTCATCATTCACATTGAGTCTGATGATGAACACGGGAGACACAGAGATGTTTTTCACTTAATGTACCTTCTTTGCATCTCCAATTTCGACATATTGCTGTCTGTTTATTATCAACGTTTTTTTAGTTTTTTTTATGGTACTTCTACAATACGTCAGCATGTAGAAGCTTTTTAATCACACACCACAAAGCTGTACTCAAGACAGGATGGCGCTGAATTTAACATAAATATTATTTATAAGAATTATAGTCTGACGGTGCCACAGACAGAGAGCGTATGCACAAAATGTCATTTTTAGGCTTTGCCAGAGAGGTTAAGCACGTTCTGCATTCCTAAATCTGTTGTCATTTCCATTTGAATCAGCCAGTTAAATTACTGTAAAGAAACTAAACATGAAGAAATCAGGCATTCATTTAGAAAAGTTGAGCTTTCATAGGTTTTCAACATGTTCAGATGTAAAAAAAAAAAAAGAAAGCCAATTAGCCTCGTGGTTAGTGCACATACAAAGGCTGAAGTTCTCCAAGCGTGCAGCCCGGGTTCAAATCCTTTCCCGCAAGTCAATCCCCACTCTCTCTCTCTCTCTCTATCTCTCTCTCCCTGATTTCCTGCTTTCCACTGTCCTGTCTCTAAAATAAAGACATAAAAAGCCTGGTAATAAATCAAAAAAAAAAAAAAGAGCTATATCTGTGTTTACATTGTGTCTCTGTACGCCTAAAACTAGGCAACCGTGCATCGGTCTTGTCCGTCCATGCCAGTGTGATAATCAAGAGAAAAGCAAGCAGTGTACCTGTCTGATCTACTTCGCTGGTAGGACACAAAGCTACGCTGCACCTGAAGGCCTTTTTCTGTTTCGTCTCTTTAACTGAAAAGAGAAGTGTAGCCCCAAAGCCAAGCTTGCCTATCGCACGCACGCACGCACGCACGCACGCACGCACGCACGCACGCACGCACGCACGCGCATGCTTGGGTGTAGTGCTGGCCCTAGGAGTCAGTAAGATTTGACTATATTAAAGGGTGGAGGTGCACATTGCATCCTTGTTTATTTGCATTTTAACCAAAAACAATGATTTCGAGGATGATGCAACAACACTGAGTTGAGCTTCAGCGTGTAGTTTGTGTTCTCTGTGAGTTTAGAAGTGGGTCTTTACTTTGAATTTAATACATGTTTATATTGGTTTAAAGTGTAATAATATTATTATAGATAATCAGTGATAATTATTATCCTCAGATGATGATAAAAGAGGTCTCACTTGTGTGCCGTGACATCTGATACACGTTTTGTGATTATTGTTTTTTTTTTTTTAAATTGAAACTTTGTTTGTGTATACATCGATGTGTTTGTTTGCCAGCGAGTGTTTGCACACACGTGGTCAGGCCTAGTGTCATGTTGTGTGTCTTGACTCTATTTTGAGTCCCAGAAAGCTCACGGGGAAAGGACAGAGATGGGAGGGGGGGAGGGGGGAGGGGGGGGGGGGGGTCAAAGACACTGACATTTATCTCCTCTCTGAAGTGAATGACGGTGAGGAAGCCGGAGTGTTTACACCTGTGACTCTAATGTAACCTCAATGTGTTTACATTACGTAGGTGAGAAATCAGGTGTGACAAGGTTTCTTGACTTCTAAACCAACCCTTGACTTACTTTCTTCCTCTTTTTATGGGAATGTCCCACCTTTTATTTCTCACAGATTGGATATTGAAAGTACGGTGAATTAAAAAAATGATTGAGTGAAACGTAGATGCTCCCATCATGTTGTCAACCTTTTTTTAAAAATAGACCCCTCAATGCCCCAGTGTACTCGGCTGAGAACCCTCGACTCATCTGGGATTTAACTGATGGCCAGATGTCTTCAGATGACTCTGAATCTTTCCCTTGGTGCATGTTTGTGCAGCCCTTATAAAAAACGGTCTATCCTTCCTGTGTGAGACATGCCTGGACAAGTCTCAAACTTGTCTTGTCTTTTATTCAAGCTGTCATTATTTCTCTTATCACACGCAGTTGACAGTAAATGTGAAGATTAGCCAAAGCACACACATTCAACATAGAATAATAAATTAAAGAATGTGCGTGGGTGGGAAAACTCTGTGACATTTTCAGACTTTATTATTTCTTTTGTTCAACTGGGCTGTTCGCTACCATCACAAGCGTAACGGCAGAGCTCCTTAAACGTTTAGCTGTGTGACCCTGAATCTGAACTTTGTCGTTTCAAAGACAGCCACTGAATTCTTCCACAGTACAGGGTATGAAAATTTGATTTGCTGCCTGTTAAATGTCTTCTTCATCTCAGGAACTGCCTCGACAACATCCCACAAATGAAATGTTTGATCTGACGTTTTGGGGGCTTCATTTTGAGTTAACATTTCTCAGTGTTACAACATACTGTATATATTCAAGGTTTTATCCGGATTGTTAGTCAAGTATTTCACATTGTGAAATGTTAAAAAGCTACGATCTGTTTTATAATATATATATGACAAGATTGGCATGTCTCGTGCATCCTCAGTGCAGGTGGAATAACTGAAACAACTTGTTTGTACCTTATGAATGAAACATGCACTTTATAATTCTCCTGATCTGGCAATTGAAGGTGGCTCATTTGGACAGAGAGAGCTTGTTTCCTTTAATACCCTGAGGCAAAGAACAATCCAGAGAGAGCAAACAATGAGCATGAATTTTCTCATTAATCATGCTGCTTAAAGTTGTGTGTGTGTGTGTGTTTGTTGTTTGGTTCCGGGGCTATAAAAGCATGGGCGCACTGCCAGCACTATCACTCTTGGCCCGAGGTTAAAACATATAAAAGATACTATCACAGATTATGTTCCGATTTTAGGAGGTATACATTCAGGCATCCCCCAAAGGGAGTCTGGTAATGATGAGTCGACCTTTTATTGTGAATATTTCAAATTTAATGGCATGTACTTTTGCTTTGAGGGTTGTACGCTGATTTCAACCCCATATGACCACTGGAAGATACCCAGAAGGCAGCTTTCTCAACCACTTCATAATAAAATGTGCAACATCATCCACCAGTGTCAGATCATTTTTAGCACAGGTCATTGTTTGCTAAACTGTGATGCTGCAGACTGTTTAAAGGTCACATATTATAATCCTTTTAAACAAGTTTAAAACAAGTCTCAGCGCTCCCCAAAACATGTCTTGGAACTTTCTTGTGAGAAATCCACTCTCATCCTGTATTGTATCATGCCTACAGACCCTTCCATTTCAGCCCTGCTCAGAACAGGCTGTTTCTGTGTGTGTGTGTAGCTTTAAATGTAAGCTGGGTCTGACCATGCCCTTTCTTGGACGGCTTGGTTTCTTGCTTTGTGCCCAAATGTTTACAGTGGAAAGGTGCACTCAGAGGGCAGAACAAACACCTAGCTGTGTGGGTGTCACCCACCTGGGGGAGGAGTTACTTCCCTTTTATGATGTCACAAACGGCCTGTTTGAGCGCACATTTTCTAAAGGGACGCAGGCAAAAGAAGGAGAGGATGGATTTTTGTTATAGTTTTGGAGGTTTGTAGACAGATTAGGACACACATTATTGTCGTAAAAAAACATGGTAGTGTATTTTGCATAATATGTGACATTGGTTGTCCTGTGGGAACTCTAATGTTTGTGCTTTATTTCAAATTGTACCTCAGTTTTCTTGCTGTAAATGGCCATTCTAATTTGCCCTGCTCTGTCTCTGCAGGTAACACATTACAAACAGTACCCCCCCAACACGAGTAAAGTGTACTCCTACTTCGAGTGCCGTGAGACGAGGACAGACCCGAGCAAAAGCAGAAAGGTCAAATATGACAAAACCGTCTTCTACGGCCTGCAGTACATCCTCCAGAAATACCTTAAAGGTAAGTGCGTACTCAGATTCCACCTCTGCTGCGCTAAAGGGCCGCTTGTTGTTGTGTCGTCAATTCAAATAAAAAAGCGCCCTCGAGCACAAACCCGGCTTTTCAGCCACAAACACTGCCCGATTCAATGACTCTGCAGCTTCCCAGGATTGCGGCCCTCTAAAGCCACCTTTTATTAATGATTCTCCAGAGTGTTTGTGTAAAGACAAATGTGTTTCCAGTCAACTTCACACATTAAATCAGGGTAACATTCCAATATTAGGATTACATAACCCAAGCATGGATTTACAATATTCTACTGTTGTCCAGTTTGCAATCAGGGCACATACCAAAAGCCTTTTGTGATGCATTATGGGTCCCTCTTGGAGCATTTCAACGTTTAACTCCCTCCAGCACAAGGTGTGATTGGTGCTGGGTCGGCTGCAGAAAAGCGTGCCTCTAGCTACTCTAGATTCAGCGCATTGCTCAAGGGCACTTCAGCAGGGCAGGTGCTCGCCGTCGTTGTCTGCAGCGACAGCCTGGTTTACAATGTGCCTCACAGTGATTAGACTGTACAGAGCGTAACAAAAAGCCAGCAAAAGTTTCATCTATACAATACATGCTTCGCTCTCATTAACTTCAGTTTTGTAAAAGTGGATGTTAAAGCGAGTTATGGGGATCCTGAGGGGCACGAGAGAGTGCACGAGAGACCGAAAAAAGAAGGGAGTGGAAAGAAAGAAGCAGAAAGCATCTCCCTCCTGTCTCTTAAAAGGATTTCATGGTGCCGTAGCAGAGGTGCGGGGGAGAACAGAGAAAGAGAGAGAGAGAGAGAGAGAGAAGACAAAAGCACAGCTGCTCTTTCACCGTGTGCGTGAGAAAGGCCAGCTGCCTGCATAGAGCGCCCCTCGGAGCCCAGTGATTAGGCCGAGCATTAGAGATGCATCCCTGATCCTTCAACTTGTGAAACCAAAAGTGTGCATCGTGATTCTTCTGGGCCGAGTCACGATTCATTTGAATTTGGGTTTGCTGCTGCAGGCAGCAACAAACATATTCAAAACGTCTCCCAACAAATTGTTATGAAGAAAACACATTTAGTCGGCTGGATTTGTGATACATTTGGGGAAATTACATCTCTAGGGAAAAACTTTGGTGAGAAAGTTGGTACTACCTTAGTGTCTCGCTTAGCTCAGCACAAAGACTAGAAACAGGTCAAATCCAACTTGGCTTTTACTAACATCTGCAAAGCTCATAACTTTACCTTTAATGTCTTATTTGATTTAAGCATAACTAGAGCGTTAAAGCAAATTCAATTCCCAAGTTCAGTGTCATTGGGGGTAGTTGAGGTGGCAAGAAAGTCACTGCGCCACACAATTAATAGTCAAGCACTCATCTACTTCAATAAATCAATCTTTATCTGTATGGCGACAATTCAAAACAAATGTTATCTCAAGGCACGTTACAAAAAGAGCAGGTGTGGACCTTACTCTTGGTTATATTATTTACACAGAGACCCAACATTAATCCATCATGAGCACAGCACTAAGCAACACGCAGCAAAGGAACAGATGCTTATAGAAACGTCCTTCAAACAGGCGGAGACCTCGAGCAGAGCCAGACTCACGTTGGAACGGCCATCTGCCACCACTCTTAGGGTCTTAAAAAGTGGAATGGAGGGAGATTTAAAGCAACAATGCCTGTAATAACGGTCAAAGTAAGTGTAGTATTAGCAGTAACAACAATGTAGGATCACAGATTGACCAGTCTAGTGTTGACATAAGCAACTGTAATGTGTCAGGGAGGACTCAGGACTGGTGGTGTCAGTGACAGCTGTTGAAGTTGAGCAGCTTTTGAATTCACATTAACGTTTATAATAATGATAATAGACGTAAGACTATAATAATTGTAGCAGTTGGAGTTAGGCAGGTCCACAGCAGCAGCAAAAACTCCAGAGGAACCTATGAGACAAGGGAGCTCAGGAACTCCAGGGAAAATATATGGTTAGTGACTTAAATGGGACATGAATATGCATACAGAGAGAGAGAGAGAGAGAGAGAGAGAGAGAGAGAGAGAGAGAGAACAAGTTTAAGTGGGCCAGGTTCAATGACAGTGTAAGCCGGTCCATCCCTAACTACAGTATAAGCTTGTATATCTATGCTTTACACATGCTTTTCCCCTAACTGGCTTCTCACAGTAGTTTCATATTTACTGTACAGCTATGACAGTGGTATCATGTTTTTTTCCCCCATCTCACTGAGACGAGACAGCAACAAGCCCATTTCTGAGAAAGTACAACTCTTTGAACTTGAATGTGACGAAAGAAAATGTGTTGGTGTGTGATTGTTCGAACAAAGACTCCTTGTCAGTGTGGCATGGCATGCTTCTGATTCAGTTACACGATGGACTGTAACATTTCCTGCACATTACCTTTACTGGTTTGTTTCCTTCTCTAGTATCTGTCTTTGGGCCTTGTTGTGCGTCTGGCTCTGCCATTGCTCTCTTTGATCCCTCTTTTCTTTGCCTCTCTTCCTCCTCTCCAGGAAAGGTGGTGACTCCAGAGAAGATCCAGGAGGCGAAGGAGGTATACAGAGAACACTTCCAGGATGACGTTTTCAACGAGAAGGGTGGAATTATATCTTGGAGGTAATATTTTCAGAAAATTGAAAGCTAAACGGTTGTTTATATTTATAAACAATGAGGGCGTCTTTAGAGGTAATGCTTTATTGAGGGAAAAAAAAGCTGGAATGTAGAAGCATGGATACAGGTGTCCACATACACAGGTGCCAGAACACTTAAATGTTTGCACATGAAACATTCTGAAGGCGTTTTCTCTATAATCGGAGAGGCTCTGAATCAGACGTGTACACACACACACACACTGAGGACATACAGTGAGTTCCTGAAGAACACAAAAGGTTTTTGTAACAATTTTTGATCATTAAAACGGAAAGGCCTTTGGGCAGCATTCTGCAGTTGCAAAGTAGGGCCAAAAATAACCCAAATCAAGGTTTGTGATGGTGTGTTGCTCTCTAAAAGCTGTGCTAAGAAGGGGTGTAACAATATTATATAGTCCTGATATTTCTTGTGAAGGTGTAGAACTGTGATATCAGTATGTAGACGCAGAGCAGTAGCCATCATGAAGTCTGATGTTGAACTGGGAATGACTATAGAAGACTCCGCCCCCACTTTTAAGTAGGAGTAACAGAAAAGACACAAACAAGATGTAAGCAGTGACGGTCATTACAAGATGATTAATAGTCAAAACGTTTCAAAATGGACCTGCTTTGTTTTGTATTTTGTGACTTTCAATCGTATCAATGAATATTTTTAGTAGTAAGTGGTTAGTGCACACCCTATGTACAGAGGCTGAAGCCCTCAGTTGGCGGGCAGCCAGGGTTCAAATCCGACCTGTGGCTCCTTTTCAAAAACTCTCTGACTCTATCCACTGTTGTGTCTCTAAATAATGTTATAATAAGTCAAAATGAACCAAATATCGTTCCTCGTCTCATCAGAGGAGTGTATCGTCACACCCCTGTTGATGTGTTATGAAAGCCTGAACAGCAAAAAAAAAGATAATTGGCAGTTTAGTTGTTTGTGTTACTCTCCATGTAATGAGTGAAAGGCTATCCGAGTGAAACTGTCAAATGAAACGTCTAGAAGTCGTTTTATCTTTCATAGAAAATATCTGTATAATGGTCCTTGTTATTACTGTAGGAGGGGCATTTTCAGCACCTTGGAGAGAGCACAGCGCTGTTTTTCCCTTCATCATTTTTAACCTCATTCCTTCATCAGCTCTTACTAGCCTTGTTTTCTGCGAAGCACACTATATTTTTAAGCTGATCGTCTATAATCCGGCACACGCAAGCTTACAAATGTTGCTCACCTTAAGCAGTGCTACTGTATCAAACACAAAATAATGGAGAATGTACTCAAGGCCTGATTTCAAAGGTGAGATTTCTCTGGTCTCACTGCCTCTCTCGGTTGCACGTGTTAAGCACAAACCTGATCTCATCAGAAGCAGTATTGCTTCCAATGTGTCCATGTGTCCTATGTCTGCATTCTAAGGTCATCTCTTTGAAGATAAAAACCCCTCTATAAAAGCACTGTGTAAATCTGGATCTGGGTTGGTGTAACTGTGCATGCACTTTTGCTTTTTGTGTTTACAGAAATACAACGGACACCTGCCTATTGAAATCAAGGCGGTGCCGGAGGGGAGTGTCATCCCTCGGGGGAATGTTTTGTTCACAGTGGAGAGCACGGACCCGGAATGCTATTGGCTCACCAACTGGGTGGAGGTAAATTTTTGTTTTGTTTTGTCCTCCGGGCCCAGCGTGGACAAGGGGTGGTGGGTACATGACACAAGTGTATTGTTCAGTTAGACTGTGTCGGACAGGGAGTGGTCTAAAAGATGTGGTTGTATGCATCGTGGTTGTGTAGGATTTTGGAGCTGAAACAGTCCTTTTGATGTTAATTTCATGAACACATTTTAAATCCCTTTAACAGCACTTCAGTTCTAGATAAGGTTCACCAAAAGTCGCCCCTTTTGAACAGTTACCTTTAATGGATTATTGATTACAAGACAAAATATATCATTAACATTTATTCTCTTTTTAATTGGCCGCTTGGCAGCCGTCCTGCTCACACCTCTTAAACCTCTCCTTAAATCGTATTGAATTACATTCTTGTCATGGCTTATTACTCGATGGCTGGAGCTGTAACTGCAGCACAGTCATTCATACAGCTTGAATGAAAAGTAGAAATGGAGAGTAAGGTGCTGGGAAAAAAAAAAAGACAGTGTTGAGTGTTTTTTAGTTGACAGGATAAATGAAGCCCTAAATCAAGTGCTTGCCCTGAAGCAATGTTCAGTTCCCCAAAGAGCACCACATCTTTGTAATGGCTCTGAAAACTGTGAAGAATGTATGTCAAGTGTATTTACTTTTTTAATTTCATTGACTCTAAGGCTGTGTCAGACAGTCATGGACAGCAGGTTCACTTGTAATGAATTCAGTCTTTGTTTTTTTTTACAGTACCTGGTGTTGTAGCTGTTGTAGGTGCGGTAGTTAATACTATGCTGCTGTTTATATTCCTGATGAATAGCTTTCAGTGTTAGGTTGACATATTGCCCAGGGAGCTCAGATATAAATGAGCTTTTATAGCAAACTCTAGCCAAACAAATGTGTTGTCCATGACTCCTGTCAAATAAACCAATAAACTAGACTAAGCTGTCCATGGATAACACATCTGTTTCCATACACTGTATAGAGCTTAGCTTAGTTCAGCACAAAGGGAAATGGCTAGCCTGGCTCTGTTCTATTTAGATCTTCGTTTCCTAGCCATCGTGCTTCTTCTCTGCTTGTTAGCATCTAGCAGCAGTCTTTAATGATAGACGTAGCCTCTTGTTTGACAAAAATACAAAGCTGCCTCATACCTGAACTACAGTATGTTAACCATCAGCAGGGAGCGGCTGCACTGGTTGGAAACAAAATAATACAATTTTTGTTGGAATAATAAACGAAATGACTGTACTGCTCCCATGAAGAGTTTAAAGGTTTTTATAGCTAGTTTTTTTTTTTTAATCTTCTTCATGAAGCATGATGTTCATTTTGAAATGACAGAAAGGATAAAGCATGGGTTGGGATGTGGCTTCCTTTGATTGACGAGTCACAGATCAAGGCAACCTGTCAAGCAGGATTGAAGGGCATAGCACTGGGTCAACTCTGACATAAAACAAGATGAAGACAGAATGCTTGAACAGTGCTACCAATGAAACCAATGAATGACAACATGATGGCTACACCCATATCTCATAAAGAAAGCCTTTCACAACCAGCACAATAACTTTGAGAGGCTTTTCACCTGATCCTCAACATGAAAGCACCGAGTGTGTGTGTGTGTGTGTGTGTGTGTGTGTGTCCCCCTCCGAGATAAGGAACATGTAATATACTTAATGCCCCGTGAACAGACTGTCCGCTATGACTCGGCAGAACTAAATTCATTTACCGCGAGCTTTACCTCCGCTCTGTGTGTCTTCCTTTCTCCAAAGTGCTCTCGGTTGACTCATCCTCGCTCAGCCTCTCTTTCTACACGTCGGCTTGCTCCATGAATATCATGATTTGTTAGGAAGTTTTTTTTTTTTTTTGTTTTTTTTATACCTCAATTGTTCAAGCAGGTTTGGCAAATAAGAGTGTTTTCTGAACAAATCTCTGCCAATTAGATTTCTACAATTCTCTCTCTATACTCCACTATGATGCTGAATATGCTGAGAAAGAGGGTTTGGACATAGGTCGCCAAGAGCCGAGTTATTACTCTCACACACACACAGTCCTGATAAATTTAGATACACAACACTTACACACACACGCTTACACACGCTTGGTCAGGCTCTACAGCTGATAAAAATACACACACACACACACACACACACACACACACACACACACACACACACACACACACACACACACACACACACACACACACACACACACACACACACACACACACACACACACACACAGAGTCATTCTTCATGGGTGATGTAAAATTAGCCTGCTGTCCTTGGGCTTGTTTCCGTCTTCCCCAATGCTCTTGTTCTTCGTTTTTTTTGCTTCCACTGTTTCCACCTGCTTTTTTTTTCTCACCCCGTCTTAACATCCTTTTTTTTTTTTCTCACGTTATATCTTTCTTTCTCTTTATGTCTCCACCTTCATTGTCATCCCGGCTCTCCTTCCATGACCTCCCTCCATTTTGTTCTGGAACGCTGACCGGGAAGATATGTTGGCACGCGTGTGCATGAGAGTGTGTGCAAACATTCCTTGCTGAGTGTTTTTTTATTTTTATTTTTTTACTGTACTGTTGCCCCAGTAGACCGTAATTAATCACAGACCTTATTTGCTGTATATGTTACTTCTATAAATGTCCAAATGAATTAAACATGGGGAATTATTTTTTTTGATAAAGACAAATAGTGTTCTTCAGATATAATAATTCCTCCTATGGAGAAATCCCACTCAACCTACAACAGCATGTTAATCTTAATCAAATCTTATCGCAGTGTTTTATTTCTCATTCCATCAGAGATACTTAATGAAAAGGTCGACATGCAGATAAGGCAGAGGGCGCATGGCTCGTGAGTGTCTGTGTCTGTCAGGACAGGAGCCGCGCTCTGGCAGTCACATGAGACCATATTATGCTTTAGATTGTGATTAGTCTGAGGAGGCATGTGACTCTGCTCAGGGTCATAAAGTGAAGAGGCACACTGCATAGTATTAGCAGTCAAAAGGGGAAACCTTAACAGGAAGTTAACAAAGATGTGTTTCTTTTCCCCCTCCCTTTTAACGAAACAAAAAAAAGAACACAGTGGGGGAGGGGGAAAATAAAAAGCTACATCCTGGTGTTTTGAATATTTGTCATTCTTGTGTTCTTTATCTGCTGCTGATGAAGTTCGACATACATGTGCACCTGACTTTTATTCGTATTTTTCACATCTCTTTGTGTGTGTTGTGAAATGTTTCAAGTCTTCTCGCCGGCTGCAGAACAAGTCCAGCAGATACGCGTACAAATAAAGTAACCTGAACTAAACCTGACCCTGAACACAGCATGTAATTATAACAAAACACCCGTCGATAACATAGTCGTAGCCACATTTGATTTGAACTTTCATTAAATGGGGATAAAAGGCAGGATTGATTATGTAATCCATCGTAATTATTATTGAATTTGACAGACTCTTCTATCAGTATTTTCCTACGCGCAGTATGGATTCATGTACAGAGGCATTAGCTTACGGAGCTTCACACACACATGTCTGAAATACTAGTCCTGGTCAAATGTGTGTATTCAAAAGGTGATTGTGAGCACGGGTAAGCCACTTGTTTTCATTTTGAAATGTGTGACTCTCGTCCAGAGTTGACATGAGGCATGGAGGAATGTATTTTTCCCAGAGTTTGTCTTGTGTGAATAAGCAGTCCTCTTTTATCCCCTGAGCCTGTTAGTTTGGGCTCCTTGTACCAGTCGAATTCTGGGACAACAAGGTTGTGTGTTCAGTGCTGAAAAACGAAAAAATGAAAAGAAAATGATTTTAAACAGACTTAAATTGCTGTTACAACTGGATTTTATTCATCGGTGCATGTGTGAAATAGCACAAATATCGAGGGAACTGGACTGATGTGAACTGTCCTTCCTTCCTTCCTTCCTCCATCAGACCATCCTGGTTCAGATCTGGTACCCCATCACTGTGGCGACCAACTCCAGAGAACAGAAGAAGATCCTCGCTAAGTACCTGCAGGAGACCTCTGGGAACCTCGAGGGCCTGGAGTATAAACTACATGACTTTGGCTACAGAGGCGTCTCCTCACAGGAGGTATTCTAATCATACTCAACCACGCCTTACTGTGTGCAATGAGGTGGTAAATGTGATGAATACATGAAGGTACAGTCTAGCCTTTTGCTGAACTTTCAACACTTTAAAGTAGTCTTCATTGGGAAATGACATGACTGAAATCAGTTATTTTAAGACAATATCCACTGTCTTATAAAAATAAAAACCTAAAACAACATAGTCCCAGCTCAAGGTCCACACTGGTGTGCCCTGTAGCTTTTCACCCTATCTCCCAGTGTGTTACGGGACTGTGAAAGCTTTTTCTAGAGCTTTAATATTTAAGATAGGATGGGCTAATAATGTAAAATGCCAATAGTAAAAGGTGAATTAAAAAAAAAAGTGTAATTAAAAAGAACCTTATAATAGAATGCCTTGCCCTGTAACTGTTTTTGGGATGAGCTTATTGTTCGTTCATGATATAAAAATCAACCCAACATTGTCCACTGTTTGCAGACTGCGGGCATCGGGGCCTCTGCCCATCTGGTCAACTTCAAGGGCACAGACACGGTCGCTGGCATCGGTGTCATTAAGAAGTACTACGGCACCAAGGACCCCGTGCCAGGCTTCTCAGTGCCCGCTGCAGAGCACAGGTAATCTACACCCACGCTCTTTTTTTCTATCCATAGAAATATGTATAAATGTAGCCTTTTATTTAAGCAGGAGAAAAAGATCATTGAGATTAAAAAAAAAAGCACCATTACAGCTGCAACAGGTATAACCACGACAGTGCTTTTTAAAAAAAATCCTGTGCAATACGACTTTGCTACAGAATACATAACGACAGACTGAGTGCTTACATAATGTAAAAATGGGCTCAACTGGCCCAGAACTCAGTGAGGTCCATGCAGGGTATCCGCGCGCTCGCTCGTTCTCTCTCTCTCTCTCTCTCTCTCTCTCTCTCTCGTCATGTTATGTATTCTGTATCCAAATCGTACTGTACAGGTTTTTGAAAAACATGTGTTTTTTTTTGGAGTCAAAAGGCCTAAGAGGAGGTGATTCTGTTAATACCTGTTCCTGCTGTGACAGTGCTTCACTTCAGCACCAGGCGCTGTCTGCTGTCTTCTGTCTGTTCCGTGTTGGGAGTGTTTGTCTTTTGTCACTTATTGTTCCGGCGTTGTTGTTAAGAAACTGATCAAATAAGTAAAAGTCACAGGCAAGTTTCTGACTGCTGATTCACAAACAACTTTGCTTTATAAATTATAAAAAAGGGGGGGGGGGGGGTGAATAATAATGAGCCACCTTGTTTCTCCGCAGTGGAAATTCATTCACCACAACAGTCCTATCCCTGAACTCTTCTGACTGATGTAGGTCAGAAGGTAGGAAGGAAGTCGACCTAAAATAGATTTGTAAATAAAAATACATCTGTGTTTAAGTCTACACATGGACAAAGAAGATATACATATATACTGTATTTAAGGATATATATTATATATATATTTGGGCTTTCAGAATTAACTACTTAAATGTCACTAATTAAGTTCTTAAATTAATGCATTGATCTGTTTGAATCACATGATAATTTATGACTTTGTTTTAGGATAGAATCAGCAGTTTCTCTGTAGGCACAGTGATGGAAAAGAACATCTTTGAATGTTTCATTTCACTTAAAAAAAAAAAGACGGCTCATTCAAAAGTAAATATTCACCTCATGACATCAAACATTTCACTTCTTTTATCGTTCCTTTGAGCTGTTTTCATTTTGTTTTTGATCCGTGATGAGTTTCTTCTTCCGTGGTCAAGTTAATGTCGTAACCTTCAATCTACCAGAAGGTCTTAACTTTATTTCAAAATAAAAGCACACGGCAAGTAAACTTACTCTCAGCTTAAGACAGTACAAACTTTTCTAAACAAAAGCCCAACAATTATTATTCTCAGATTTAAAAAAAAAAATGTAATCGTTTGACAGCCTGAGAGTACATATATGAAGCCTTTATCTGTTAGCTGTAGAGGCTTTCCCAGCTTTTCCAGAGGCCTGATTGTCACTGTGATGTAGGGCAGTAGTTCACCATCCACTTTAATAATGACCGCAGCAATTAAGCATGAGTGGGGTCTGCCAACATGGTCAACACTTCTTTTAACACACATGCAAGGTGAAGAGAAACCTTTGAGGATAACATTTTGCCTCTGGAGGTCGCTGAATTCCTGTGTAAATTGTTAATTATCAGCATGCAGTCGTAATCCACAGGGGCCCACTGCTCATCAGTGTATTAACTAAGACACTTGCTTTTTTTATTCACAAGCAACAACGAAAACGTTTTTTTTTTAAAAAGTTGGTTATCTGCCAAATGTGTCAATGGAGAGAATTTATCGGCCAGAGAGCGAATTAACTCATCATTTGGCTGAGGTTGCTGTTAATTTGCTCCCCTCTGTTTGAATTGTGGTCTCCCTCAAACTAAGTATGTCTCCTGCACACACACAGGCACTTCTTCCTAGCCACCAGGGCAGTTACTGCTGCTCCAGCGCACCCTTCTTCCCTGCACCAGTGCATTGTGGGATGGTGGCAGTAGTTGTCATGGTAACCGTTACGCAATACGTCCAGTAATACACCCCCCCACCCCCACCCCCACCCCCAACCCTGTAAAAAAAATAAAAATTGGTTTCTACCTCAGAGGGAGGAGCCACAGTGAAATTCCACTTTGGTTTTAATGTAGAGGGAAAGGGGTGGGTGGTAGAGCAAAGTTGTGTCACCTTCAGAGCTCTTAAGTGTAAAACTTGGGAGTGCCCTCTAGTGTGTAATGAAAACGTTGACTATTAAAGGGAATGCAAAACAATGGAGACAAGTGTGCTCGTCAAATATTACTTTCAAGGACTAGTTTGTAACTAAGCGCCAGGAAGCTTAGGTTCAGTCTGTGTCCTGTTTACGGGTTTCACTTTTTTTTTTGTATCCGAGAGGCAAAGAAAGCAAAAAGAAAAATCTCACAGTCTCAAATGTTTTAGGCTCAGATTTGACTTGATAAAATTGGTTAAATTGTTTCCTTTTTTTTTTTTTTTTTGCAGTTGGTTTGAATGTTGTTTTGAACTCCTTATACAGTAGAAACAAATAATGTTTGTTAACTACCAAATAAACCTAAGATGCACATCTAAATCCTGGTTAGCACTGCCCTCTTCTGGTTCATCTGTTGCATTGTAATAATATTTCTCGCCTATTATTAAACGTCCGATATGTTTAATGTTTCTTCTACTCCCATTTTTTGTTCTCAACGTTTCCCCCACAGCTCCCCAGTTTCTTGCTGTTAAAAACTCATTTTCCTTTTTTGGGGGGGTTTTGAGTAAATGATGGGAAGTGGTCTGCATACCTTTTTTTTTTATTGGGTTCATTTGTGTTGTAAAGTCACAAATCAACCAACCATGGGAGCTAATCTCAACATGCTGATGTTTTTTGGTCAACCTTATCAAATGTTTGTAGGGTAACAAAATACTGATTGCGCTGCCATTCTCTCTGAAGTACCATCACAGCGTGGGGGAAGGACCATGAAAAAGACGCCTTTGAGCATATCATCAAGCAGTTCCCCAGCGTGCCCGTGTCCATAGTCAGCGACAGCTACGACATCTACAACGCCTGTGAGAAGATCTGGGGAGAGGACCTGCGGGGGCTGATAGAGAAACGCAGTGCAGACGCCCCGCTGGTTGTTCGACCAGACTCTGGGAACCCTCTCGATACAGTTTTGAAGGTATGCGGCATAGTTTTCTTTTATCAAGCTTGGTCTTAAAAACAATCCAAAGCACTAACTTTTCCACTTTTTTTTTCTTGCTTCAGGTTTTGGAGATCTTGGGTAAGAAATTTATTCCAAAGGAGAACTCAAAAGGATTCAAGGTCCTCCCTCCTTACATCAGAGTCATTCAAGGAGACGGAGTAGATATCAACACACTGCAAGAGGTATGTGAGAACGCTATTTATTACGGCGCTGCACCAAGAGAGAGAACTCTGCCATGGCAACTGATGGGAACAAGCTCTGTTGCAAAGTTTTTGACTCAGTGTGGTTTACTTCTCAGATTGTGGAAGGCATGAAGGAACACAAGTGGTCCATTGAGAACATTGCCTTTGGTCCGGAGGGGCTCTGCTGCAGAAACTGACCAGAGACCTGCTCAACTGCTCCTTCAAATGCAGTTACGTGGTGACTAACGGCCTCGGGGTGAGTACCAGCACATGTGAATGTAGTAACTCTTGACTGTCTACTCGAGTTTCCTTTCTTTTTTTTTTCTCCCCCTGCAAATAATTCTATCTGATTGACTCTGAGGGTGTGAGCGTTGAACGTTTTTTTTTCTGTGTGGTGGAAAAAAGGTAAATGTCTTCAAGGACCCAGTGGCGGACCCCAACAAGAGGTCAAAGAAAGGTCGCCTGTCTCTGCACCGGACACAGGGCGGAGACTTTGTCACCCTAGAAGAAGGGAAGGGTGACCTGGAGGAGTATGGCGTGGTGAGTCCAGTGCCCACATATAACCCACAGACACTTTTGTGCACATAAAAGAACTAGGTTGATGACAACAGAAATGCCTTCTTTGGTTTTTTTTTCTCACTTTTTTTTTTCTCACTTTTTCTTTCCGTCTTCCCTCCTGGTTGTTTGTCCTCTCTCCTACAACTGCAGGACCTGTTGCACACAGTCTTTCAGAACGGGAAGATGGTGAAGATGTACACATTCGATGATGTCAGAGACAATGCCAAGCTCAAAGAGAGTGAGCTTGATGAGCTGCTGCACTGAACACAGCGCTACTGAACCCCCAACTTTTCACCCTAACCCCCCAAATACCCCCCTCCCTCCCCCCCCCCACCTTCTTCATTTCACCTTTTGGCCTCTGACGTCACCGCCGGAAAACGGTGGTAATGTGCACTGCTAATACAACCCACTCCCAAAGCCTGAGAGCCCCCCCCCCAAAAAAAATAAAAAATAAAAAAAATGTTCCCTAAGAAAACCTAAGATCTACCTTAATATTCACAGAATTTACCTTCACAATTTAAAAAAAGAAACACCTGCTCTGGGTCTCTAACAGAGTCAGAAATTTGGAATCAACACAATACCTGAGGAGGGGAAAAAAGTGCAAGTCAGGAAATTACAGATGAGTTAGAGGGAGAGAAGAAACCATTATAATGACTTCTTCAACCTCCGACCCAAAAACAAAAACAAAAAAAAAAATCAGCACGTTGCACTGATAGGCCTAGACATGTTGAAAAGTGAGACTGTGATTGGCTATCGGGGGCCGATGTGTTAGCAGACTTTTTCATGCTGACACACAAGCAAATCAGCAGATTGTAGATTTTTCTTTCTTTTTTTTTTTTTAAATAAGCTCCGAGCGCAATGAGCCCACAGTAAGTCCGAGTGAGGACGATCACGGCTGAGAGAGATATCCAATTATGAAGCCACGCCCACACCAATGACCGTGCCCCGTGTATTGTGTACAGAACTGTTTAGAGAAGAATTACATGTCTGAATCTACTTAGCTTTGTCTTTTTATGTGAAGGATAATGATAATGGTAGTATATAATGATGCACCAATAACATTGACCCAAAAACTGTTAATGTGTTGCTTCATAAACATGTAAACTTATATTTCTGGGTGATTATGGAGTTCACCCCCTTTGCTTGCTCTTTAGCCGAAGTTATTCATCATGTACTACCTGAATATTTTCTACTCTTACTCTGCCAAATCGAATGTTATTGGTGCATCTCTTAAGGTTTATTAATGATCTACTTGCCATTATGTTGCCCAAAGAGTATCCCCATAATGACAGCCCAATCCAGCCCAGTCATTACATAAAGATTTACCTTCTTTTTTTTTTTTACATGTGTAAATTATAATTATGATGATAGGTTAATTATAAGGAGATAATTTCCTATTAACAATTTGATATTCTAAATAAGCCCAACATGTTAACAAGATGACATGTTTAAATTCCAGTGAAAAGTTTTGGATTAAGCCCTCATGATGGTGAATGCTCTGAAAACCAATCTTTGGGTTTGAAAAAAAAAAAAAAAAAAAAAAAAACATACATTGAAATTGTCTTCACAGGACTGAAGATGATCTAACTATGTGTTTATGAAAGATTAAATATGTGGCTCCCAGGCAGACATGTTACATTTGTTAAATGTTGGTTCTGATGTGCAGGAATGATGAAATGAAGTGTGCGTGGTTGTGTAGTGTGTGTGTGTGTGTGTGTGTGTGTGTGTGTGTACTGATAATTTCTTCCTCTGAAGGATCGTCTTGTATCCCTTTATGCAAATGAACTTGTTGATCGAGGGAATAATCAACAACACTCTTCCATTTACTTTGCCGGCGTTTTTTATTTTGAAAGGAGACGCAGCGTTGTGACATACAAGTGAGTGAAAGTATCCAAGAGGCAAAAAAAAGTGAGACTCTGTCGCCCTCGATATCACTGCCCTAAAGAGGGAAAAGCCGGGTGTGTTGTTTGGATTTGTTGCTGAGATATAAGTGAAATCTTGCATCTAAAGCCTTTCCAGAGCATACGTAACAGGCGGAGTGCCACTCCCCTTTTTGCATTTGTGTTTAGTCACATGGTTGAGTTGGCCCTTTTCAGAGTGAAGGGATTTGATTGGAGCAAGGGGCTAGTGACATCACAGGTTAAAAAAAAAAAAAAAAAAGGTTGTTTATACAGAAAAGCAAAATATGTGTGTTCCTCCTACTTTGGGTTTTGGCACATAATAGACACACTGCCAGTGTAGAACCACATACAACTCAAAAGATTCCAACATGTTATTTCTGTCTACACTAGTAGCTACAACTGTTGGATGGATTTTTATAAACCTACATAATAAATCTAAAAGTTGTTTGAGACCAAATGCCTGCAAAACTGATGACATTCCTATCAGGCTCAATTGCAATTTGTGGGTTTCTATCATGCCACATTTTGCTCACATTAGCACATAGCTCCAGGTGTAACATCAAAAGGCTGCTCGCATAGCAGTAGACTGCCTTTAAAATCTTTGTTACATGCTTTTTTTTTTTTTTTTTTTTTGGCTGCCCCCTGGTGCTTTTTTAAACTCATCGGTTCACACATTTTCAACAGGGAGCTCACTAATGATAATAAAACCTGCTAAGTGTTAGCAGCCTCAATGGATCTATTAGAGCTTCCGTGACCTTTTCGTTTGACCCTGCTAGATTTCTGCGATTTTTTTTTTTTAGGGAAGACCTTGAAGAAACCTGTGCTGTCACTTACTCCAATTTCCCCCTCTCTGGCTCCGACTAAGCTGCTCCTGGCTGGTAAACAACACATGCAAAAAAAAACAAAATAACACTTCTTTTAGTTTTCCTTCTGTCTGCACTCCTCTCTGTTATGACCTGTCACATTATTTGTTATACAGCTTTTTCTGGGGCAACAACACAGTTCAGTGTTTGTTGTTGTTTTATTGCTCAAATTCAGAGGTGCATCCATTTCACTATTTCGATACTGTCTCAGTTCTTACCTCAAGCTTCATTTTGTATGACCAAGGATGGAAAGAAAATGCTCGAATTATTGCAGTAAATATCCTTATTTACAATGCGGCCATACTGCCTTCTCACTTGTACATACAACAACTAGTTTGACTGAAAGCAGAGCGGGCAGGTTAGGGAGACGACCACAAAAGATGATATTATTATTTTTGTCGGAAACAACTGTTTTTTCTACCAACAGAAGAATATCCAAAACAGCTCGTGTGAATTGGACGTGTGTGACTGTTTTTTTTGTGACTGTCAAGCTTTTTAGCTTCAGTTTGCGCATGAGTGTGAATGTGTGTGTGTGTGTGTGTGTGTGTGACCGCCTTGTGTATAATGGATGAAAAAGTGTTTGTGGATACTTTATTTTCTTTATGTTGTTGTTGTTTTACTTGTATGTATATGTTGGTTGTCCCAAATCCTCTCCCAACACAACTGATATTTTAACAAACATAACTTGCTATATTGTCAACAATACATTGATTAAAGATGCCACCCTGTCAATTTGAAATTGTGGATTTTTTTATTAACATATATTTATTTAATTTTGTCTGACCTCTGTGTGGAGCTGATTTAGACTGTAACTTAACCAACTTAGTTTGATTTCCTATAGCAGTGGTTGCAAAAAAATGTTTTCTCACACTGGGCAATCTGTACTGTGCCTAAGCACGCTTTAACCCCCTAAAGTCCAGTTTGTTTGACTAGTGTGAGTGCTCTGTTCTGTGCTCAATGGGGTACACTTCCATGGCCCTGGCATGGATGGAAGAGGTGAGCTTCAGCACGGTTCAGTTTCTCATGCACGAGCAGGAACGGGTACACAAAGTGGGCATGGAGTATCATCGATCCCTGCATCCATATCGACAAATCCTGGAGTGTTTTGGCTGTTAGCTGACTAAAATAAATTAAAATGATCCACAAAGTCAGATACACTGAGTCCCCCCCCCCAAGATTTTGAAGTACTGTGAAAAATGTACATCAATTTGAATTGTTTTCATTGATAAAATCCAAACAAAATACACTTTCCATTGGTGTTCCAGTCACACAACTTCTGGAAATCCGTCAGTTTGATCTTTACTAAAGACATGTTTAAGAGCTCCAAAGTATGGGGCGCTAGTGGTGCAGTGGTTAGTGTGCGCGCCCCATGTACGGAGGCTATAGTCCTCCAAGTGGGCGGCCCAGGTTTCAAATCCGAATTCTCGCTCTCTCTCTCCCTGATTTCCAGCTCTATCCAATGCCCTATCTCTCCAATAAAGGCACAAAAAAGCCCCAAAATACATCTTAAAAAAAAGAACTGCAAAGTAAAACTCTTTAAGGGAGGTAAGGTAACACGTTATTTCATCAGCCTGTGATTTTCTTCTTAATATATGTTCCATGGGAAGAGGTAGATGAATTGGTCAAGAGCTATGCAAACAAAAATCATTTTCCTGAAAGGATCTGTCTAATCAGGGCTCAAATGGTTTTATTTCTCATAGCATGCAGTAAAATTCATGATCCCTTTTCTGAAAACATCTTGGTAATTTCTCAGAAATATTTAAACCATAAACATAAATGTAGCCTATGTTCTAATTACCAGAATGAGATATCCAGGTTATTGAATTTAATGAAAACTTTCTATGCATGCTAAAAACAAAATGTGTGTAAAACATAAGACAGGACTGCTTTCAAACAACAATGCATTTGCAAGTCTTTTCTATTTGATAAAATCCTTTGAACTCCTAAATATTGATGACTGGTGAGACATCTGATGGAGTTACTTAATGTACAGAGCAATTCTGACTGATTTTAAAACAAGAGAGTGTTCCTCTTCTACTTCTACTTAATTTGAGTCCACCAGTTGCATTTGGTCCCCGAGAGGTTGCCCTGGTCTTGGTTGAAATACTTTTCAAGAGTCTGTGGTTTTGATCTGAGAGTCATATGACCCAGTCAGCACCGGAGAGGCGTTAACGCAGGATCTGCAAACTCAGCAAGGAGGAGGCTGGACGCCCGCGTCCTCTGGCGGATGGGTCCAATGAAAACGCAGCTGGACGCTTTTGATGCTTCTCGGTTCTCGGAATATTACTTTGTCTTGGAAGTTTCCTGGAGTTACTCTGCATACGTGTTCATATGGTGAACGATTGAGCTGCATATATTGAATTTGTTTCCGATTTGTTTGATCGCATTTATCGTTCGATAGTTTTAAGTTGTTTTTTTTTCGTGGTTCCATCCATTACAAGGGAACCAAAGTTATCTTTCGACATTTTGGAAGCTGTCGGATGCGCTTTTTTCACCTCTAATCCCTCTACCCATTTTAAGCAAATTGTGCGCGTAATCTGGCACCCTTTACGCTTTTTATTCTCCATATCTGTTGCGTATTTTGCGCATCACTGAGCGGAGCGCTAGGTACTCGTTTTTTCAAGCTACACTGCAAAAGATATCAACCTAAACTAATAGTTTTTTTTCCCCATGACTTTCTTAAACGTTCCTTAAATGCTTAATTGTGGAACAGCAGTAACTTGAATTGTATCATTTACATGTGTGTATTTTGGTTCATTTGCTTCAGCGCAAACTTGTGACGTGAAACTGACTTTGGATCACATTTGCTGGTCATTTTTTGCAGCGTCGGCAGCCAAACCACGTCATTCAGTGAAAGAACTCCCCCCTTTTTCTCCCTGTTGGTCCAACATCCACATTTAAGAAACAACTGGATCAAGATTTTGGGTCAGAAGCACAGCCATTATGACCGGATTTCGGCTGAACTTCTCACCGCTGAAGGAGCCCCTCGGCTTCGTCAAACTAGTGGAGTGGGTAAGTTGGATGCAGATATACTTCATTTGTGTGTTAGTGCTTGTGGGAGAGAGACAGGGAAAGAGAGAGATACCCAGAGGACAGGGAGGTTCAGTCCTTGGGTTTTCCCTTTTCCCTGCACTCTTGAGAAAAAACCCTGAAGTACCCTTCATTTGTTTAGGGTTTTAGTTTGATAAGAATGTATATGACATTAATATTTATAAACCACGTAAACATGACCTTAGAATGCAAATACCAACTTTTCTCTCTACATGCAGCTTTGATGTTTTGCACTTTAGAAGACTGAACAAGATTTATACATGTCATTTGTTTAATAAACCTTCAAATCTAAACTCTGGAAGGGTTTATCAAGCATGAATAATCCAGCTTGGATCCAAATATATGGCCTAAATGTTAATAAATGATCTTTTTCTTTAAATTATTCAATATTGACTAGTTAAAAAGTTTGAATGAACCTTGTTCGGCTATGGAAACTCAGGAAAGGAAACTCAAATAAGTACAGCTCACTGCATTTGCATCATTTTGCTCTTTGCATGCCCTTCAGAGGCAAACAGTTGGGGATTAATTCACCGCTCTGTAATAATTTAACTCTGGATAACTGTGCAGCCAGGAGGTTAACAGATTGGAAACACTTAGAGACTTTCTCAAGGAAGGTCCAGTAATGAGTTTTTCTCTACATAACTGGGTCAGAAGGAATCTGGCTCAACTACAGTTTCTCTCAGCTGTTCTATTTTCTCAAAAAACACACACACACACACACACACACACACACACACACACAGAGAGAGTTAGGAAGCAGCAGTAACACCCAGTCATCTGACTCCATGTGAGTGTGTGTGTGTGTGTGGTTCATTGTGTTCGCCTAATTCAACACGACGTATTTTGTTATTTACAGGGGTCTGGATGATACATTTGGCAATATTTTATATATAACATGTAATGCTTCTAATGTCCTATGTACCAATATATGCTGTTTGCTGAGACAGCATTATAGGATACCATTAAGTAGGCTCAAAGGTTTTAAACATCAGAAAACTAAGGTGATAGCTGAACAAACCTAGTTTTCTTCTTATGTTATCACATTATTTTCCAGAAAAAGAAAACCTACATCTACTTTAGCAGCTTTCCCACCATATTGAAGATGAACATGCTCTTATACAGAAGAAAACGTGAGACATATTTAACACCCTGGTTTGCATGAGCACATGCATTAAAGTGCTGTGTTTCAGGCTGGACATTAGAACTGAAAACAGAATGCAGTTTACCGTTAAGTTAAATGTCAGAAATAACAATTCTAATTAGTTCTGACATTTAACATTTGTAAGAAAGTACTGTATTTCAGTTTTTAAAGTACCTGTGACAAATTCAATGTATATTGTAGACAATGCATTTTTAGTACATTTATTATTATACTGCTCTGTAAAAGAAACAATATTTTTTATACATATACTGTATATAAATCCATAGTGGAAATAGTTGTACGTTGCAGCCCCTTCATTTAAATTTTTGCATGCATGCTCCTTCGACTTTCTACTTTTAATTAACATAACAGTTCAAATATACTGAACGTTTCGACTTTCAGGTCACAGAAGTTAATAGGTTTTTAGGCCCACTACTCCTGCTGTCATGAATTGAATGGCATCGAGTCTGTCATCTTGTTTAAAAGCAATGCAACAGTTTTTTCCATCTTCCAAAACCAGTTTACATGTTTCATGTTTTTCCTCTATGCTCATACCTCCATAGATATTATCATCCATGGAGTAGTAAACAGGAAGTGGGTTACGGAATAACAAATGCTCCAAGGCTGCCACACACTCACTCGACATATTGAATAATGATGATAAAATTGATCATCTCTTTCTGGAGTGTGAGTGTAAGAGGCAATGGAAGCAACATTTTCTTTTCTATGAGAACCTGTAAATGAACTTTAAATTCACATTTTGGGTGGTTTAATGTTGCAAAATCTATTATGCTATCTCACAGCTTGTCTAGGAGTTGTAGACTGCCTGTAGCTTCGTTTGGCTGTCTCTGGTATGTCTATAAATTGGTACAGAGGGAATGCAGATGTCTTGGATGCCCCATAAAAATAAATGAAGGACTGGTAAGATACTGCTTTGTGTTCAGAGTAGTTTGTATTGGCACCAGGTTTGGAGAAAGGCATCACCTGTTGTGTCAAATAAGGATTAAGCGATGAAAATTGGAAACGAGACAAACTACCCGGAAGAATTGATGCTTTGATTAAAAATGTGAACATAAATACAATAATAAAAATGATTGGTTCCAGCTGGCTGTTACAAAAGTCAATTCAGTGACTCCTTGACCTCCGTGTGGGAGAGTTACACGGTCAGTGAAACAAAAATATGAGAAAAGTATAGCTGACATTGGTGTGTGCAGCCAGAAAAACAGGAAGTGGCAGTCAGTGACATCTGGAGACACATCTGGAGAGAGGCCTCGAGGTGTGTGTGGGAGTGTAACTAGATGCAAAGTACATTATGTGTGTGGGTCTTGTGGTGTGAAGCTAAAGGATAAAAGTTGAGTTGGCCTGTTTTAAGCATTTTTTTAGGATGTGATATGGTTTTGCAAGTTAAGAAGTATTTTAGTTCAACTTTTGTCTTTTAAATATTCTGGTTTTTTTTCAATTTGTTTTCCAGAAAATCTACGTTTTATATATTTTCTGTCAATGATGATGCCCCGTCTGCTGTATGCAATAATTTGAATGAACAGAGGATTAAATGGCTATGTGTCAAACTCATACTGATGTAATCCAATGCACCCGTTTCCCTCAACTCTTTCGATCATTTGAGTGCCTTTTGGCTAAATGCTTTGGTTGCCAAGCCCACAACACAACACAACAGTTTCAGTTTAATCTCACAGTTCTCATTTGTGCTGCAGGCAAAAAAAAAAAAAAAAAGAAGGTTTTCAGTGCTGAGCTCTCAAAACAACACTGGAAAGTACCTGCTTATTGCCAATAAACAGGCAGGACATGTTAGCAGCCTGCATGTGACTCTCGTGTAGCACTTAGCTGCTAAAGCATTGCCGATGATTTCTCTCAAGAGTTGGTTAAGCGCAAAATAGAGCTAAAGTGACAATACATATTTTGACCGAAGTTCATCAAGTGGCATAAAAAACTTCTTCAAATTAATGCTAACGTAGCCTGCATGGCCACTAGCAAACAAACAAGCTAATGTTTGCTAGCATGTTTACCAAATCAACTTATTTTGCCAAATTAGCTCAGTGTTGTGTGAAGAGGTTAAACACCGTAACAAATGAAGGACAAGATACATTTGTTTTTCAAATTCCTTCATACCAAGACAGCCAACAGCTGAGCTAAAGACCAGTTAGCTCTACAGTCTCCAACCCACAAAGATAAAAAGTTGAAAGATGTCTGACTTGTGACTGAAGGCCCTTGCTCTTTGATAAGCGTTATACACAGATGTTAAATTTGTTTAATACCATTACAGGGATTGGAAACGGTAAATTAGTTACGGCTGTAAATGCGGTGGTATGTAGCATTGGTTTACTTGTAAAACACTTGCCCCTGTAGCCAATATAAACACAGAATTAATCTTTGAATTCATGTTGAACACTGCTGTCTGTTGAACTGAGAGCTTCAGTAAAGATGTGTGACGACAGACTGTGCCATAAAGTAATGCATGTTAAGTGCATAAATGTGTAAAAAAACTGATACGTAAAATGTCAAGTAGAACAAAACCCTCCTCTGCAGTGTATTGTCATCCACAGTGCACATGGCAATGCCAGTTCAGCATAACCCATAAAGTTAAGCATTGAAGTCTAAATGACCTCAATACCTACAAATTATATGATCATTGTTTGGCCTGCTGCAGTTCGAGGGTTAAGCCTAGTGCCAGCCACCCTGACTAAAAGAATTCAGTATGTGTTGGTTTTAAGGAGAGTATTAGTGTCACATGGCCTACACACTGAATCAGATGCTTTCTGCCTCTGCAAGAAAGAATTCAAGAGCTGAATAGCAGCATTAGCGCGGCCATGTAAGCCACATTTCATTGTATTGTATCAGATAGCCATTTTATCAGTGGAAACGATGCCAAATCGTTTCCTAAAAAAGACATTATTTGCTTTTCTTTGTATTCTGGTAACTAGATGGCTTGTTTAGATCAGCTATTTCTATGAGAAAAGCAAAGAATAAAGAAAAGCTGGTCTGGTGAAAATAGTTGAGTAGTGAGTCTCATTTTGGCTGTCTGTTGCTGTAAAAATGCTGGCCATCTGTTGTTCTCTCTTTGGGGCAGATTAGACATTGCATATAAGTGTTAAAATCACTTTCTTTTTAAATGGTGAAATGCTTTAATTGGGCGTCACAATTGCCAAACGCTCAGACAGAACAACTCAAGCTTTCAACAGCTTTCATCTTAAAGAGGACATATTATACCCCTTTTCCACCTTTTCAAACAGTCTCCTGTGGTCTAAATGAAACCTCTGGGCTGTGCTTTGGTCAAACTATAACATGAATCAAGCACCAGAGGAGGTTTGTGACTCTGTATAAACCAGCTCTCTCAGAACGCTCCGTTTTGGTGTGTGTGTCTCTTTAAATGTAATGAGTTTTCCCCCCCCCTGAGTTTTCCCAGTAGACATCTGTAGCAAGAATAAAAATGGCAGACCTGCGTAAAAGTTTTGTTCTAGGCTGGGGATAAAGTCCATGGGTGGAGATACCAGGGGAGGGGAGGGGAGGGGAGAGGAGGGGATTTTTTTTTTACCAGAATCCAGCTCGTGACATCACAGATTGAGCAAGTTTGAAACGGAGCACTTTTCTCTGTGTTGTAAGACTACAAAAAAGGGTTTATTTCACATTTTGTGTGTTGGTAGACACTCAGGTTACCCAAATATATGTTCAAAAACACTGTAAAAGTGGATTTTTCATAATATGTCCCCTTTAAAGGTATTTTCATTATGCATACAGAATTTCTGTAGACTGTATGAAGACCGTAGGAGGAGTTAGTTTGGATATTGATTTTTGTAAGTAGCAAAAACCACAGCAAAATGTCACAATGGTCTTGAACAAATACCCAGTCCCTTTAACTTTCTTGATTTGCTAACGTCATTCTCAACCATCTTGCTTCTCTCTCTTGTGTCCACATGAACAGCTCACTGCGGTGTTTGCATTTGGAAGCTGCGGTGGATTCTCAGGGAAGAACATCCTAACAGTGTTATGTGGTGATGGCAGAAATGAAACTCTCAACGCAAATTTCCACTACCCATTCAGGTAAGAATAAGAATACATGGTAGGGATTTTTCATCGTCTTGCAAAGATGTTTACTGTCACCGAAAGTTGTGTAATATGTTGCAAAAAGATCACCAGAAAAGATGGATAATGCTTGGAATAGAAAAATCATATTGAATGAATAGTCATCTGAACACAGTCATAGTGATTTTAATCTCTTTTAATTTCGCACAGGTTGAGCCAAGTCCCGCTCATTGAGGGCAACACCACTGTCTGCAACCACTCTGTCACGTTGACACACATGGTTGGAGACTCGACGTCCTCGGCGGAGTTCTTTGTGGCCATCGCCATCATCTGCTTCCTGCACAGCATGGTGGCTCTGTTGGTGTATCTAGGCTACATGCATGTTTACAAGAACTCTGAATTTGGGCCCATTCTTGTGAGTATTCACCTTGCTGCTCAGCTTTCAGTCAGACAACTCAAGCTGTGGAAATGATGAGATTATACACAAGGACTTGTTGTTTGCTGAAAATTAGACATTTGTAGCATCTGTTCTGCTGAGCTGATGTGGTGTCCCTCATTGCTTCCAGGATTTTGTTGTCACAGCAATTCTGGTCTTCCTGTGGCTTGTGAGCTCGTCTGCCTGGGCGAAAGGATTGCAGAATGTAAAGTATGCTACGGACACTGAAGGCCTCAGTGCCACACTGGATCTCTGCAAGGAAAGCAGCATCACCTGTGAGGTCACGGAGTATGCCAACATGCGGACGCTCAACATTTCTGTGGTGAGAAGAAAGAACAGACAATTGAAAAGAGTTTGGTCTCAGTTACAGCGATGTCAGCCTATTCGTGCCCAAGGGACAACGCTCCTTCAGCTTTTTGATTTGTTTTATGCTTTTAAATCACATGACGTAGCCTGACTCATAGTCATGAGCCTCTCAGCAATAACTCTTTGATGTTCAGACACTTGTGTGCTCAATGTCATCTGGGTCCCGATCCCAATCAAATTTATTGTAATGAACAAAAGTGTGACTGGAAAGGGCTTGTGACCAATCTTACAGATCTTGCAAATCTTACAGCAAGATGTTGTTTAGTTTGAATGTGTCACTATAAAAAAACTTTGACTCCAAGAGCCAAGATGACCCCAGGCAAGGACACAGAGCGGCTTTGAGCTCGCCCATGCAGCACAGACCCCCCCCCCCCCCCCCTTGCTCTATAGCTGCCTTCTCTCAAGACAATAAGCTAGATCCGCTACAGACTCCTGTCTCCGGTCATAAGTTACAGATTTATTTACAAATCTGTGTCTAATTTGTTTAATTTATTACACTATTGTAACTCAGAGAGATGCTTCGCTGATTTGTTATTTTGCACAAAGGCAATCATGACTTGAATCCTTTATCACTTGTGTTTCCAGAACTTGTTAATCCATAATTTTTTTCTGCTCTTTGTATCTTTTCAGGTATTTGGCTACCTAAACATGTTTGTGTGGGCATTCAACGCCTGGTTTGTCTACAAGGAGACTCGTTGGCACTCCCAGAAATTCTCCTCTCCTCCCGGACCTGGAAGGCAACATGTCCCTGTAACCATCTAACATAAAAAAAAACAAGAACACAAACACACAGTCACATGCTAATAATCATACTGCAGATATCAACTTGTGCACTCCACACAAAGCACAGGGACCAACAATTTGAGCACATGCACATACACTGACAGTATGACAACATGTGAGTAATAATCCAAATGAAGGATAAATTGATATACGGTCAGTTTAAAAAAAACGGACCTCAAAATGTTGCATCATTCCTTACACCTGTATGGCGCACATGAACTAAGAATAGTTCTAAACACAAGTTAAATTTCCCAAAAGATTTCCTTCATAAGGCTGAAGGTCCCTGCAGTAATAGGAAGCCCATAGAGGAGTAAGTGTCTTAACAATTGTTTTTTTTTTACATTTTTTAATTTCTTATAGCAACATCAGTGTAAAAAAATAGTATATGAACTCATTTTAAAGTGCCTTCTGAAGTGGCTTCTTGTCCTTAATTAAGCAGAAACTTGCACAGAAAATGACCAAATATTTATGCAAATTTTTAAAACTCAGAATTGTGAATTGTGGGTGAATGAGAAAAACATCCTTAATACTCTATAGTTCAATTTAAGGTAACTGGCTGGGTTTCTTTTTGATTTACAACATGGCCCTTCTGATGAATGTAAGGTACGTTAAACTCTCTGTCTATGACATCAAACCAACCAAAAGATTTAAATCTGCAGCATTACTATGTATGATGCTGACATGGTACCATTGACTGTTTGTCTGTAGTGCAATATGAAATGGAATACTCTATGCCATACTACTACATCAGGAAATGTAATGTGTTATAAACGAGTTACCACTAAGATATTCATACGTTTGAGTGAGGGAGTCATTCGATCCCTCGCTTGCAGTTAGCCCACTTGCCAACTAGTGGTTTCTGGCAGGTACTGCAATGTCTACACAAAAGTGCTCACTCTTTTTATGAAGTACACTGATCTGATCAATCCGTTTGAAAGTCTTTATCCTGCACAGATTGCCCTTCGCAAGGTCCATCCATACGCATGGAGATGGATGTAATATGGTCTGCAACCAAAATATCATGAAGACAGTTTGCACATGTTTTGTAGGAAGTTCTTATAGTGACATGCACGCTGCACTTGTTCGTTGCTTAGTATGCTTTATTGGGCTTTAAGAGTGTACATTTTTGAAGAGGACTTGAGCGAGAAGTATTTCAGGAAAACCTTGCTCTGTCTGCATCCAAAGTGATTATTTAGTCTCTACATGTACCAGTTGAAGTTTTTTTTTTTTACAGATTGCTTTAGTCATCATTTGGGATTAGAGGCGACTCCCTCTAAATTCCTTTATTTCTTGTTTTCACTGTTAAACTGACATACTTTTTTGTTTTTACATTTTTATGATGATGTCATATATCTCTATTATTTGTTGTGGTCAAAACAGTCCATCTTGTTTTTTGATTTTCTAATGTGTTTTTCAGACCTTCCCGAGACAGATGGCTGGTGCTGCGTTCTTAAACTCCTTTTTTTTTTTATATATCTTCAGTGTGTGTTGATGATTGTTTGCAGGAATTTCTGATTTAAATTTTTTTTTTTTGTCCACTGCCTTTTGATATATATACAAATGCACGTTGGATGAAACCATTTGAAACGACTATACTGGTTATGCCTTTTCACTCTTGTAATCTTCATCCAACTTTAGCTATAGCTTTGTCAATGATCTCTATGCATTAAACCTGCCAGAGTGACATATATTCTCTCTGTGACAAGCACAAGTTCCATGTACAGTACCTTTGTTTTTGTCTGTTTTTTCAATAAAATGAAGGATTTTTTTCAAGAACCTCTCAAGTGACCATACATGTGTTTGAATTGTCTGGAACAGTTCTGCAGAATTATACGTTTGTTTGTAGCTCAGACACAATGGATCCATTTGAAGAGGTTGAAGCTACTGTGACCTGAAGCTGTTATGATGACCCTTGAAGGTACAGAAAATTACCACTCTCGCTGATATGTGCTGTTCCTTTCTGTCCTGTGACGTCGGATCATTCTGTGGTAATGCTTTGTATGTGAGAGTTTGAAAGACATGGAAAAAACAGAAGTGTGCCCGAGAATCTGATGGAAAGACAAAAGGGAATTCATTCAACTACATGTTATTATTTTGTTTGAGCTGTTTGCACAAGATTATACCTAATTTGATGAAAACTTACTTTTTTTGCCCTCATTTAAGAATACAACTCCTCCAGTGTCCCCATATAATTCAGCTGAAACAGGAGACTTTACAGGACATCCTGTGATCTCCTCTGTTAGAATACAAGTGGTAGTAATAGATGTGGAGAGATGGATTTCAAGTTTTAAAGTTTAAAAATGCAGTTTCTGTTTTCAGCCACAAGAGGTCAATGTAGTGCCATTAGCCTGACCTACTGGGCCACCTAAAAAACAAATATCTTGGGACAACTTCTTTCAATTCAGACAGATTGCCTTAGGTACATTTCAAATGCATCGTTAAAAATAAACGTTATCTGTTACTCTTGAAGTTTAAAACTAAGTAGCCAAAACAAGTCTTTCTATGGATGTATTTGCTGTTTAGTCTTCCATTAGACCTGACTTGCACAAAGCAATGGATTTAGACACCTAAAGGCCCTCAGTGAAGTCAAACAATACAAAATAAATTGTTAGGTACAATTTTAAACAAGGCGCAGCTGTATGCAGACAATCTAAACAGACAAACCAATGAAGGATCTCAGTGATATAAACTCACATGGTACATAAGTAAGGTCTTGTGTCTGAAATCTCCACCCTTAATCCTTACAATAACTATATTTACAAAATACCCAGTTGACAACATGTTTTAACAAAGTCAATAAATATGAAGGTTATCCTTTGAAATTATGTCGTGCTTTTGCCAGACCCCCATCATTTTATTCTCTCTTTTGAACTCTAAATCTCTATTAAAGATAATATTCTAGTTGTATTTTCTCTAATTGGAGACAACAACTGTAACCTCAAACTTCAAAACCCCCTCCCCTCTTTTTGATGGAATCTAAATGTAGCCTATATGAAGCCTAATAATAGTCTAAGCATGTATTGGCAATGTTATGTGTTTTACTCCTCTCCAACTAGATGTAATATCTTACAAATACTAATTAATGTTAGCATCCAACAGTGAGAAACCTGCCAAATGTAAGTAAACGTGTATGTCCAAAGGCTTCGGCCTATAAACATTGAACTTTTGAACTCGACAGCAGCTCCCTCTCTATCGCTCGTCGCTCTCAAAAGCCTCCGGCAGATGCCGAACCGAGCCGAAGCCAACCCGAGAGCGACGTCACCATATCTCGTTCTTTCGTTTTTTCGCCTGCTGCGTGCGAAGGAGAGAGAGGGAAAAAACGGCTCTCAGCAAAAGCAACAAGAAGGAAGAGCAATGGCGACACTGGATCGCCAAATACCAAGTGTGGATACCTTCCTTTGCGAGCCTTGGTCTTCCTTCGTCAGTGCCACTAAATTACGTTTTGTTGACAGTAAGTTCGCACGTCGGTCGCGGTGTTGTTTTTGCTGGCAAAGTGTCGGGAAGTGCGTGGTCCAACAACTGTCTGTGATTGAGTTGAGTAAGCCCCTCCACCATGCAGGGGTCTGTCAAAGCGCAGCAAAGTAACTGTCACATATGTTACTACGAAATGCAAAATTAATGGGTTGGTTTAACGGTGAGAAAAGCTAAGCGCTACCGTGCAGAGTTTGTCCATTTGACGCGTGTCGTCATGTTGCCCTCAACTGTCCAGCTGTAAGTTTGTTAGCTTTGACAGCTTCACTCGCTTTGAGGCAAGCTCGGGCGCTAACAAGCTAAATGCTAAAGTGATAGCCAGCCCTCGGACCAGCGTGGCTCCGCGCATGGCCCCAAAGTTTTGTTGTGATTGCTCTCCTGCGTGTTTTTGTAAGTGGCTCGTTGTGTTTGTTCAGACGCAGCAGACTCGCCTTTGGATAACAGCGACGAAGAGCTTTACTGCCCCGGTGAAGCTGCGAAGCTCGGCAAGGAAGGTAAGGAAGTTTCACTGTTGTCACGTACACATTCATGGTTTGTTATGGTTTTATTGAACAGTTTCTGCTGTATCGTGGAGGAGATTGTGTTTCCCCAATCCAACCTCTTAAAAAAGGATGTTTCTGTTTGTGTTTTTAAGTAAAACAAAAAAACATTTAATTTTTTTTTTTTTTTTAATTTCAACTTCAATGGGAAACAGCAGTAGGCCTTACCTGTGATGTGTGCAGCCTATATCTGCATTACGAATGTGTATCAATGACTAATCATTAATTAATCCTTTAACAGAGTGTTTGGCTTTCAAACACTTTTTTATTTAATTTTTTTTTGAATGCAACATCATTCATATATATGTTAAAGAAAAAATCATTTTTGATTATGCCCAGGCTTACCAATAATTTCACCTCTACCTGTGTCATACAGTGTTATGAAATGTCACATTAATGCATGTAGCTAGTAAACAAGGACTCAAATGTGTTTTAGGATAAGTATAAGACAAACTGTACTTTTCATAAATTATGGATATGTTACTTACAAATGAACTTGACCTGTAAAAGCCTACATTAATCAGCAGAAAGCCGTAAGAGTTGTCTGTTTTGGTGAGGAGTGTGTGATCAATTTAGCTACACATTGTCACAACTTCAAGGTGTTTTCGGGGCTACGATTGTTATAGTAGAAATACTGTCTTTGGCATTTGCTGTTTTGTACAACACAGTTAACGTGATGTGTGTGTGTGTCGGGAGTTAGGGGGTGCCCCCGAGCAGCGAGTGGGTACCTTCCCCACTGTCCCCAGGAGAAAGAAATGGAGGAGTTCCTCAACACCTCACCACGTACATACTGTATATACCCACAGGAGCACGCGCTGCACACTAACATTCTTGAGTCATCCCTGAAAGTTTTAGCATACTGCAGCCCTCGTAGGAATACACACTGATGCACACAAGCAGCCGGGGAAACTCTTCTCACTCTCCCTGGTCAAATACCACCCCCACCTCCTACACATACACACACACTTACTCACTCACATGCCTCATCTTCCTCTCTCAGAGCCAAACCTGAGCGGTGTTCCCAGAATTGCTGATCTGTTGGCAACTTGACACCGAGGCCTGCTGAGAGTGATATGCAAGCTCACTCGCAAGAGCCTCATGAACACACAGGGAAGCACGTCTTTTATGCGTTTGGTGTGTTTCGGCATAGCAGAAGGCGTCGTGAGCTACAGTAGATCTTTATGTTACATGTTTCAAACACACATATGTTTGTAGATGTTGAGGTCATGTGATTGGTATCTATGTCTCTTTCTCACTCTCTCATATTTAGACATCAAAAAAAAAGAAGAAACGTACACACACGATGTAGTACTGCTAGACTGTCATAAGCCCTTTTAAGACCGCCAGACCGTCCCTTTGATGTCTCACCTTTACTGTGAATGTCACAGAGGCATAATTGGGGGATGACAAGATCCCCCCCCCCCCTCCCCCTCTGTACTGTCTTCAGACGTAGTAACGGGCATTAATAGGGCGAGACAGGATCGGCGGTGCCAGCGGGGGAGAGCAGAACTGTGTGTGTGTGCATGTTGTAGTGTGTGTATGTGTAGCTCCTGCTGTTTCTCCACACGTCGTGCTTCTGTAACGCCGTAACGCAATGTGAATTCACGAGTCACCAGTATTAAGCCATCGTGGAATCAATATGAGAGTACAAAGATGTAATGACAGCCGAGCTTCTGAATCTGAAGAGGGCTGTCTCCTCACTAGAAATAGGCAGTGCTGCGATGCTTTTGTTTGTGTGTTTACCACTGACTTACGACAGGACGGTGATCATCAGGAACGTCATCGTTTCTGCAAGCATGCTTTGAATGTTTTTCCATGCCAAATGTGCATCCGACACAAAGGAGCAAAACCACGATGATTTTGCAGGCATTGGCACAGTTCTGTTTGGAGTTCATTAGCTCTTCCGTCTGGTTTTGAAACCAGAGAAGTCTCTCGGATATCTAGCAGACTACTTAAAATTAGTCATTCAAGGAAAAGTGGTACTTTTTTTCTGCATTTAAATGAGTTGAGCTGAAATTACTCACGACATTACGCTGTCATCATTTGAATAAGGCTGAAGAAAATGGTGCACTTACGCTGACAGATACATGACATATTGACTTTTGAAAGGTTGACTGTGTAAAAAAGAGGCATTAAAGCGGAACAATGTAAAGTGTATGTCAAAAAAGCAACAGCTGAGTAATGAGTTATAAATAATACACGATAAATGAATAAATAATGATTCTTTCACTACTTTGATTTAAAAAATAAAAATAAAAATAAAATAATAATCTTTTTTCATGCAAAGCTGTCAAACATTCACCTTATCAAACATTTAGACAGTTAGGATTCACAGATTTTCTTCTTCATCTATACACAACTGAATATCTTTGTTTTAAAGTGTTCAATTGTGATAGTGGATGGGGCAATTAAAAAGACAAGAAAATGAATGTATTCATCCAAACAAATCTGCTGATAAATTGATAATAAGATAAAACCATGCAGGTTCTCCTAACTAAAGCGTAGCATTAAACAAAGATCATTTGTGATCTTAGTTTATACTAGTTTAACAGTAATAAATCAATTATTACTACGAAAAAGGCACTTTTTAGATCATATAAAACAGTGATAAAGTCATAACTTCAGACACTTTGTAATGTCTACAATTACTATTACTATTTTTTTCCTTCTTTATTTATACAAGAATGGAATGAGATTGTTCTAACTTATCAACTTGAGACCACTCGGTGAAATTATTCACATACTTTGTTTCAAAAACAGCTTCAATTTGTCTGTTAAGTTTCTCCTTGTCACATCCTGCTAACACAGCTTCGACTCTTGTGTAAGGGCTAACTGGCATAAAAAAGGTCTGCCACCTACTTTTGGCTCTGACCTTAAATGTTGAAGATACCTGATTACAATGTTAGTTATAAGTGTAATAGAGATAAATATCTGGGATATTTTAGTATTTTGTAGAAAATGTTGGAAGTTGTAGTGTGGCGTCTGCAACATTTAGCTGCCAGCTATCCACTGTGAAGGCTGGTATGCACCACCAGACATTTTGGTGCTGTACATATCATTATCTGGTGTGCCAGATCAAAACAAACAACTTCAGTTGAAGCGGTTGCTGTGGCCTGTGCCCTCGTCTGAAACTGTTGTAGCACAGCGATTACTCAAACATGGCTTCTACCGGGCCAGATTTCCGCTAACTTGGTTCATTTATGCTCTCAGTGAAACTTGTTCCTTGGCACAGTGCGGTTATTACTTTGCTCTACAGCCTGCCAAACCTCAGTTTTGTAGAGTAGGGCTGAGTAACTGTGTGTTCTCTTCTTCTGTTGTTTATAGTTACTGCTTGTTCACCAGGAAGGTCACAACTCCCAACGAGTTGATTTACATGCTCAGTGTCCGGTGATGTATTGGTTTAGTATCTCCCAATTTGCTTATTCACTAGTGAGTGATGTTTTTGTAGTTCTTTTTTTGGCCTGTCAGTCATTTGTCTGCCTGTGAAACTTGGCTTGAGAGACACACACAATCCAGGCTGGAATAGGTTACGCACTTAGCTTGCATTTGACTTGGCAGATTCAGAGGAAATTGCATTCCTTCCTTTTTTTTATTTTTTTTTTTCACTACTCCCACTAAACTCCTTTTCTGTTACTGTAAACACTGGGATTATCTCTTTGCCAGAAAACACATTGTTCCCATGATATTTTTTTTTTTGCCTAGCTTTGTTAATAGTTTATGACAAAATGAAAAAAAAAAAAAAAAAAAAAGACAGGCACAAACTGTAGTGTAGTTTGATCCAGTCTTCTCAACTGCTCACACTTTGAAGTTATTAATAAAAACACAATACTTGTTTGGTTTTTAATGTAGCTCAGATCCATTTTCAGTTCAGTGAAAACCAAACACTACGGTTGATTTGCTACGGCGGAAAAGCAGTTTTTCAGGAAACACGGGAATCTGAGCGTTTGTATCGTAAATCAAGGAGCATTAGTGAGAAATAATCTCGTCCTCTGTATCGACAAGGTGAACTTGTGTAAAGCATCTTTACTGCAAACTGCTTCACTGCATCTGCTTTGCATCTTACAGTAGGCCTGACATAAAACCTTTCCATCTGAGATTTGAAATCTCTAAAATATTCCAGTAAATGAAAATGACAACCTTAGAGTGTGTGAGCATGAGTATTCAAACCATCTCTGTGTGAGCCTTTTTACAGTGTGACACTCAAGGCACGGATCGCATTCACACATATCGTTCTATATAAAATGTCTGTGACCTTGTGTGAACTAGCACACGCAGACCTCATCGGTGCTATGCATGACAGAGGGTCTCTTTGGCTTCCCACATGACCCAGCAAGGTCATGATGCTTTTGCGCCCATCCATATACTCCGAGAAATTCCCCAATCCTCCCCCCTCCCTTGTTAGCTGTCAAGAAAAAAAAAACAACATCCACACACCACCACCCCTCAGTGATTCTGGCTAAGCCCCATGCTAATAAGTGCTGTGATTTCTGTCAGCAGAGCTTGTTTGGGTACAGGAAGATTAGGTTCTCAAAGCTTAGCCAGAGGAGATAATTGCCATTTTCCATTGGACATATTTGTTTTTCCTCTGTATTTCTAATAATCCTCAGTTTTTGTTGAGTGGGTGGGGTGTCTCTTGTAAATCCATGCACAATGTTGCTGTATGCTGGCTAGAACATGCTTTTTTTGTGTGTATTTGGAAGGGTTGTACGTCCGTCTGTTTCTTTCTTTATGCCTGTCTGTTAAGTGAACACTTATCTGAATCTGTTTCTTTGTTGTGTATTATTAACTATGATAGTGTTGCTGATCATTTTGGCGACAGGGTCCCGGCATTATTCAACAGGTCTGCAATTTCAGAGCTTTGAGAAGCTCCAAAGCTAAATGCTAATGTCGAGAACAACCTATCAAAGTCTGGTCATTTGTTCCTTTGTTTTTGCTCTCATTGTCTTGCTTTACTTGCTTTTTTAGTCTTAATTCAAACTTTAAAGCTAAATATGTCATAAGGTGAAGGGTATCAACAGTTTGTTGATAAATGAAACTTTTTATGAAAATACGTTTTTATTTTTATTTTTGAATTTGTTTCTGTTTTGATTTTAACTTGGAAATAAATAAGCATTATAATAATTGTATCGCATTTTCTCCTCATGTCTTTCCAGGGATGCTCGTCTACAGCCAGTTTTCTGCACTGGAGGATTTTTGTCTTGTTGTCTGCCATGTCTGCAATCAGGTGGTCACTCCTCAGGGCATCCTCACACACTATGGTAAGACACACACAAATGCAAACAAAATTTCAAGGGAACAGTCCCGCTCAAAAAAAAAAAAAAAACCCTCAGGGCATAGTCACACATTTCACAGAAGTATTCATACTCACACACACACACACTCCTCCGGGTATATCTCCTGTTGTCACACAGAAGCCCAGAACAAACAGGCTCATACACACGCATAAACATAGATGGTAACAGAGCCATTCAGAGAAAGTAATTCAACAATAATAATAACAAAACAACTTGTCCCTGCAGGGCTCTTTTAAACAATAGTCTAACTGCAACGTATCCTCCATAAACAAACTCCACTTGGTTGTGTCTGCAAATGCTCACCAGGCAGATTATAAACTAAAAACCACTAAATAATTCACAGATATTGGACCACATGTAAATGGTCTTGAGCTTGTATAGCGCTTTTCTAGTCTTAGACTACTCAAAGCGCTTTTACATGGCAGGTCACACCTACCCATTCATAACACTGATGGTAGAGGATACTATGAAAAGTGACCATCAGAAGTAACTAATCCCATTCATACACATTCATACGCCGCTGACGAAGCAGTGGGAGCAATTCGAGGTTAAGTGTCTTGCTCCAGGACATATCAGACATGTTGCTGCAGGAGCTGGGGATCGAACCCCCAACCTTCCGCTTGAGTATAAGATTACCTTTCTCGATTTAATACCTGAAGAATAGGCCGATATTCATACTAGCAAAAGGCAGACATAAGGGGATGATTGTTTAATTGAAAAATCAATATATACATTTTTATTTTTTATTGTAAACCTCAATTGTTCCACATTTTTCATCCTTCTCCTTCCCTTTTCTTGTTTGTGTATGGAAACTGCATTTGCAAAAGGAAAGTTGCTAAGCTGTGTATGATTTTTATACCTATATGCTTAACATCACTAAAACCCATTATCTGTTGCTATGGAGACTGCAGTCCTATGGAATTTAAAATCAAAAGAAGCATCCCTAGCTTTATTCAAATAATCGAAAGGAAACATTTTGTGTTTTGTTGATCCCATCTCTCATTGGCTCTCCAACCTGTCCGTCTACCTCTTGTTTGCGTTTGATTGAGGCCCTACTGAGCGTGCTCGCATCTGCCCGCGAGCTGCTACTTCCTTCTGTTGGCGGCACGTGCACCAGCCTGAGCCGTCTGTTTGAGCGGGGAGGGGGAGACACATGGTCACGCTTAATGAGCACGCACGCACACATGCACACAAACGCAGACATTATTCTCCCCGAGAGGAGAGAGAGAGAGAGGCCGGTGGAGTTGCATGCACACACATTCTCACTTTCTGGTTCTCAGCAGAAAGAGGTCAGTGGTATTGTGAGGCACACACACACTCTCACACACACTCTCACACACACACACTCACACACACACACTCATAGACTCCTGGCAGGCGCTGTTGTTTTGTCCCCACTCCTGCCCCCTGCAGGTCCCCGCCACCCCCTCCCCTCTTGTTGGCAGAGGTTCTGCTTGCTGACACGCACACAGAGTCGGGTAACAACAGGTCTAAAATGCACACACACACACACACGCACACACATGCACACACACTCACACACTCACACACGCACACAAATCAAGAGAGGGAATCTCCTGAGAGTTCCCTGATAAAACAAAACGATCCTCGAGCAAAAATGTGATAACAAGCAGGCCAAGTCGATTGCAGACAAGTAAAAAAAAAAGTCTCTGGTTTGAATAATTTATGTTGTTTTATTTTATACTTTCATGTCTCTGATTTCAACTGTATTGCAGTGACCTTAAAGTCAAACTGTCTCGCTGCTAAAGGTGATTCATTGACTTCAAAGTTAAATTTGGGGCCTTATGTACACCAATACTCTTTGTCATGACATGAAAAATGCTCCCTCTGACCTCTGCTGAGTGGATTGCCTCTAGGAACTGACCCTGTCAAGATATGCTCGCGATGTTTTATGCATTTCCTCCCATTGTTGCCCATTCACATCATGTCACTGTAGCCTCCTCAAAAGCATAGCGCCACTTTTTTGCTGCTGGTGGTTTCTACCTTAACTATAGCATTTTTATTCATTGCCATGGCCTTGTGTTTGTCTCTGTGTGTGTATCCGACATGGAAGTCTGCTTTCATGCTCGAGAGTGCATCGAATCAGCATTAAGGCCCTGCATATACAGAAATGCATGCATGCACAAACTCACACAGACAGAGAAGGGAGGAGAGGGTTTGCTGCCTCAGGGGTCAGTGGCTCTGATTTATATACGCCTAGTTTGCTGCTCAAGTTTTACTGTGTGGAGAAGAGAGAGTGTTCACAACTTAAGCAAGGGACCTGCACTGGATGCATGCTGGGTATATTCAATGTTTGTGTATAAGAAGGTGAGCGTATACTGCATTTTATATATCAGAACCGTGCTCCATTTAGTGAATTTGTTTATTTAAATCTCCTTAGTGTAAAGCATGCATGTATAATTTTAGCATAAGTGGCCCCAGTGGGATATCAAATAAATCCCTCACGCTTGCAGCGGCCGTACCATACAGTCTCCAAGAAATCATTTCATTTGTATTATGGAGAGGCCATGATGTTGTACAGATATGTTTCCTGTGAAGGTATGATTTAACCATGTTGATCAAGTTGACCTGGTTAGGCCTTAAACACCTTGAGTTGAAGAGTCATGACTTGATGATGTCATTTTAGTTTTTGTTTGCCTTTTGAAGCTTTGTAAAGATCTTTTTAGTGTATTCCTTCCAATTCTCCCATCAACTACATGTTCATCTCTCCACTCTTTGTTTCCTCTTCCCTGTTGGTGGCCTGCTCTGTGAGCAAGTCAAGTGCAAGATGAAAGTGTCGTGTTTTTGCTCTCTCGACGAACCTTGCAACTTTCTCTGTAGTTGTGGATTAATTGAGCTCTGAGGCGTTAAAAAGAAGAACAATCCTCTGTTTTCAGTTGGTCTCATCTCACTGTTAACTTCTGTATTTCTGCTTCTCAGTTTATTGTTGTGTTTAAGTGTGTGTGTGTGTGTGTGTGTGTGTGTGCGCGCGCCTTGGCGGTGGTGTCATCATACATTTCACATTCCCTTAACCGCAGAGACTCTGCTTAGTTTTGTTTATTGGGGATGTTGCTCGTCTTGTGTTATTGTTATTGCAGCCTGGCTGTGTGTCAGACATTAACTGAGGCTCTGACCAATTAAATTGCCAGCTGCTCATGTAGATGAGAGGGATTTTCTTTGCTTCTTTACACTTGTGCTGTTGAGATTAGCCAAGTGTATATCATCAGAGGAAGACCTCACCTTTTATGTACTTAAACACATCATCGGGCTGCTCGACTCTGGATCACATGCATTTATTCAACTTTAACAGGAATAACACTGACATTCTGAACACTTCATTGAAAATACACAAGTGAAAAAATAATTATTTGACATAACCAATGGACAAAACATGCATAACCTTGCAATCGGCTGGCACGGTCCTGTCAATCAAGCATCCTGGCCAGCGAGCCTATTATAATGTCGAGCCCTGGACATACTAAGGAAAATACAAACAAGGAGGCCTGAATACTCTTTTTGATATTTCTGAGTTAAGTTCTCATTTATTGCTTTGTTTTCTGGACTTTCATCATCACAGCTTCTATACAAGGCAGCCAAATAAAATAAAAACCTACTTGCTTCTAGGGGAATCTCTTTCTGACATCTCCAATATCAAGCATCTCTCAGAGCCCTCCTCAAAGCACCAAATCTTGTAGATGTAGATGTTTAATTCTTATTCTACGTGTAATAATCTGATATATATAAAAAAAAAGAATGTAAATATTGCCATTTTTGTGAGAAAATGTTCTAAAAAATGTAAGGTTTCATGTTTCTTAAGGTGTCCTTAAATAATCTCTCTGGTAAAACTCCCCATTGCTTTGTTAACTACATTTGCAAATGTAGTCTTTAATCTCTCTGTTTTATCTTTGCATGTTGGAAGCTTGTTTTGCAGTATAAGCCTAGTTAAATCGTAATTAAATACATTTTTGTACATAACCTGAATGGCTGGAAGTGTTTACAAGTGTTTCTCTTTATTTCTCACCAACTATTTCTCCGTCACTCTCTCCTCTGCTCGCCTCTCAATGTAAACAAACCCAGCTGAGCTCTTCAAGCCACTGCTTCCTCATCATGCAACAGCTCCACCCACATAATGAGTCAGCAACCAATCAGCTACCAGCTGGGCTCTCAGTATTGCCATAACGACAGACAGGCAGGAGATCGTAGTAGAGAGGGTGCCCTTGTGGTCGGAGCGCCTTGGTGACCTTGCACGGGCAGCCATCCCTGCATTGTAAATCAGTGGGATTAACTCCCAGCAGGCTCTGTACTCACAGAATGAGCTGTGTTACAGAGCATAATCATTCTGAGTTTGTACAGTTGTCAGAAATCATGCATATGCCCACCTGTGCCTACAGGCAGAATAACTGTAAAATATGCAATCATTTTAAAAAGCCAGATAACTTTGATTTTTTTTTTTAATGTTTCAAATCTCTTTCTCTCCTCAATTATCACCTGGACTGTTTCATTATATTTTCATATAATCCTTCTGCTTTGCCATTTGTAATTTTTCTATCTAAGTCACAGTTTTAATAATAATAATAATAATAATAATACATTTTATTTATATTTTCCATTTTTGAACATAAAGCATTTCAATTAAAAACTTGTTTTTATGTAATAAAAATAAACAATTAAAAAGGGACAGGAAGGGGGGAAAACAAGTGTTAAGTTGAACCCACCAAATTATTAAACTTGGCTGAATATCCAAAGGTATGGTTTCTTATTGTTAAGATTTATTATTATACTATTTTAGTCTGGATATATAAGATATTGCAGTAATACCAGAACACTCCAATGCACATATTTAAATCAAAAACACACACACACACACACACACACACACACACACACAGTTTTCCTAGTTATAATGTACAATACTCTGAGAGTTGAACGTTTGAACCCTTGCCATTTGATGTGTGATTCAATGTGTGAAGTTATTGCTGTTGTAGCTGCATACCTGCAAATGTGCCTCTGGACTTTGATCCTTCTACTCTGAATACAGCTGCCTGTGCTGCCACTGGCCTATTTACACACCTGCCACAACACACACACACACACACACACACACCATATTCTCACTTTACGCTCATATACGTATTCTCTTACATGTCGCACACAGATTTGTACACACTCTGCCCTGCGGACAATCTACTTATAGCCTTTACCATGGAGAGAAACACACACCTGCAGCATGAGGACAGTATCTTACCCCCACACAGACCTATTTTACTTGCACATGTGCGGCTAATCTCTTTCATACACACACTAACAATGCGCTCTCACACATTGTACACACACTGTCCCCTGATCACCTGCAGCAGCACTCGTGCATTCTGAATAAACACACAGGGTTTGTCAGTAGTCTGTCCACTCTGCCGTTTGTCTCCCTCGGCTGCTGTTGGTAGATTACTACTACACTCATTAACCTGCTTGCACAACATTGTTACACACTGGTAAGCACACAGACAAACACACATAATCACTCTCTTGCTCACTGAGTAAGGAAAATCATACCTGCTACCTGATCAGGATATTGTTTAACACAAGGGCGACCACTAAGTTATAGCAGCTCAGGTTGCTGCTGGATGCTGCGTTCGTAAACCCCCAGCCAGTACACAGATACACACACACACACACACACACACACACACACACACACACACACACACACACACACACACACACACACACACACACACACACACACACACACACACACACACACACACACACACACACACACACAACTGCAAAATGAACAGTGTGTGTAAGTTACATGTTCAACATTGTCAAAGCTCAATCTTCAGACACCTGACATTTTACACATCATTACCTTAACAGTCTGTTGTCGTTTTTCATTCTAAAGTCGATAAAATACTTTAAAAACATGGGGACAAAATATGAATTCGACTGCAGTTGAAATAAACGATGGAATTAGATAAAACTTTGAAATATATTTCACTTTTCATTGATCTCACATGAATCTAGAGATTGCATTCATTTTGTTGATATCCACGCTACGCTAGCTCACTGGGAAAAGAGCTAAGTACTACTCCAAAGAGGACTGTCTTTACTGCAATAGTATTATGAAACTGTTACTTTAAATATGATTAATATGATACATTTATACAAAAAACGATTCTATCATATTGCGATAAGTAACTAACTTTTTTTTTTAGGGACCTTAGAAGCGTCCTAACTTGTATGCCCCGGCCAGAAAGGATGCCATAGGTGTCAGTTCATTGGTTGGTGTGAGGACAGGGCCAGCCCCCCTCCCGTTGTCTCCAGCAGGATGTGTTGCATCTCTGCAGGTCTAGAAGGAGATATTTTAAGCAGAGGCCAATACCCATTTTTGGAAATTTACTGTGTGTGCAGTCTGTTTTTTCCCACATACTTCTCTGCTTTTCTGACATTCTGACCCCTCTTGTTTTCCTTCAGGTAGCTGGGGTGTAGTTTCCCTGTGAGCCAGTCAGAGAGAGACATACAGTCCCGGACCACATCCCCCCTCATTCCCTCCCCACCCTTCTCCCACAAAGACATGCATAGCAAAAACCGTAAGTGTAAACACCACTCCTACCCTACTTTTTTCTCCCCCCCCCCACAGCCTTGTGATTTATCTCTATCTCTACAATTCTTCCTGTATGTCAGCATCCTTTGCACTTCAGTATTCTGATCAGATCTGGGTCAAAAATGTTGGGATAATTGTTGCTCTTGGAGATGGAGTCATGCAAGGTGCTCATTAGAGAAAATAGCACTTAATTGATTTGTAAGTACTTCATTTGGAAAGGTTGTGGCATGGATTTGTACCTCCCGTGCTACATCACAGCCACCTGGCACCTAAGCAGGCTAACAAATACTAAAAAAAAAAAAAAAAAAAAGTTGTTTAAGTATCACACTGCATGTTACCAGGTGCTAATTGGATGCTAATCAGATCCAAGTCGCACCCCCTTGCAATGCTTGATCTTTATTGTTGGAGTGTTTCATGATTCTGTCATGCATCTTTTTCTCTGCTTCTTTCTTGACTCGATTCAGAAAAGCGCCACGTGTCCCCTGTCTCCTCCCGGAGTGCCCTGGTCCCTATGAAGCCCAAAGCGCCTGCTGTGGCCCCTGCTGTGGCTCCCAGTCCTGGGGACACGCTGGCCTTCAGGGTCCCTAAAGATTACCCTCACTCCCGCTTCAGCAAGGCTCCACTTGCTGTCTACCCACCAAAGGGATCTCGGATCAAGACATGGTGGCACATGTTTACTTTCCTAATATAATAGTAGCATTTTTTTTAAAGGCTTTTTAGCTCCAAACGCAACAGTGTTTTAACTTCCCTCTACTTCTCTCTAGTGTTTCCCTTCCAGTGGTAAGCCTGGAGAAGATGCCGTGCCTCAACCGAGCCAACTCGGCGTCCCATGTGCGCCTCACCTCCTCTTCCACCCCCTCTCCATCCTCTAACAACCCCTCATCCCTCGCACCCCCATCCGCACAACGGTCCACAGAGAAGCTTGTGAACGGTCGCGGCACCAGCGGACCATCCACGCCACGCTCGACCACGTCGCCATCTTCTCTGGACAGGCGGCCCAGTCCTGCGCGCTCTCCCCTCGACAAGCGGCCGCCGTCTACGCCCTCTTCTTCCCCTCTGGACAGAAAACCCTCCCCATCCCCTTCCCCTGCACACCGATCCGGCGCCCTGCCGTCACCATCGTTGTCACCATTGGAGAAGAAGCCGCAAAATGGGACTAAAGCGTCCTCCAAGTCTCATAGAAGACTCTCAGGTGAGTTGTAAGATGTTTACTTTTCTCTTGTTTACCCTTTAGCGGCTGAAAAGTTTGTTTTCTGGAAACGTTATGTTTTACAAATGACACTTGCGTAATCCTCGAGCTTCCGAGCGCGCCCACATTTTTATACTATTGACTAATGGGTTTAGTTAAGAGTCTGAATGTATTTGAAAAAGATTGAGATTATTTTATAAATCAGTCATTTCCCGCCTGCATTTTTTATGGTTTGTTTATGAATGTGATTAATCAATTTGTAGCTCAGAACACAAGTACATTCCTGAGCAGGACAAGGCACAAGTTTCTTTATTTTCTCCTGACATTACTCTTGTAAGCTTTGCTCAAGAATTCCCATAAAATCATACAAACAAAAATGCTCTCTCAACCTCCCGAAAGCACAATTATTCATTTGTATCATCTGGAAAGCTTCTACCCTGTTGTAAGGTTCCTGACAGGACACTGTTGTGCTGAGATTTTATGCGTTACACTGGTGGTCACCTTTTTATTCGTTTTTAATGGTTTTTCTCTCTTGGTTTCTCTGTCTCTGCATCTTATTTCCTGATCTTTATTCCTTTTAAATCCAGTTCTGTTTCTTTAATTATACTCCACGTCTTGTTATATTAGTTAAACTTTGCGCTGTCAAGTTCAGTTTATGGTCATCCCAAAAAGAAAAGTAAAAAAATGCACAGCAACAAAGACATTTTTGATTGATGCTTCAGGTTCTTCTTTTTCATGTTGTGTCTCTCTATCCAGTGTTTCCTCTCCCTCCTCTCCTCATTTCTCTCTTCTTTTCTCCCTGTTTGCGCGATGTCTTGCTGTGCGCCGAGTGTCTGATTTACACCCTGTAATTCACGAGCTCCCCGCTGCCAAAAAAGCTGCTTGTCTTCTTGAGAGATTTCCCCCACCTCCTGTGTCTCTATATATTTCAATCCTCTCTCTCGCTCCACCTCCTGCCTCGACCTCTTCGTTAAACTCTCTCTTACACACTCGTTCTCTGGCCTATTTTTTCTTTTTTTTTCTTTCACACCCCCTGTTCTCTCCTCTTTGTTGGCTCTTTATCGTCATTAATCATGGTCTCGTTGCCATTTGGTCCTGTTCTTTAACTTTGTGTGTTGTTTCCCTTTCTAATCTCGTCCGTTCACGCTAACCATTCTGCTCTCGATTCACTTCCTCTTAAAGGTCATGCGAGAGAGAGAGCATGTGAGTTTGTTGATGTCTGAGAACATGCTTGTTGCTGTTCATGTGTTTTTCAGTCCTACTGTGTCCATCATAGCTGGCTCATGCTGCAAACACAAATAGATTACAGGGATTATAGGTAGGGCCAACTCTAGATTACAGCCCTCTGACAGTTAGACAGTTTACGATAACCTGCTGACCAGAGGTTGTTGTTAGCTGGCTAGTTCTCAGCTTAGCTATGCTTTTACTGTTGGTATCATCACTCAACTTTTATCCACTTATTGTCAGTATCACTATTTGACCCCAAATAATCTGCAATTTGCTGTAAAAAGTGCTTAATTTTGGAGTTTTTTTTGTATTTCATGTCATCCAGAGTGTCAAGCGATGATGCATGTACACGCACAGTTACTTTCCAATTGAGTGACCATCTTGTCTTCATTACATCTTTGTTCAACAGCTTTATTCTTAAAATGAAAAGTGATGGCAACAAGTGTACACATGATAAGGTTTTACAACTAAAGCCAGGATTGAAGCAACTACAACAATCAACAAGTTTGAAGTAGTATTTGGGTTTAGCCACTTCTAAAACACTCGTATGAAAGAGAAGATGAATGTCCCTTAACTTGCCGCTTGATATCATCAATTAGATTTAGCAGAACAAGTTCCTTGATGACCTTTGACCTTCTTTGTACAAACCACAGTGCACAGATTTGAAGTCATTATTTCAGATGATTTATTTTTAATGGAGAGATAGGACAGTGGATAGAGTTGGAAATCAGAGAGAGAGTGGGGAGTGACATGCGGGAAAGGAGCCACAGGCTGGATTCGAACCTGGGCCGTCCGCTTTGAGGACTACAGCCGCCATACATTTCATAAAATGATGCCGTACAAGACTTCATTGTCGTCCTATTTGTACAGCGGATCTCCATGGTGCCTATACAAAATACTTGAACACTGCCTTCTTTTCACTGAGAAGCCGCACAGGGGTTTAGCAGCAGTACATTTATTTTACACCATGATGAAACACTTTTCATGGATATGCGGAACACATTCACAATGGGGCAGGGTGGGGCAGTTCTGAATGGATCAAAGATCAACTGTGATCAGTTTTATACTCGTAATGACTAACACAGCCAAAATAAAGATTAGGCAGACAGCTTGCTAACTACTCAATATTAAAGATGAAAAAGAACAACAATGTTAATGCGCTCATGCTAAATCTGATTTTCTTGGCTGTACCCACATATGAACTACCTGTGATTGAGTCTTAACGTAAATGAGAGAAAGAGAGGACTAGAAATGAAGTCTGTCAGGGTAAGGTTTTTCACTGCCTGTTTGGTGGTGAAGCCATTACAATGGACAAGCCTGTTTCTGACTGTTAGTAATGTTTTTTTTTATAATTGATGCCAGTGATGGTTAAAAACTACAAACAAAAATAAGTTACATAACATGTGAATATGGTTTGATCAGATTTGATTGACAGAGAATAAAACGACCCACCAATTGTCTTCAGGTGACCCACATGTTGCTAAATCTTACAAAACAATTAATCCCTGCACACTTCAAACTAGTGGGACTAAAACAAAAGAAGTGGTTTCTATCAAGTGAAATAACTAAATGATAATGAGCCTGCTACATTGCCCAAGATGCCTGGGAAGTGAGGAGAGTAACAATACAGTTTACAGTTTCTTTACAGTACACATTTGCGATATTGGCAGCCAAACTCTTAAAAGTTGAGGATTACATTTTGTGCTTCTTCTTCTGTTTTCTTTTTTACATTTCCTCTGATTCCCCTCTGATTCTATTCAGAGAGAGTTTCTTCGCGCTGTCGGTCACAGTTGACTCTTGTCAGACTGCCAGCATGTCCTGTCAAGAATGATTAGTCACAGCATGCGGGATCTGTCCAGTAGATCTGTTTGAGAGTGGAAGCATTGCTAATAATAATGTCACACTGAATAGTACTAAGAGACTACAGAAAGCTGAGACCGCAAACGAATGATTGAATACACAAAAGGCCGACGTCAACGAGTGAGCATCACAAGCAAGACGAATTAACAAACTTGTGACAACTCGGACGCTCCACCAACCAGAAAATGTGATTGGATGCTTGAAGGAAGGATGGACACATTGCTAGATGGTTGCTGTTTAGTATCTGTCTAATGTGTGTGTGTGTGTGTGTTTACAGGGAGAGTGTTTGATCCAAACAAGCACTGTGGAGTCCAGGATCCTGAGACCAAACGACCTTGCACGAGGTCTCTCACCTGCAAGGTAACTGAAACACACACACACACACACACACACACACACACACACACACACACACACACAAGTACTCCATCAAACACACGCAGAAGCTCTTTGTAATTTCTGACCTGCTCATCCATGCCTCCTATTTTTTTCTGACCAGGTAAGCCGCTTTGTTTGTTTACGAGAGTCGTAATATTAAAGGGCACACCAACTTCACTGTTGTCGGACTCTAAACCAAAGCTTTGACCCTGTCTGCCGCCGTTGTCTGTCTCTGGGATAAGTCTACACTTCCCTCTTCTTAGTTAAAGCAGGGTGGTAGTGCTGGAGCGTTACAGCTCCCTGCACTTCCCTTGATGTGGTAATTATAGATGTTGGATGAGGCGACATCTTTCAGCTGTAAAACTCCATTTAACTGCCCTTTAATTACTCCTATCAAGCTTTCCTAATCACTTCAAACTGGTTGTTAAGTAAATAAGATGAATGAGGCTAACAGATGGACTGTTTTAGTGGTTGGTTAGAATAAGCACGCCTATATCTCTTTTTTGTTAAGCTTAAAGGATTTATCCCAGAAACATTGCAGCTCAAATGCTACAAAATAATAAGACAGATGTATTTGTATCGCGCCCTTCATACTAAAATGCAGCTTAGAATGTTCCAGAAAAGTTGTTATTCATCATTCAAGATATGTTTTAGTATGTTGAAGGTTCTGCTTTCAGGATGCTCTCAAAGTGAGTGCAAAGAATGTTTTTCTTTAGAAGCAAAGGCAACCTGTTCAAACCAGAACCTCACCAGCCCCTCTCTCACACAGACACACATTTATTTATTGGAAAATCAAATGTTTGATGCCCGGCTATACTCCAAAGTAGTTGGAAGGTTAACAAGCTCACCATCCACTGGCAATGTTTACCCTTGATAGTCTGGTGTGATGATGGCAGCAGCGTGGAGCAGCGATTATGGAGACTTTCCTGAAACCGAGGAGCCATGACTCAAGCTGATGTGGGTCCAAAAATCTGCTCTGCCAAAGAATGTTTAATTTCTTGTCAGATCCATACTTTCATCAGCACGGTCTCTGTAGAAATAACATTATATTACTAAACAGTTGTTAATTATAAGCTCTTGGAATGAAAAAGTGATTACTGTTGAGGTTTTTTTCTGTTTTCTTGGCTGCCACAGACTCACTCCTTAACTCACCGGCGAGCCGTTCCTGGCCGAAGGAAAACTTTCGACATCCTACTGGCCGAACACAAGGGGCGAGCGAAGGAGAAGGATGTAGTGAAGGAGAGGGAAAAAGACAAGGATGCATCGCAGGGAGGAAAGGAAGGCAGCAGCCAGAGTGTTCTGTCACAGGAGACAGTGTCTCCCATCAAGCCTCACTGCCCTAATGGACGACCCTTGTCCACGCTGAAGCTTCGACTGGCTAACGCACACATACCAAGGTAGGAGAGTGGACCCCCAAACACAATTATAGCAATGCAGGTTTACATGAGACTTAGACTTAGACTTTCTTTATTGTCATTCAAACTTGTACTTTACAGTGCAGATAAGAACGATATTTCGTTGCATTTGGCTCGTTGTAGTGCAGGATAAAAACAGCAGCATGTATTTACATATAAAAAATTAAAATAAGGTGCAGATATAAATAGATGTAAAAAGAAAAACTATGAGTAAAAATACTATACAGATAAATATATTGCACGTTATATTGTGTTTTACAGTCCAGTGAGGTAGTCCTGGGGGGGTAGTGTGGGGGTTTGAGGGGGAATGGAGGGATTATTTTTTCCTGTTCAAAAGTCTTGTGGCCTGTGGGAAGAAGCTGTTACAGAACCTGGAAGTTCTGCTTCGGAGGCTGCGGAACCTCTTTCCAGAGTCCAGCAGCGAAAACAGTCCTTGGTTGGGGGTGGGAGGTGTCTCTGCTGATTTTCTGAGCCCTGGTCAGACAGCGGATCTTTGCGATCTCCTGGATGGGAGGAAGTGGAGTCTTAATGATCTTTTCCGCCGTCCTCACCACTCTCTGCAGGGACTTCCAGTCGGAGGCACTGCAGGCTCCGGACCAGACAGAGATGCAGTTTGTTACATAGAAGCAAAAGCAAAGCTCATCTTTACTTTTATAAGTCCTGAATACTTTGAGTATATGACTACCCATAAACCACTATCTGGCTGTCTATTCCATCATGTAATTTCCAGACGGAGAAATTAAAAAAGTTTTTTTAGTCTGCTTATGTCTTCTAGAGATTATTAAGGTCTAAGTTGCATGGAGAATGAAAAAGGCTTGAGGAGGTCAAAAAGCTCAAAAGCAACACTTGTTGCCCTTGTTTGGGCTTGTGGCCGTCATCAGGGTCAGTCTCTCACGGCTTCTAGAGTTTACAAAGTAAGGTTGAATTGTACATTTCAAAACTACCATTTGACACTTGAGTCTAAAAATGAGGAGGCCTAAATTAGATTTGCTTAACTCAAACAGAGAACTTGAAACTAATAATGCGGGCAATAAGGGTTGATTAGATCTCTGTTCAATCAGGGTATGTAATGTCCATCACATGATCCAAGTGTCTAATATTCAGAGAGACACAAGGGGGAGGCATATCTGTTGTTTGTAAAACTTATAATCATTTGAAAAGTAAAGCATTTTCTATATTTATGTATGTCGTCATCATTTGCCTGAACTTTTAGATTTTTCAATACATTTGCTCACACTATAAACAAAACTATTCTAAACTTGTACTATTGAAGTCATCTTCTCAGTGATTTATAGTTTGCTTTTTCACATCATGTCTGTGTTACTGTGCTGGTCTCAGACAAATGCTTGTGGGGATTCCCTGTCAGTTCCTGTTGTTCCCACCAGGGGGTGCTGTAAACAAGAGTGTTGAATGAGGAAATTAAAGGAAAGGCAGAGTCTGCTTGGTGAAATTGTTTCCAGGAAATGTGTTCCTCTCTCGCCTTTAAAGATGACTCTCTGAAGTTGTTCTTTTGCTTTTGTCTCATGTGGAAACATTGAGAATGACATAGAATGCATTTCTTGTGACATCTGCTTTAATGCTTATCTAATTTATTTCCTGTGCCTCTCTTCGCCTTTTCTCATCCTCGCCTCCTTTGTTTTCATTTATTTAATCTTCACTCTATTTGTATCCCATCTCCTCCACTTTTTCTTCCACTCTGTTCATATTTCTCTTCCATCTCTCCTCAAATATCCTTCACATCCTTTCTCTACCTTCTTCCACTCCTCATTTCTAACCTCTTCTGTGTCTCTCACTTCTCTCTTTTTTTCTTATACCCAAGGGTTCCCGGCGCCACCATCTCCACCTCCAGTCCTCTGCCCACAGCATCAGCCCCCGCCCAGGTCGCGAACCCAGAGCCGTCAGCCCACAGTTGGGTAACGGCAGCGGGAGACGGCAGTCGACTTTCTAGCGACGAGGGAGACACAGAGACTCCGGAGGACTCTGAAAGGCCAGCTTATCACTACTCCAATCACCACCCACAGCCTTTAGGGGTAAATACTACCACTTCTTAAGCTCCACTTACACTTTTTATAATCCAAAACCTTGCATTAAACATTAAACACCCAAGGCAACATTTGCCATCTTTACTCCGCCGGCCCTGCTTCTAAATGTCAAATAGAGGAATAATGTTTGTGCGTTTTTTAGGCTCAGTAGTAGCTCACAATGTTTTCAAGGTAAAAGTCATGTATCATGTCATGCCATTATGTTTTTTTATGTCACAGTCATTTGTTTAAAATATTGATAGTACACCGCTATGCTTCCTGTGGTTAAATATTCATATTGAAAATACTTGTCGACTGTTTCCTGCCAAGCTGAACAGCTTAAAGCATAATCTACCTTGAAATGGAGGAGTCGTTAAGGAACAAAATGAACTGAGAAACAAAATCTGGGTCAAGGCTATACGGGGTCACAGGAAGTAGACATGACTCCTTTTCCTGTCTTTTTGAAACTACATGAGAGTTAGTGATTCAGAAACATTTAAAGTTTAGGAGTCAAGTCTTCTGTTAGATGCTACAAACAAACATCAATCTGGTGATATTGCTTCCTATATACCTTCACAGATGGTTGGGATGACAACACTTTTAGATGTTTAAACTTGTTCGATTCTTGTGTTGATTTTGGTTTTGCTTGTGAAATATTGCCAGCCAAATTTAGACTTTGTATGGCCTCCTCTGCACTCTCTCTAGGACTTATGCTATTTCCAGCTATGACACCCTTTCTTCCACATCCTGATCTGTCGATCCATCTTGTATTTCCCTCCCTCTTTTTTAAAATCTCAAACTGTATTTTATTCTTCTTTCGTCTCCTCCGCATTCTCTTCTCTCATCTCCCTGTCCCTTTTATTCCCTCCTATGTGCGTCTATCTAATGTGCCTCCTGTTGTACCATCAACATTTCTCTCTCTATGCCTCACTTTACTTCCCATCTGTTCCAATCCCTTCTACCCTCCTCATCCTGTCTCTCTGCAGTGTTGCGTATTCAGCAGCAGACTCATGGGACGGGGCCACTACGTGTTCGACAGGCGATGGGACAGGATGAGGCTGGCGCTGCAGAACACGGTGGAGAAACACCTTAATGCACAGATGTGGAGGTGAGTATGCTTGAACGGACAGTGTGATATTTATTTTATATCTTGATTTGGTTGAGCTTTGTCAAATGAGACGATGTGTAAACACAAACAGCATATTTAAAAAGAAGTATACATTTAAACATTTCTATGTAGAAGGATGTGATTTATTGTGTTGTAAACATGTGAGGAAGCCATGTGTTCATAACCATGTTAAATGAAGGGATTAAATGAAGTAAATGTATAGACTGGAAAATGTTTTGTAATATCCCTTGTGATGTTCTGTAAAATACTCTAATTAATTTAATGATGAAAGTTAGTTAGACGTCCAATCCCGTTTGCCTACCTGCCACTGTGACTGGTGGATTCAAAATATACCAGTCATTCTATTGTATGTCTTTTAACCTACAGCATAATGTAATGACGTATATTAGCAAATCAGGGCTTACAGTATTCGGCTTATAGTAGGCTATTTTATGAAGGTAAATGTTTCAACTATTAGAAAAAATACTGAGATGCTCTTTGCCTCACTTATAAACAGACACAAGTACATTTTATTATTTTGAGGCTGGTTAGAGTTTCTATTGCAGCCATGATGTCCTCAAAAACTAACACATGTAGCTGATTTAGCTTCAAATGAACCTGGAGAGACAAGATAATCTATCTGTTGTTTTAAAAGCACACCCATATTTGGCGGGTGACAGGGGCTGATTTCCAACTCTGCTGTGAACTACTTGAAAATGTATTCAAATCACACAAAAGACCACTTTTAGATAAACACAAACAAAGCACATAGGAACTCTGTAACATGCAACCCCAATTCCTTAAAGGTTGGGTCATGATGTGAAAAATGAAATGTTTTATCTGAGATTTTGTGTCTTATTACAAGATGATGAAGTCAAGTTTGCTTGCCCCATTGTCAGATTTTTTAAAAATGTATAACAAGAATTTCAGGCATTTCTTGCTTGTTTTATCTCAAAATCAGATGTTTCTCTGGACTTCAGGTAAATGTGTCTTAAAAATAGTAAAGAGGGTGGGCGCTCGTAGAGTAGTGGTTAGTGCGCCGGAGGCTCTAGTTCTCCAAGAGATGAACACAGAGCCGGAGAAGACGGGGACTTTTCTGGATCTGGTTTCTATACTGCATAGTAGAGTTTCAGCTGGCATTTATAAATGCAGCAATGAGCTGTGTTCACAGGCAATGACTTTTTGTAAAGTTCCTGAGCAAGTGATGTCCACTAAAGAAATGTTTTTAATGCACGGCCTTCTGAGGGACTGAGGATCAAGGCCTTTTTTCATTTGATTTCTATAAATTCTCTGAATCTTTTCAAGGTATTATTGACTGTAGATGATGAAATCGTTATAATTTTATGTTAAAAATAAAGCCTTATTCTTAAAGTGTCTCACTATGGCAAGCACAGTCTTTCACAGAGAGGTGAACCCCTCCTCTTTTTATAATGAATCATGTTACCTACATGTTTCCAGTTAATCTCATTAACGATAAGAAGCTCCATCAGGTGTTCGCTTAACTTCTTCTTACTTTTCCAGACTATTGTTGCCATGATCCCCACTTGTTAAATACTATTTGTCGGCATCAAATTGACAAAAACAACGCTATTTCTCTGTCTCAATATGTTTTTGATATGTTGTCTTTGGACTGTTTTGTCATATTTGTTTATGAAGATGGGGTTGCAATGGTTTGCAAATCAGAACTCTGTAAAATACACAAAAACACACTAAACAAATACACCAGTAAAGACAAAATGACAGAGAAAGACATGCAGACCACATGCAGATATAAGACAGACCACAAACATAAAAAATGTGATAGGTTTCATTCATGTTTGATTAAAGAATTACTGGCATTAAAAAGATTTTTAAAATCATTTTTACATCAAGAAAATCAAGCGGGGAGCAACAGGAGCTCAACGTTAAGAAATGGTGTCTGATAAAATCAGACTAAATGTCCCAATATTTGTAGACCAAGAAACCCATTGTCTGGTTGATTACAACTTATTGATTAGGCACTGAAGGTTTAGTGCCAATCTATATGAGTAGTTAAGCCGCTTTGTTTGTTCAATTCTGACTAAAAGAATCTCTTCCTGTTTCAGGAAGGTGCCTCTGGCTACTGACAGCCTCCTTTCCCTCTCCTCCTCTGGTTCCTCCCCCATCACTTCACAGCGGACTCCGTCTCCCAACTCCGTCACTTCTCCTCTCCTCTCCTCCCCCTCCAACTGCCTCTCCTACACCGCCTCATTTCCTCAGTCTGCATCCGCGGCCGGAGTGTTCAGCATTCGAGATGCAGCGCAGCCTGTCGCCCCAGTTTCTGCGCTGGGTAAAGCGCGAAACAGCGCACACAAAGCCAGCCGCCCATCCAAAGGCATGGAGGACTCTGTGGTGGGGTTCAAGAAGAGAAAAAACTCTTCCTACTGCTCCTCCTCCTCCTCCTCCTCCTCCTTTTCTTCTTCTTCCTTGTTGACTGTGGATAATCACAAGAGGAACGGCAGCAGCTATCATCCGACGTTGCAAGGTGCAGGAGGAACAGCAGCAACCACAGTAAGGAAAAAGGGACTAGAGCGTGGGGGAAGCGGGCTTTGGAGCAGCGGAGACGATTGGCTATCGAAAGCTGAGGGGTCTCAAAGCATCAACTCACAGAACAGGTAAGAACACTGCGCTTCTTTTTTTTATCACTGTTTATTTACACAGTGGGTTTAAGGAGAAGTACATGTTTAAAGTTCTTTTGAAAAAGTGACCAGTGAGGCTGTTTTCACTGAAGCAAGTGTCTTGTTAAAGCCTTTTTTTCTGCTGCGACAAAGATCTTCAGGAAGTAGGTGTCATTTTGACTTAGCCCTTCAGGGATCAGTCCAAGGTGGACGAATGTAAATGTTTTCCTTGTGTCACATCCTAAGGTTTTTGGACATTATTGTTGCAAAGTCCTTCTAGAAGGTCTAAATGGAGGGTTAAAAACCATGAAAAGTCTCCCTCTCCTCGTACAGTCAAATGAAAGGGTTTTTAATCTTTAATGGTCTAACAAAGGACATTTTGATTGCAGTCAGGGCTTGAAATAACACAATTTGAGCTCGGCATAACTTGACAAAGTGTATAGGCGAGTGATTTATTAGAAATAGAGCAGTGTGTAAACAGAGGGGACAGTGCCAGCAGTGCAGAGGCTGTGATGACGGGTGTTTGGCTTTCCTCTTAAATATACAGCTCTGGAAAATCTATCTGACTTTATATTATTAATAGAGGCAATTTTCTTCGTCTTCTGGCTTTCTCTAGTCAAGAACTTGGCACGACCAGTATACCCTACTCACCCAACAGAGAGCCGTCCTGCACCCCCCATCAGCCCCTGACTCCCCCCTCCGGACCCTTGGCGTATGTAGGAGGAGCAGAGGGGAGGAAGAGGAAAAGTCCCAGCTCATACAAGGGGAAGGCCAGCAAGCTGAACAGGCCGGGAGGGTTGGAGAGCCTCTTTGGGAATGGGAGTGAGAGAGGAGGAATACTGGCTTCGGGACCTGAGTCACCCAGACAGGTCAGTGTTACATACAGGCTGTTTCTTTTATATCCACTGCTAACTATATTCTAGTCCTGGCTTTATGCATACCACCTTTAAAACTATTACTTACTACTATAGACTGCTGAGACAGGAATGTCTACATATGTAGCCAGGCTAGCAGCTAACTCCATGGATTGCATGGTTGCTACACCACTTTGGTCCAGACTATATTATCTAGTAAACTGTCACATGCATTGTTTAGAGATTTGGTTCAGACATCATTACTACTGACTTTATTTCAACCGTCTTGCAAATAACTACAAACTAGAACCTGAAATATGTTTAATTTCCCCTAATGTAGGATCAATAAAGTTGATCTTATCTTGTACAAATATCATTCCCATCAAGTGTACTTTTAAGTACGTTGGTGTATTCACATATGCACAAATCTCCTGTCGCATTTGTGATAGCAAACTGTCGGATTTTCGCTCCACCTCTACCCAGATGTTTTCTGTGAGCGTCCAAGTAAGACTTCTGTGTGAGCAAGTGATGAGCCTTTTGTGTGAGAAGAGCAAGAACTATCTGTGATCGTTGTACACGTAATGAAGCAGTTTCATGCAGTGTGTTCCTCTCTGCTCTTTTGTTGATACTGTGGATACTTCCAGTAACACCCAAAAACTGTCATTATACTATCAGACTTTGCTTTACCCGCCACCTTGGATCATTTGTAAACCTTAAGAGCGCAGTGTCCTTTTTACATCATGTCCTCCCGTTCTTCAGGTAAATCCTCACACTGTGAGAGACGTGTACGACTAACAACTTTGGAACATTTCATGAGTGCGTATATGAAAACATATTGTGTCTTCTGTGTTTATCAGCTAATGGTAGCATGGTTACAGGCTCTGACGCATGCGCACATATATCTGCTTGAATTTGTTAATTAGTCGGTCTCGTTTCTAACATCAAATGTTGAAATCACAGAGCTGCAAGAGAAAAATCTACAAGCTCTGTCAGTCAAAAACGGCAAAGTGAATCACGAGAATTGATTAAACATCACTGCTGTGATTAAATTCATATGCATTCAGGCTGTTACCCTCTGAAAAATGAAGCAAATAACACATAATAAATGAAAGTAAGTTAACCGCTCTCTGCCCTCCTCTCCCTACAGGCCAAGATGCATCACTGACACAAACCTGTTTCATGGACTGAATGTTGGGCAGCTGTGCAGGCCACCACCGTTTGTGACCTTTGACCTCACCACTCTTCCACTGACGGCACCAATCAGACTGCTTCATCTTGGCGATGTCACCCCCTGCTTACCCAATGACAGCGCAGTTCACCCGCTGTGACATCAGGGCTCTCTTTGCCAACAGTCAGCCGGCAGTCACTTTCACTCTTCACCTCTTGCGTTTTACAGGCCTCGCTGTAAAATGTTCCTTTTTATAACGAGACAGTGGAGCCCAAAAAAACTTGACGCCTGGGAAGGGAAATTGCTTCACAAAGTCTTCAAGACGTATAAACAACTCCATCACTGTATACATTCTGGGGAGACATACATTTAAAACAATTGGAATTTGATTTTCTGCTCGTTCTGACTGTTTTCTTCTGTCCGCTAACAAGAAAAGTGATTGTTTTTGGGAGATAGATGGTTGAAGAACCTACTGACACAATAACTGTAGGACTCCTACTTGCCTTCAGCTATACCACCTTAACCCCCTCCTCCCTTCTTTTTCTATCCTTCTCTCAATTTGAGCTTCTCCTCTTCCCTAAATATGAAATCGCAGCAGCTTTGGTTGGGTTTTATCCAGCTCTCTCCTCTTATTATCCGAATCCTTCTGTACAACTCTACATTTCTCTAATTTCTTTTTTTTTTTTTTTGTCCTTTCTCCCCGTTCCTCCCAGCATGCCTGTGTTCAAAGTGCACTTACTGCCCCCCCCCTCCCCCTTTTGCGTCCCTCCTCACTGACTCCACAGCAGTCTCCAGCAGTGCCACACGAGGACACGCTCACACAAGGGAAGAAAACAAAAAAGAAACACTGTTAGTGTTACCAACAACGCCGTGTCAATGCATTGTATTTCAGTATAGGAAGGAATCAGCTTTTATTTTCATTTTTTAGAAGATTGTTTGAAATGTTGCAAGAAACACAAACTCCTGTCTGTGTGTCAGGACTTGCATCCAACAAGGAATTACTTCTTCCGTGTTGGATCTCTTTTTTTTTTTGTATTCTAATTTATCGTTCTTAAATAATGTTTGTTTTTGAACTGACCATCGAGGTTGAGAGACTTTTTGTTGGCAAAAAAGAAAAGAAAACTTCTGTGCATTTTGAAGAAATGTTGAAAGTATTATGGTAGTTCATATTGTTGAAAATGTGTACATATCTGTTATTATTTTTGTATTTATTAATAATTGTCCCCTTTTTACTTTTTACGAGCTAAAGGGGGGAGGAGTGTTTTTGCCTTCCTACCTTGATCTGTGTTCGATAATGTCGAAGCAATCTCGCCTGGTTTCTCAAAAAAAAAAAAAATCCGAGATTGAGTTTATTGGAATCGTAAAGAATGAGTTCACTCAAAAGTATTTGATTGAATAATACAACAAAGCCAAAAATAAGCTTCGACAGCAGCTGCTGTGTATGTCATTCCCATTTCAAAAACAACCTGTGGTCAATTTGAGAAGCAGACTTTATCAGACCTTTCCTTTCAATTGTTTCCACAGAAACCCAGCTAATTATGTCTCATGACAAACACAATATCTCAGTTAAGACTTTATTATGGAGCTTTCTGGGATCACACACGCTGTGTCCTAAATCAAGCAGCAGTCAAGAACACAATGAATCAACAGCTTTATGCGAAAAAGGAAATCTACCAATTATATGCATTTATTTTATTTGATCTTTTGGAATCCATCTATAAAACTTTCTTACAGATATGACTTTTTAAACATTCATTCTTAAAAAGTATACTGCCTTTTTTTAATCTACTGGATATTGTTTCCCCCCCCAGTTTGTGTGCATGCTCTGAGTATGTGGTGTATTCAAATGGTTTTATTTTAAAGTTTTGGACAGAGCTGTATCTTATTACCCCCCTTGTCCAGATTCTCCCCTGCCTTTCAAATTGCATCTTTCTTTTTCTTTTTTACGACGGCACGTTCTGCAGTTGCCCTTGCAAAATCCATACTTTGCATACAGTATGCAAACAGTTGGGACGTCTAACATGGTCATAACACAACTTTGATCTGTAATTGGATGCAGTATGAAGCTTACATTTTGTATCATTTTTAATTTAAAACAAAAAAAAAAAAAGTGGAGGGAAACAAAGCCATTTGCTGAACTAGCAAGAGAAACACAGGTCAGATAGAAGTGTGTTACAATAGCCAAAAGAAAAACATGCAACTGTATGTAGTAGGACATTTGAGTCATTTTTGTATACTGCCTTTGAAAAACAAGTATTTTGGCTTATTCAACCAAATCACACTAAATGATATGGACGTATGGGCCTTTCAATGATCGAACGTAACAGATGTTGATCCAAATTGTCAGTTTCCAGTCATCCTTCTACACCAGTATTTCTTAACATTTCTGATATTTCTCTTCCCCCCACTGAGTTCTTTGTTGTTTGCTAATGAACAATTCTGAAGATTTTTGTGAAACCATGCCCCGGGTTAGTATTTTCTCTTAAAGGGCCTCCACATTCCTGTTTGCCTGTGGTTCTTCCCTTTCTCATACTTCTTCCGATGTTCAAAAACTACAGCTCTATTTTTCAACTTTTTAAATCTTCCAGGGCCGATTAGGTCTGTCCTTTGCTGTGTTTCAAGTCAAAGCCAGGTGAAAATGCCTTCACTTGCTTCTCATTGGCAAACACGACGAGTGGCGCTGCAGAACAGCCACTCCTGTAACCTGAAATCTACTTCAATATGATCTACAAGAGTTAGAAATGAGTTCTAATCGAAGAGAAAACTGCTGAGTGTGAAAGTAAAACTCAAGATCACAACTTTACCTGCGGATGACATTGTACCCAGTACAGGAAATGTTTAAATTCAAGAAGTCCGAGAGGATTTCCTTTCTTAAAAGTCAAGTGAGCCCATCATATGTCAGAAACAAATAGTCAAAAGTAGCCTATTCATGCAGTGTGGCTGATGAAGTTAAAGTAAGTGAACACATTTTTATTTGCTTGATGACAGCATCAGCGATGTTCCGACCTGCTACAATTCTTTCAAAGTGCTTTATGGAAACTGTTTTTCATTTTTATTTTGTTGTATTGATCTAAAGCATCTTGGCACTAACGATGAATGAATTGTACATAACGCAATGTTTTTGTGCTTCCCATGGTGACATTTGATTCATCAGATTGTCGGCCAGCTCTTGGATCAGTTCAGTGATAACGGCTCAGTGGTCTTTTTGTCACTATAGATAACAGCATGGTTTGTCAGTTGACTGGTGAACATGCCTACAGTTACATGATAAACATGCCCCCCCCCCCCCCTACAGCTTTCTCTTGTTTTACACAACCTACCAACAAATGTACAAGTATGGAGATGTTTCTAAGGATGGTTAAGATGTGGAGTTATGCTCAATAACTTCACATCTGTTTACAGATCAAAGAAAAAAAAAACAATGTTTTTTGGGAAATACCACGCAGACTTGTTCACAGTCTTGGAAACAGAAGGTTAAAGTCTTTTTGCAGCTAAACAAAATTACAATGATGAAGCTCATGGATGTTCGATTTGAGAGCACTTTGTACAGTTAATGATTTGTTGTTGACATTTTTTTTTGGAGGTATTAACATTTTTTTTGTTGTAAAAATTCCTCCGCTTCCTTTTTTTTTCTTTTTTTTTTTTTTCTTTGTTGCACTTTGTCATAATGCCCCCAGATCTTTAATCAACTTCTATTTATATAAATATTTGAAGAAGAAAAAAAACAGCTTATCTATATATTTGTAAAAAAAAAAAGTGTTTTCTTGCAGCTACAGGTGAAGTAGATGAGGAGTTTATGCTTTGAAAAGCGCCGAAACCAGCGTGCTGTTTTTTTTTTCTTTTTGTTTGTTTGTTGTATCTGATCCAGACTGAAGTGAAAGGTGATCGTCTGAAAAGTTGCCTTGTAAGAGTGAATTCAGTCTCACTGCAGTAAGGATCAGAAGAAAAGATTTTCCCCCGAACAACTGAACACTTGCTGTAAAAAGAAAATGGTCTTATATTCAAGCTTTTATTAAATGATTGAAAGTGGGTGTTGTGTTATTTGTAAAACAAAACGTGCTGCTGTGGAATAGGGAGGAAAAGTCCCACTGATGATGGATGGCCGTTTTGTGTGATGACTTGTTATTATTGCGAATGGGTGTCGAATGCTTTCTGTCAAAGCAACTCATGATCGTTGGTGTGTCACAGGATATTTTTGTGTTGCCTGAGACAGGAAAACTAGTCCTCTGTGGTTTTCAGTGTTCACAAAGGAGCTTCGATTATGTTTTGCTGGAGTTTCACAACACATATCTGCTGTTGTCATTTTTTATTACACTGAACTGCACTAAGCTCTGTCTACTTCGAGTGTTGTTGCAGAATGAGACACTTCTGCTTTGTCTTGTTGACAAGACTTCCCCCCCCCCCCTCAGAATCCTGCCTCCAGTGATGGTGATGTTTCAACAATCCATCGATTCCTTTCGTCTAGCCTGAAACAACACAACTATTAGAAGACGATGGCTAAACCTGCTGATTGTGGTGACCTCCTGACTTTTCCTCTCACTTCGCCACATAAACAGGTTGACATTTGAAGCTTTTCATGAAATACTTATAACTAATGCATTTACAACAAAAGAGATGGTACAGATACATAGCATAGCACCCCCTGTGGATACTTTGTTTCTGTGATCATTTCTAAATTAATGATATTATTTTAAGATCATTCAAAATGTGTAATTCAGTTGGCTACATTACTTCTGTAAATATTAGTAGAACGCACCGTCTCGCTCACCTTCAACCAGAGTTTTATACCATTGTGTCCTGGCAGCGTCCTGACGCTTACTCCTCTTCCTCTTTTTTTCCTGTTTCTTTTTTCTCTCCTTTAGCCGGATAATTCGTCTTCACTCTTCTGTTTCGACTTTAATTTACAAGCTTTTGTTTTCACATTAATAATGCATGCAACGCTTAGCAGGGCGACAAGCGTGAGTACTGTCAGATGTGAGGGTTTCCTACTGTCATTGCAGAATTTGCACATTTTTGGGACACTGCTTTTGTTTGAGTTTGTGAGTCCTCAGGGCCCCCCCCCCCCTGCTGGTCTGGGGCCCCAAGCGGTTGCCTGCCTTGCCTGTTGACAAGCAGCGCCCCTGCTTCTTACCATGTGATCCTAAATTATTTCCCATTCCCTATTACGATGAGAAAGTCATTTAAAGTGCATTCAAAGCTTTCCTGATCTACTAGTTAACGTCAGGCTGTGTTAAATACTGTACTAAGGCATACAGTATTGAATTAAAACATGACATGCATGTTGCAGTGTAATTGAACAACATCCGTGTAGTGAAAAAGGATCCTGGATCGTTGCTCTCCTCCTCGTCCCACAGTGTGATGATTAGTAAGGTTAAGGTTCAGCTCTAATGACTGATAACACTCGAGCACCGCTTGTTCTCTTGACAATGTAGCTCAGCAGGCAAATTAAATATTTTAGCAAGGAAATGAAACCAAAAACACATTTCTGTGGCTCATCTAATTAATGACATAACAAGTGATCTTTGGGGAATTCCTCTTGGAGTTTGTAATTGGAGCTAAACTAATTCTTAATTATACCCTCTTCAAACATTAAACAGTGCTTATTAGCCGAACCGATGAAACTCCAAGATTGAACATTTTTGGATGTTCACCTGATGAAGTGGGGATTTTGCCAGGAGGACACTTTTTTTTGTTGTTGTTGTTGTTGTTGCTTTAATCGTGCCATTTCACTGCTTTTTTCTCTCTATTGTTTTCAGCTGAAAGTGGACTACTGAGACCGTCTTAGCTCTTTCTGTTCATTCATCAGAATCCCCACTCAGCTTGAGAAAGGACGTTGCTGACAGTTTTCCAGCGCAGACGAACAATTTCTCTCCAGGGCTCTCTTTACTCGACCTTACCTGCGAAGCTTTATGATCAGAGGTCAGGTGAAATGTAAAAAAAAAAAAAAAAAAAAAAATTGTATCACATTCAAAGTAACGGTGGGGCAGCAGATTCCTTCCGTTCAACTTCATTTCCAGGGTTAAAGTGGTGCACTCCAAAAAAGGTTTGTTATCTCTCAGCGCATAAAAACGTTTTTGATGTGCAGTTAATTGTCTTTTTTTTATTTATATTTACAGTGTTTCTGCATCTTCTCTTTAACAGAAACCCTCCAGATGACTGTGAGTGTACTCAGGTCGAGCTCACAATTCTAAATAATTGACCTCAGGAGATAGCTTATGTTCATTGAACATTAACTTTAAAACTGAGGCCGGTTTGAATCATTTTTCTGAAAAAGAAAATGTTGATATGAAGTGTTAATCAAGAATAATTGTTTTGCATGTCGTTACAGAGCAGTAGAGACGGATTCCCCTAGCTTTATTTCCTGACTTTACTTCTAATGATCAGATAAATTGCTTTGATTTATCTACTTAGCCATTTTAATTGCAAAAACAATTATGCATTTCTAATATCTCTTCTGTGTATCATCATCGCTGAAAAGATGGATATTTCTGCAAATTAGACCGTCTAAATGTGCTGTTGATTGTTATTAACTTTTGTAATCTAATGGTATATCTCGGAAACATTTGTAGTATTATTTCTCCTTTTTCTTATTTCATCTTTTCACCCACATTTTCCATACAGAGATGACAGACCGGTCCTCGGGCCAACCCTTGGAAGTGCCACTGTTGTGGAGAGCAGCTAATTTGTCTTCAAGTGTGACTCAGATGTGACTAGACAATGAGAGTGTGGCGACTACAGACTAAGAGGGGGGAAAAAAAAAAGGAACACAATGGACATAAGGAATACTGCAGCTGAACACTAAGTGATGAGGAAAAAAACACAAATCTCACATTCCCCTGTTGAAGCTTTAATTTTCTTATAAACTTTCTACATGTAGTTCATGTTTGCTGTCCAGTGCCTGCTGCCCCCATCGGAGAAGTTATTGGATAATAATGAAGAGAAACATAGTCAGTGAGTTGACAATGAGTACGTTTAAAAGTACTTTACCATCAAAGGTGTATCAGGAAGGCTGACACTGTTTCTTTTTAATTGCTAATTATGTCATTATTCTCCATTCTAAGTGGAAGTCCGGGGTCTTTCTACTTTACTTAAAACTTGCAGACTGACATGTAGACATCTTAGCTAAATTCATAATTACTTTTACTTTAATATATTTAGGATACGTCAATATCAAATTAGCTGCAACGATTAGCCGGATCAATTTCTGAGGTTTAGTGTAGTAACTCCCGTTTTATGGTCATGAATAATTTGTATTTCTGGGACTGGGACAGGCACAGATGATGCTCAAACACGTAAACACACCTCTTTCCAGGCGTCTCTGAAATCCCACAGCTCATGCTTGACTCATGTTTATTGACTCAGACTCGGCATTGGACACTGTACTCCCTCAGACTCTGTTAGACGAGCTGAAACAGGTGGAGGTGACCCACATATAATCAGGTGGTGCCGTTTATATCTCCCTGACTTAAAGGTGATTGCAGCGCAGTTGTAATCAACGGGAAGAGAGTTGAGCAGGTAACGCCGTTTATGCTCTCGTACAATTGGCTCATCAAGTGGAGAGTCTTTGTTCGCAAATCATTCAGAGTTTCCTGCTGCGACTCGGAAGGCCCAGGGAGTGGACAGAGGCATTATGCTATTCTAGAGGGCAGCCATTGTTCCCATGACTCGATGTAACACTTCAACATGGTTTAGTTAGCTTGAGTAAGAGTCATTTAAACTGGGATCACAACTCTAGACCCTGATCACCTGAGACTATATTAAATGCCATTCTGCCCCAAACGTGTCTCCAGGAGATATGTGAGGACCCAGTGAGAAAGAAGGGCATACAATCACCAGTTACCCAAACCACAATCTGCATAAGGAGTATTTTAGGGCTTCTGTCTATCTTTATCTTTGTGGTAAGGAACTGATGTAATATGTTGATGCGAGCCATCACTGTGATATTTATTGGTGCGAGCACCTGTGCAATGTTTTGTTTGATGGCATCAGTGCATTCATTTTGGAGTAGGCCATCTGAGCAAAACCTAGGTGTCAGGTACCTGTGCAACAGGGGAGTGTCCAGACTTTTTGGACTGGGGTGGACTGACTTCTGCAAGGGGGGGGGGGCCTGAAGTGTGTGCACACCTTTATGTCTGCAGTAATCACAATCAACTTTTAAGTTACACAGGATAATGGCAACATATACATCTTCTTAGCTTAATTCTTCATGGACTCAAATCAATATGTACATCTAAAGTCACAATTTAAAGTATTTTAAAATAGCAAAAAAAAAAAAAAAAACATCTGCACACTGAAAATTATGAACTGCCTGTTGCAACACAGCCTGAATAGTGGATGTCAACATAAGTCCTGTCTCTGGCAAGGCAAATAGCCAATAATAGTCAAGGATTTTGGTGTAGCACCTGGCAGGGGCAATAAGATTTCAAGGGGGTCCATGTCACCCCTGGCCACATTCTGGACATACTCCTGCTGTGCAGTATTTTGGTCAAGGGCAACTGCCTAATTATCAGGTGTAGAGTACCCGTACAGTATTTAAGTGTCAAGCACCTGCACAGTTTTCTGGTGTTGGGCATCTGTGCAATACTTTTCAAGAGGGCACCATTTCAATATTTCATGTTGAGCCCCTGAGCACTACATCCATTTAGTATTTTGGTGTTGGATATGCGTGCGATTACGTGGTGTTCTGGCGGTCAAAATCCCTCGTGTGCAGCCATGTAACCTGTAGTCAGGTGGTACAAACTTGGATTTTTGTTTTCCTTAAGAAGACGATGTTGGTTTATTTAATCTAATCCATGGACAAGGTTTTCCTTAAAGTTATGTTTTATGACATGTAACTCCAGCACACTTTCTTGTAACAGGCCCAGTAGATAAACAATCATCCAAATATTGATGTTTATTTTCTTGTTTCTGAGATTTAAGGTCGGGGACGGTTTTGAAAAATGTCAACAGTATCGTAAACTACAGGCCATTGGAGTGATATGAACGTAACACGTTCCTCAAGTTATAAAGAGTTCAGACACCATTTTTCCTTCTTGTTCTTAATGGGCCTATCTGAGAAGAGGAGGCGGCATGTGACAAAGGTCAGAAACAGTTCAAAGTGAAATCACACCTGAAGTCAAAGGACACCGGCCAAAGCACACAACACTCCAATGGTTTTGTGGTGCCTTAATGTGTGGCCCCACACGTTGTTCCAACATTTCCATCTTGAGCGGAGGTTGCTGACAGTTTTCCCACAAAAGCAACTCCTGCATTATTTTTTTCATGACGGTGGTACTGCACTGTGGCGTCCCTCATAGGCTTCCCGCTATTTCCAAACATCATTTTTCTTTTAAGAGGAAAGCTTTTACTTAATACATATTCAATATTTTCATCCTTTCCTTGTAATATGGAGCAGTTGTAGATTATGGTAAAGAGTTAATATGTGTGTTAAGTCATATAGCAGCACTGTAGCAGTGGCACTAGTTACATGTACAGATGAATCTACTCCGGTCTGTTACTGCTCTCCAGACAAATCGCTTCTTCCAATTAGATTTATTTGAGCATGACGTCTAACCAGCATTTTTCTACTTACTGCTCTCCTCAGTGATTTCAACATTAATGGACTGAAATTGACACAGTGAGGAAAAAAAAAAAAAAAAACACTTTCCCAACAACATTGACACCTTGTGGTCAGTTCCCTCTAACACGACCCCTAAATCTCATCAGCAGCAAATCAGATCAAAAGCACTCAGAAATAAATGAATGCAGAACAAATGATGTTAACCTCAAAGTGGGGAACTGCTCTTATTTATGCTTCGTTTATTCAGATACGCCTGCTGGGATGAACAATTACTGCACAGGTCATCTGCTGAATCCATAATCACAGCAGCGACTGTGCGACTTCCAGGAATGTCAGAATTGTCACGGCATCCAAGGACTCTTTTTCAACAGATCACAAGAGCACATATCTGATGAAAAAAATCGTGTTTTGGGATTGTCATTTCTAAAACATGATATTCACTCCCATTGAAATGGCAAATAAGAAAAGACCGGGGATTTTATCAGACCAATCTGCTCAACTTGTTTGTGTTTATCCAAGTGGATCTCACTGGAATCAAGTAGTACCCTAATCTGCAGCATCTTCAAACAAGGCCCACTTGTGGCCCCTGCTGTAATTATAAACAGGCTATTTAAATAAGCAGTGTAAACTAATTATTTAGCATGCATAAAAAAAAAACTGTCCAAACATGTCACTAGGTGGTGTGATAAATGCAGCCTGCATGTAATTGAGAAGATAAAAGCTCTGGGCTCTATTCGGCTACGTCTATGAATGCCGAGGAGTTTCTCCCCCCATTGCAAACAGCATTCTTATGATAATGGAATAATGCTGGTGCTTTAGTTAATTGTGTATAGGCGATAGTGGTGGGCACCCTTTGTTGAGAGCTCTCATGAGCCTCAAGGAAAGAGCTGGTAGGGATTATAACTCTCATAGAACTTCTCAAATTCCCCCAAACGACCACTTTGCATTCACTGAGTTGAGGGTTTTTCTTACTGATATAAGATCTTTTGTAGATTGTATTTAGGATAGGTAGCAGACGTTTTGTAATACTTTACTCATTTGAAATATATATATATATATATATTTTTAGTTATTTTTTGCCCTTATTGGCCCTTACAGCTGAAGAGAGATAAGTGGGAGAAGAGAGTGGGAGGTGACATGCAGCAAAGGGCCGGGGTGGGATTTGAACCCATGGCCGCTGCAACGAGGACCGTAGCCTCTATACACGGTGCGCATAGCTCAACTGCTTGGCTATTTGGCGCCCCCATTTTTAAAAATGTATCATAAATTGCCTAAATAAAATGTCTGTGAGTGGCTCGACATGTGACAAGATTAAGAAGGATTTTCAACAGGTCACTTCAAATTGCTCACAATGTGTCCAAATCAAAATTTCAGCTGAGCCTAAGTCAAACATCCTCTCCACATCTTACCATTCTTCCATCTCTTATTGCAGGGTTCCAGTTACAGTTTAATGAGGGTTTCTACTGTGTTTACATTTTGCATCATTAGGCTACTTAGCTGATCCACTTTTCTCATTAAAATGTGTCAACAGGTGGGCTTGCTCATTGGCTGGTTTGACAGCATCTAAACACAGATCCTGTTAATGGTGTTGTAAACAGCTGATGACGCCTTGTTGTCCTGAATCTCTATTGTTAACCCCTCCAAGTAGCAAAACAAATAGGAGCGCACACACAAAGTAAAGCTCTAAGGAGTTCCAGATATGCTGTAAAAAGTGTGTTTCCATTGTGAATTCTGTTTGGACCTTTAAAACGACTACTGACAAACCTAACCGTGTATTAGGCTATAGAGTACACTATGATGGCATTACATGTTCTGCTTGTGTTATACAATGTTTCTGAAGGCTACTGTGCACCAGAATGTAAAATAGTGTGTTACACCACCTCCAGAGCAGAAGCACAAATATTTCACAAACTTTTCTGTTACTGCAAAATGACTTAATGTGTGTCCCATATGTTAACAGAGTCACATCATATTTATTCAATTAGAGGAGCGTACTGTAGCCTACTGTTGCATACAAACTTTTGCATTACTATTAATTACTTTTGTATGAGTAAAGTTGTGCCTCAAATTCATGTAGGTTAAAGTTCATTAAATGTCATGTGTAATGGCAATTTTCCATTTTTTTCCCTTTGCTCCAATTATTGCCATTAATACACAGGTAGGGGTGAAGTCTTACGCAGATGCAAACAATGATTTTTCAGCCGTTATTAAAGTTGAGTTGAAGGTTTATTGAAGTGACTTGATGGAGATATGAGAACAAAAACCATACCCAGTAGAATGAATGAATTGTAGTTGGTCTGAAACATGAATGCCGGTCTAGTGAGAACTGTAGGTGCTCCCCCTACCTGAGCCTTCCCTTTCCTGTCACCTGTCACCTGTGCCACATGCCCCTGTGCATTCAGTGTCCCTAGTGGAAAATAATACATTCAGATAAATCTAATTATACAACATGCCCAACGATAAACACAAAACGGCTCCTTACACCATGATCAACAAAGATGAAAACTACACGATTCTTCTCTAAAATAGTCAGTCAACATGGCATTTCACTGCTGCAGGCCTCATACTGCAACTGTAACACAACGCGGATCATTTTATCCACATTTTCAACTGTCTTATCACCAATCAAGTCAATGCAAGTTCACTTTTCTCCATGACTTTATGAGAAATAGTCCTCAAACTAGTCACCCATTTCCCAGAACCTTTTCAAATATAATCTACACCTGCATGCCAATTATAACAATATAAACACAATCACACAGTATTGACCCCAGCCTTGAATGTACTTTTATAACCCCACCTTCATAATGTCAAATTTCTAAACCAGCTGTCATTAATTAGCTGAACTAACCTGATCATTTCTACTGTTCATTATCAAGTTAACTTAATATCTTCTTTGCTCTGGAGCCGGTTTACTCTTGACGGTAAATTAATATTTAGCTATTTTTATGTTATTTGGTCATATTACCATGTAAATAATTGTATGTCCTAAACTACTGTTGTCGTTATATTAAGAAATATTGAAATATTAGCTGAATGCAGTGCCTCAATACTGTATGAATATTGCTGCTGTTGCATTTAAGCTAGCTAACTTTGTGAAGATATTCAAAGTTAATATATCCACACAAATGCATATTCAACAGCTGTCATTTTATTGAGCAAAACTGAGTTTTTTACCCTCCCACCACGACTTGGTTCTCTTGGTTGTCTATGAGCAAGTTATTTATTTTATGGATACTTCAAAAGTTCTGAACATAATTCACCTAGCTGAAACTTTCTGCTACATTCAGTTAGCTTGTAGCTGAATTAAACGTGTTATAGGAGAGAAGAATCACTTCAATTACCACTTCCCTTTCAACACTTTTAGATAATATGTATGCTTTTAAACGTGTTTATGTTTGTTTTCGTCGGAGATGTGGACTTAATTTACCCTAAAACAAAAAGAATTGTGTTTCAAAACGTTGCTCTCAGTCAGACAGGAGAGTCTGAGCCGTCAGGTTGATTTAACTTGTGCCACTTTTATTGGACTTTATGATTTGGTTTGGAGTTTGGTGGCTTGTATTTTCAACTTGCTGGCAACGAGTTTCTGTGGATAGTTCGTCATCAATCATTGTTACCTTTCAATTTGCTCAGAAAGTAAATCCTAAATGACATTTTCTATGATTGAAACTTTTAACTTCTCAGGCGTGGTCTCCTCTGAATCTGAGAGACACCTTGTGTGTTTTAATCATGCCTACTACATATAGTTTTGGGAACATGAAGATAACTTTTTAATATCTTATTGCTAATATCTTTTTTTTTTTTTAGGGGTTATGTATTTATTTTTTTAAATCATTGAGCCTCTCTACATGTTGGAGTTTGAATCCCCCTGTATTTTGTTTAGTGTTTGCGTCGTGCTCCACTGAAGAGCCTTTTGCGCGTTTTGGGGCATATAGCAGAGCACCAATGGTAGCAATATGGTTAAAAATGTGAAATTATTAAACTTTTCTAATTCAAAAAGGGTCAGGTGCTTTGTATTTTCCCCAATGCTGTCCTGAAGTGCCTGTATTTTCAGCTCAAACTGGACGCAGAGGGTGCACCTTTGCGCAGAGACTGGTTAATGCTGAGAGGCTCCTCTGGGTGCACAAAGACAGCGGCTCGCAGAGGAACTTGTTCAGAGTGAACCGGGGACGCTGGGAGGCGAAATAAACAATCTCCGGGACTCCAAGTAGCCACAGCAGCTCGGTTTCCACCCTCTTCGAGCACACAAATCACCCATCGATCCAACAAATACAAGGTAAGGACTTGTTTTTACTCGTTTCAGCGAGGAGAGGGAGGCTGCGGAGCGGGTTAAACCTTCCTTCGCTTTGGCTTCCCGAGCATGGTTGTTTTTGCAGAAAATGGCGTCATCGCCCTCTTGTTTCTGCCTGGCCGCGATGGGGAGAGCAATAGTTTCAGAGAGTTGTAGCAGCCTTTACACGCGGCGTTTACCGCTTAAACGATGCAATCGCCAACTGCGATGTGTTACATTTCACATTTAACCGTCAAAAGAGGAGATAGTTGATGATTTCGCTCGGTAGAAGGACGCGCAAAGATGGAAGGGTCACCGGTTCTGTGCGCCAAGCTGCTTCTTGGAAAAGGTGGCACGGAACCGCAAAACGCAGCGTTTTTCACACACAATAACGCCACCCTAACCGACGCGAAGCCACGCCAAATGACCGCGGGTGGTTTAGTGTTATGACCAGGGTGGCGATGGACGTATTTGTGTCAGCACTGCGCCTTGTCTTTGTGTGTATTTTATTCGGGTTAGCTCGTTTTTACGCCGCACTCCCCCTGCCATGCTGCAATCGTTACGAGGGGCCTCTCCAACGGCTTAAAAGGTGCATTTCGTACTTGGCTTTTCCTTTTGATCAAGTCAAGCTGCCCCTTTTTTGTTGGTGAAAACAGTGGCGTTTTTCTCCGGCTCACAATATAACCGTGTAAAAGGAGATTTTTCGGGGATAATGGGGGGCGATGCAAATCGTGCCATGCGAACGGCGACTGCTCCTGCGCTCTGGTTCACTTCTTGTAAGACGGAGGAGAGCCTGAATGAGAGGAATATAAAAAAAAAAAAGAAGTCTTTTTTTTTTTGACGGATCACATAGTTTGCACGGAACTGGGGAAAGTCCGGCGCTGCGCAACGATTGTGCTGCCGCTTTGCGCAGAGCACGGTGGCAGCTGCTGTAACCGCCGCCACCATTTCGCCGCGATATTTTTGTGTGTGTGTGTGTGTGTGTGCGTGTGTGTGTGTGTTTGGCCAACCTTTTGTAAATAGTTTGGGGGACTCTTGGATAAAAGAGCACAATAGTATTCATGCGGGCCCTTTATGGCCTTTTGAATGCGGTCCTAAGTCCCACTCCGGCTGTCCTGTCTCTCCCTGTCAGCTACGTGCATGCGTCCTAGCACTGGCCACCACACATCCACCATAGCGAGGCCACTCGGTTCCCTGTGCAGACGCTCGCTTGGTTCCTCCTGTGGCCAAAACTCGGAACTTATCGTGTGCCGAGTGTTGTGGCATAGGCCATGCTGATCAAATCGAAACAACAACGAAACATCAGCCATGGAGACTGCACATCACATCGCTCCGTACACATTTTTATTAAGTTTCCTGAGTTATGCAACCGCATCCCCGGTAGAGCGAGCGGCTCATCCGCCTCTATTTACTCGTCACCCACCATCGGATGGGTATTTTGTGTGTAAAAATCTGGTGAATTGGACCAATCCCCGTGGCGACGACACTGATTGAGGAAGATATGTCATTTGCAAATCACCCAGTGCCATTTGCGTCACAGCCCGCGGCCTCGCACGCCCATGGGGGGCGATGGAGTTGCAAATGGAGACCGTGTGTGTGTGTGTGTGTGCTGACGCTGCCCCAGCTGAAAAGGAACCAATAGACACGGACCCGGGCGGCAACAATCGCCGTGCGCTTTCACTCTCCAGTAGTGCACCGACAAGGAGATTGTGTATGAACACGGAAGATCGCGCAGTATATTCGCGATGGTTAGGTTTCCTTCGCCCTGCCTGGGATGCGTAAGTGGATGCGTGCACACACACACACTGGTTAAACCAGCTTAAAGGCTCGACAGGCCGGCCGGAGAGGAGTGTATCCGTCCGGTCCCCCCCTCATGGTGCTCGATGCATGTGGCTGTGGTGGACTCGCTCATGTGTAGATCAATCTTTCGACTGGATCGGGATGTTAACACCGTAAAGCCTTTACTGACAGCACTGACTATTAGGTCGGATTGTTATTGGGACACTGGACACTCAACCGAGTCAGTTTCTACATCCACAGCGCGCCATGCGTTCCAGCTATAGAGATGTGCTGGGCGTTTTATATCTAGGAACGTTTTATTTGTTGCTCCTGCGCTTTTGGGCACTGCGCATGGTTTCATCCAGCAGGGCTCAGAGAACTTGTTCACGAGGCAGAAAGTCCCGAAAGTGTCAGTAAAAAGTGCATATTCAGTCAGCATGGTAATCCTGTTAAAGGTTATGTTTTGGGGTAGATGTAATTTATATTGAATAGATATTGCAGATATATTTGGTAACATGCTGGTACAATAACACCCCATTTTATTGTCTGATCTTTGAAGCATGTAATGAGAATTTGACGATGAAATAATGTCTCTGTTGTGGTACTGTATCAGTTATACTGTTGAAATAGCATTATAATTTCAAACAGATGCACTGTCTAATCTTGCCATAACATAAAGAGGCAATTTTAAAGTTGTATGTTTACATGATCGTATTTAGTTAAGATGACATGGTGCACCTTCTGTGCTGTTTTATGAAACCTTCAGAATCAGTCACATAGTGTATCAATTATATTTGTTATAGGTGCTGTAACAAAACACTTGTAGGAAAATAAATTCTTAACCTGCATCCAGAAAAGTTATTCCCTAGGGGACAGATTCACCCCAGAGGTCCTGAGTCAGGCAGCCCTGCTGCGATGGGCTATTTTTATCTTCTATAATTGAATGTTCAATTCAAGGTCCGTTGGGGCAACCAGTATGTGTCTGTTATTCTCATACGATTGTATGACTGGATAAGTTTTGACTGAGACAATGGCTCAGGCTTTGTTCAGATGTAGAGATGTTTTTCACTGAACATGTGTTGTGAAGTTAATTCATCAGTACATTTAGGCCCATCAGTCGCTGTAAAAGCAGTACACGTGTAGCGATACAGACAAAACAGACAAGGCCAGTCTGTGTTTAACCACTGATGCTGGTGTCTTTTCATTCTTTGGAAATACAAAAAAGTGAAAAAGAAATAGATGGCCAGTCTAACCTTGAGAAGGAACATGAATGTGTAACTAGGACATGAGGGCAGATAATAAAGTCGGTTATAAGGAACCGAAATAAAATCAGAAGGAAAGATTGGTATGAAGTTGACATCATTTACAAAATACTTTATATTTAATTTGAAAATATTATTTAAATTTATCCCAATTTGCATGTTTCCTGGGCGCCTCAGCTGGCCTCCCATTATCTCCTGAGACTTCGGGGTTAAAGCAACCTGAGATGAGTCTTTCCTTATTAGAACAGCAGCCAGATCTGCGCTCATTTAAGTCAGTCAACACACTCATTAACCTGACAGTCATACAACCTGTCAGTAAGCAAACAGAAAATTGAAATAGTCGTTCATCAATCAGAAAATCAGTGTCAGCCACTCATTGAAAAAAAAAAAAGAGTAGAGTAGAGCACAACCTGTCAGAGAGAGCCCCGACTTTCTCGGCTCATTTTAAAGAAAGCTGCTCCCACAACCTGGCGAAGATTAGTTCAATTGTCTCCTTACAATCTGTTTCAAATTATTTTTGGATATCACTTTTCCACATATTTTGTGTTCCCATTTCTTTTTGACATCGCCATTCTCAAATAGTTTTAGAGGCTTGATTTTAATGATCATAGCCTGTGCTTTCACACCTGCCCTGAAAATGTTTTTTTTATGGGTCTTCCATGGCCACTTTATTCAAATCCATGTCCGTGTTGATTTCCACACTCTGCTGCTGCGTCTCTTTTCCGTGTTCATGTGTGCGGTGTCGCCCCTTTCAATCAAGACTTCACAATTCACTGTGCAGAATTTCTTTGACTTATTTTTTTTGAAGAGAAGTTGCAAATTGAGCCAAATTCATGGTATCTTCTGGCCTGATAGGGTGATGGAAGTTATCACAGTGAAAAAAATACAAACAGTGGAGCTTATGCCAGAACATAGCTTTAAAACTCCATGTGTGTCTCAGCATGGTGAACTTTGTTGAGCAATGGAACTTGGTCGGAACTCATTTTGTTATTTGTTGATAAATCTGTCATTTGGAGTAATGTAGGTGTGTTTACGTGCGCAGAAGTGTGTCATTTTTGTGTGTGTGTGTGCGTGTATCCAAAGGTCCCTATTTGCAAAAATACATGTGCAGAAAAAGTTTAGTCATCGCAAATGTTAAGTTTTTGGGAATGTCCTATAGTGTTTTTAAAACTTTGACACTGAGGATATGTGAGATTATGTGTGCTCATGTGCGCTAACAGTTTGACATGTGAACTGACAGCAACTGACAGTAGGGTGAGACAACCATGAGTAGCAATGTATTGTTTCTGCCCTGAAAAGTTTGATTCCATTCATTTAATTTACTCCTTATTTGTTGTTACAGGTGTCAAATTGTCAGTCAGTTTAATAGCCACAGATCTGGGATGGTGATGCATTTGTCAAATATTAGATAGTCTGTTGATTAAATACACCTGCTTCTTGGAAACAGCCTCCTGCTTGTTTCTGTGCTGTTTACAAAGAAGCTTCCGAGTAGTTTTATTTAATAGACTTAACAGATGTACTGTATGCGGGTTGCTCTTAATAAGAAGACGTCTAGATGGGAAATAAACGCAGCATTTTTGTGATACATGCTCTAAATGAGGAGCATGAATCTTTGTGTTGCTTTGTAAGTTGACTTAATTATAGAGCATATGATGTAATTTTCAGAGTGACAGTTCAACAAACCTATGAGGATCATTGTGGTCATAAGGAGAACCATTAGTGAGGTAGAAGAAAGTCAGAGCCACAGAACATGAACACAGTGTAAAAAAAGCTGTAGTTCTAAGCATAAGGGAAATCTATAAGTCAGTTATGTTCCCATCCTATCCTGTGGTCATGTTGTTGTGATTGTTTGTCTGCCGGCCGTCAGCATAGTGTCAGTGAGTGTGGAGTCCCTCCATTAGGAGGAAGTCCTGTCAGATCGCCCCCACACAGCCATCCGATATAATTGAGTATACGCAATGAAGA